ACACCCTGGTGAACCGATAGCATTGAATGTTTTGACTGCTAAATGGCTTGTATATAGTTTTTAGCCAGAGGAACCTGTTCGCATCTCGATGCTCAGGTGTTATTTTAATTTGCAGAAAGGCTTTTGCAATATCGCAGACAACGACTATTTTTGGCAGCCTAAATCGTAGAAGAACGCCTATCAAATCATTCATGAGCATGGGGCCTGGAAAGAGCAAATCGTTTAGTGAAGGGGAATTTTTCGATTCTCGTGCCGAACCGTCGTAAACTATACGCAATTTATTTTTGTCAGCCTTAAAGACGGGTTGATGTGCCAAGTAATGCAAGGGAGAGGAATGAATTTTTATGTCTTTTACCTCCTCTATTATGCCCAAATCTAATTGCTCTTTTATTATGGAATCATATCTTTTCAAATTTTCGAAATTTTTATTCAAGGAATTTATGGTTGAACGTAAACGTCCCCATGCTAAGCCGAAGTTTGAGGGGAGAATAATTTCTTTCGGGTCGCTGCGGAAAGGTAAATTTACTTCGTATCTGTCGCCCACCTTTTTGATAGTTTTGATAAAATTCTTGCGTACGGCGTCACCTTCCAATTCCTCGTCAATTTTAGGCTCCGAGATGCCAATATTTTCCAATGAAAAGAATTGGTTTATTTGTTGATCACAATTGTTGTTTGGGGCAGAAATTGTGGCATTAGTAAAGTAAGAATTATGATTTTTATAAATTGATTGTCGTCTCGGATTATTTGTCTTGAACTGTGATTTGCCAGCTATTAGGGGGCCTAATAATGTTTGTACTAAATGATACCCGTTCGGCAATTTTGAAACAGGGATGGGTTCAATATCGTAGTATATATCACTACCCAAAAGTACAATAGGGGATTTCCACTGTATTAAAAGTTCCGCAGGTATATTCTCTGGCGAAATTTGTTGCGGATGCAGATTTGCCATAGGTAAAGGGTGGGTGAGGAAATTAAGCGTAGTAGCAGAAATGTTAAGGGTGCGTCCGTTAATTAATTGTATGCCAAATTGGGTAGAATAAGCCGGGGATTGGGTGCAATTTTGTTGGTTAAAAACCCCTATTTGAATATTTATTGGGTTGAGAGTTAATTTTAAAGCTTGAGCGGCACTAGCTAGAATATAAGAATTCGTACTTCCATCATCCAATAAGCACGGCACCGTTATGTTTAAATTAGGGTTATTAGGGTTAAATATTTTTCCAAAAACGCATTTTAGCAGTACCGGATAAGCAATTGAGGAGAGAGTACTAATCGAATTCGCAGGCGTCTGCTGAAGTGCTTGGGCAGAAAATTCGTCAGCCCTTTTTAATTCTAATCCAATTTCGTTGGAAGTGCCCTGAATATTATTGGTAACCGGTAGGGTAATTTGATTATTATTTTTTGCAGGGTTTTCCGTTACGTAATTGTTGAACCGATTATTTGCTGGATTGTTATATTTTTTAGCTTGCGATGTGGAGTTATTGGGCGTAAGTTGGGCATTTTGGTTAGTATTGCTTTTAGAAAAAATTTTACTGCAAAGGGGGCGCGGGTGATTGCCTTGACATTTTCTGCAGGTGGACGGTTTTGGGCAATCACGAAAATTGTGTCCCGCTTGTAAACATTTTCCGCATGTATTCAATTCTCGCAAACGTCCAATGCGAGATTTGAAGTCAGTATAGACATCGCAGAATGTTGTTATATGGCTTAAATTATTGCAAAGAAGGCAGGGCAATCTCGAATTGGCATTATTATTTTTCTGTTGCGTAGTTTGATTGGTAAAATTGAATGAAGAATTTGGTGCAGGAGAAGTATTCACCTGTTTATTAAAAGAAGGGAAATTTCTATTACTTACGGGCACATTGTTGCGTAGTGGCATAGCTTTGTAAGGGTGGACGGCATTAATATCCTCTCTTCTTTTCCTAATACTTTTTAAACATTCTTTCAAGTCGTCGGTAGTCCAGCGTCCAGCAAGTTGTTCTTTTGTCTTAAATATTTCTTCTAACACAAAATTTGGTAGTTTGGCTTCGATGTCCATAAATATTGAAGGGACATTAGGATCCGAGTTGTGTTGTTTGAATTGAATGAGTATTGATTCAAGACTATCGGTTAAAAGCGCTAAGTCCTGGTTAAAAAATTCTCCCTTTCTTACAAAGGGAAGCGTTTTAATTGCTTGATAGAGGCTTCGGATAATCTCCTCTTTATTATTAAATTTACTTTCTAACAGGTGGATTGCCTGGCCATAGGAATCGTCAGTAATTGGTAATGATTCGATTAGGCAGAGAGCAGGACCGTTTAGGCAGGATTTTAGGTACGAAAGCTTTACTGCATCGGAAAGAGTTGCCAGTTTTCCAATAGAGGCATTGAATTGGTTCCAAAATGAGAGGAATTCTGCGGATTTTCCATTGAAGGTCGGCAAAGCCATGCGCGGTATATGGGCGTGAGAAGCTGATTGAGCGGAAACGGAAGGAAGGGCTCCTTCTAAAATTTTTTGTGCCGAACGTAACTGGCGTTTGTATTGTTTCAAATGATTTAGGGTCTCAATATAAGGGTATTGTGCAACGAATTGGTCAAAAACTGTATTATCCGCCAATCTTTCGGGACCTGTCATGCTGCTTCTAAGAGACATCCAATTATTGTGGGTGTGCGAGAGGTCGTCTGTGAGTTCGCAAATATTTTGCTTTTCTAAGCATAAGTCGGATAAAAGAGCGTTAATGGATTCGTAAAATTGATTATCGCTTTGAGTGGGACCTTTTATGGGTAAAGCGAATTGTTTGGTATTTTCAAGCGCAAAAGTGGCATCCTCAAATAAACCCTGAAGTTCTGTACGAAAGGCCTGGGACATATTTTCACCGGCTGAGCTGTTGCTTTTTAAGCAAATAAAAATTTAAAAATCCCAAAAAATATATATTTTTATTAACAGAATTTAATTTATTTAAAAAATATTGTCGATGAGCAAAAGCAAAAATAGTAAAAGCTTAATCGGATTTTAAAAAATATGCAATCGTAGAAAAAACTGAATAAGAACAGTAAAAAGTGAACAAGTTGAATTGCTTTAAAAAGGGGATATAAAAAATGTGAAGTCAACAATTGTGGGAAAAAAGGCTTTAGAAAAGGAACTAAAGATTAATTTAAAGTGAAAATATGTGTTGATAGTGTGAATCATTGTTTTTATATATTTTTTTCTATTTCAAAATGCAATTTTGACATTCCTTTGATAAATAAATATTTATCTATCTTAACTTTGATGTTTTTCAAAATATACAATTTTGTTTTAAAGAAAAATTTTTAAATTTGTTTTTAAATTTTAGGTTGGACAATAGAAGAAAAATTTTAAGCGGCTGCACATTGGCTCTCGTAAGAAGTCGTAAGGAACTACTTAACTAATATCAAATAAAAATTTTAAAAATAGTTTCAATTTATCCAACTCCAAAAAGAATACAATTCAAAAAAGATAAATAATGTGGATCTCAACGGTCAACAATGTTGAGTCCTTGTGGTGAACTTTTGGATAATAAAAAATTTTAAAATAATTTCAAATATCAAAAGAAAATCCTCATAGAGGAAAGGAGACTTTTGTCGGTTATTCAGATACATATTTGTTACAGAACTTAATTTGATAGCATAAGGTTTTTGACAGATAATTTAAAAAATCTGATTAACCGACAATTATCAAAAAATGTTAATCCTCCTAGAGGAAATAGTTTGTAAGAAAAAATAATTTAAAATTTCTACAAAGTCGAATCTCAACATAAAATGGATGTATCCTTAATTAATGGTGGTTAGAGTAGCGTTGGCTTAGTATGTTAGGTCTTTTCCTAGTCTTAGTTGTTTGCAGAGCTTTTTAGAACGAAATAAAACCTTCGAAAATCTGAAACTGAATAAGGTAAAAAATATCGAAAATTATAAGAGATTTGAATTTCAGTCAGCCTTAATCTGTTAGTGTTATTCTGTCAGTCGCAGTCAGTATTCTATCCAGCAATTAACTAGAAGTCAGCTCCCTTGGTGATGATTAAATGACCTATATATAGAAGCTAAGTTAGTTTCAAAGTCCCAGTTTTATGTCCCTCTTTCTAAGTCTCAGAAACTAGGTTTTTATTTACACAACCTGATCAAAAAAGTCAAGAAATGAGGTTATCTTTAAACTTATCTTATGTATAGTGAGATCCGACTTTATCTCTAAAGCGATGTCATAACGGTTTTGTTTTCGACCCATAGGGTCAATTGTGTTTTTTGTACAAATTTTCGGGTATGAGACTTGAAAGGAGTCAAATACTTGAAAAAATGACCACTAAAAAGGTTAAAAATAGACTTGTTGATAGAATAAACTCAAAAAATCTCTCCTTTTCCCAATCTCTCCGCTTCCCAACCCTCCTCTTTGTTAAACTAGTCATCCAAAAGATCTCTCTTAACACCATCAAGTATTTTTACAACTTCCTCTGCTTTTTCGAGTACTCGCCTTCTTACTTTTTTCAATGCAATCATTAACATTTCCAATAAGTTCTCTGTTCCGTTGCTTTTTTTATACTTTCTAATCATGAAAACTGCATTATCAACTCCAAATCGACCTTAAATTTTTTAGAGTAATTGCAAATGATCAATCTTTTTTAATACATAAATATTGTAAGGGTATTAAATAATCGGCTGACTTTTTCTGGATGAGAAAAAGTCCGGATATCCTAAATTTCGGTTTGGATATCGAATATCCATAGCTTCGTATATCGGATTAAACAACGGCAAAAATTTTTCCGAATTCCATGCCAAAAATTCTTTTAACATCTCACTTTTTTGTAAAGATTCTTACTCCTTTGGAAGTAATCTCAAAGGATTCTCTTGCGGCCTTAAAAAAGAAGATATCTGGCTTATTATCAAATATAGTGGCGCTACCCTCTCCGAAAATTACTAGCGAGATTCTCTCCGTTACAGGGCAATCTAAGTTCCGGGTCCGAAACTTTTTAAGTATCCGTCAACATTACTACATAAGTTCGATTGTGTTAAGAGTATCCTTAAATTAAAAACTTGCCTGTGCTCATGCCACTCACTGTCTTAGGATTAGCACTTGTATTTGCATCACCTATAGATGCAATAATTGCCGAATCTTTTTTTCCAGAAATTTCTTTTACAGGGTTTTCAATTCCATAAATTGCCAACCAGAATGTGTTTGTGTTTATACTGTAAGGGTTAAATTTAAGAATTTGTGGTTCTCGACCAATTTCCTTGGCGTTATGTTTTCTCCCTAATTTTGTCTTCTCTTTTATACCTTCCTCCATAACAACTACTTGCCCGACAGCTCTTTCTTTATCCAAACCTGACAATCCTCTTCTTTCCAACTCTTTATGATATGAATATTCAAAAACAGCTTTAGCCCATCTTTTTTGCAATTTATCATGAAAATCGTCATATTTTTTTAAAACTTTCTTAATTTTTTTCTTCTTTAAGCTCCAACCTTTAATCTCGCAAAACTCTTTAGCCAGCTTATTTCTCTCATTTTTAAATTCTTCAATAAACTCTACCAATGCCAAAGGTGTCTTTGATGTAATAAATAACGTCGAGTTTGACTCAAAAATAGTTGCAACTATTTTTTCTTTCGATGTTTGATGAGGTTCCTCCTCTATTTTATTCTTACTCTTCTCCTCCCCTTCCTCAATTCCTTTAATAATCTTTTCTTTCAAATTTAGATAATTTTCTTTAAGTTTTACAGAAAGAAAATCAGTTTTCAATTCATTTATATTTTGCTTTGATAGATGTGTCTCCATCTCCGTCATTGGGTCATTAAATAAGAAGGCAATGTTTTCTTCAAAGACCTTGTCCGAATATTTTTTGTCAAAAACAACAACCCCATAATTTATATTTTCTGTCAGTTGTTCTGGTTTTTCTAAAAAAATTGATGTTTAAAAAACCTTTTAAACAAAACTTGCCCAAATATTTCTCGCGTATCTTGTCATTTACTCCACCAGCGCAAAAAAATAAATCAAAAGGAACTCCAACTTTTTTACTCCCTATTAATTTTTTGTTTAAATCTTTCACTTTAGAGTCTGGAATAATATTTTCATCTAACAACTCTACTATATTTTCTGGCAATTCAATTTCTTTATTTTTGTAATAATTCGAGATTAGTTGTTTTTCTTTTTTGCCTAAAACAGCCAAAGGTTTGTCATGTTTTCTATTTATGTCCAAAACAGCTATATCATATATCAGAGTTAAAAATGAGACTTCTTTTTTATTTTTCTCTTTGCCCTTTACATATTTTGACAATTCTTTTAAACGTTCCTTTAACGCGTTTTCCATAATTCCAATGTTAACCATACCAATTTCATCTTCAAGCAATCTTCCCTTTGATTTTCCTTCTTTATCAAATAATTTATCAAATTTAGTGCCCAAAAAGAAACGCAATTGCAACATCCATTTGCGGTCAAAAAATACTAGTTGATTTCGAATATAATGCTCGGAACGATCATTTACAAGGGTTACATTCATTCCTTCTAAAAATAATATAAAATTAAACATTTTAGATTGAAGATGGATGTCCAAAACATATATATGGATACAACGTTTATTTGGCGACTTCTAGGACCTCCAGGAAAATATAGCTATCACCGGAAGAAAACATTGAGCGCAAATCGGCAATAAAGTGAAAAAATATCAACGAAAAAGATTGTTATCACCACTTAAATTATTCTTAATAAGCATTGCACTTCATATAAAAATTATTAATCCCTACTCTCAGATCTCTTTTTATATATGTATTTTTCCACTTTTTAAATGTAAATATAAAGGGTTTGCGACAACTTTTAACGCTTTGTTGTTCTTTAAACTATTAAAACAATAAAGATTTACCAATAAAAAGTTTGAAGGTAGCATACAAACCAACTGGGCCAGCACCTTCCACAATTGCATTTTTGCATTCTTTTCTTTCTTCATACTCCATAGCTTTATTTTCCAAATGTTCTCTATAAATCTTCTCATTTATAGCTTTATCCAATTTTTTACTTTGTATTTTAGACAACTCAAAAATCTTTTTCAAAGTCCCCTCCAACTTCTCATCTTTCTCCATAAAAGAGAATATATCAATCAAAGAGCCTTCTTCTCCATCATAATTTAAATCTCTAATAAACACTTTACAATTAATAATTAAATTGATAAGCCGATTTATGCAGTCTTCCTTGTTTGATGAAGAAGGTTCTTTTGGCTTCTTAGAAGGAAGGAAAGCTTCAAAATAATGAAGACCCCTTTTAAAGCACAAACACTTTGAAAGGGAACTATTTTCTTTACTCATCTCATACTCCATTAATTCATCTTCAACGTTTTTTGGCTCGCATTTTGTCTCATTATCAAAGTTTTCTGAAACAAATTTCTCAGCTTTATTTGTGATACTTTCTACAGCCTTCTTATATACTTCAATAAATTCTGTCGCTCCAATTTTTAAATTTTCCGTAAAATATTTTTCAATTTTATCCAAATTCTCTGATTTTAAAATATATTGAAATTCCTCAAATAAAATGACATCATTTGATTGTGTACTGCCTCGGGGCTGTCCATTCGAATTGTCTATCTCAGCGATGTTAATTAACTGTTGAATGCGCCAATCTTCAAGGCCTTTCACTGAAAAAACATTGGAAAGTTAAGACAAATCCCGTAGGCTAGCGAGACTCAGGTTCGATGCCTCGCGGGGTTGGTGGCTGCTTTAGTTAGTCCTGTGTGGTGGTAATCGGATCTAGCTTTTCTTGTAACTCACATGTCAGCAGGGTTTGACTGCTAGGTTGGCTGATCCGCATATCCGAATTCGAAAAATGCCGGGTATCCGTAAATTTTCGGTTCGGATACCGGATCTCGGATATCCGAATATTTCCAACTATTCGCCAACCTTATTGACTACTAACAAGTATATAAATCCATAACGCTTTCCTTTCGGCTGTAAAATAGCCTTTGTTGTTGCTTGAATTACACCGAAAAAAATATTTATTCCCCAAGTTTTTAATATTCTTTCACCTTCATTAAATTTGTATCGTTTGCCTTCATTTGTTGAGGGAAAAGCGGCAAATGCCAGATTGTTTTGTATTGTTGTAGGTTTTTCTTTCGGATCAACAGCTCCATTTTTATCGAAAAATGAAACGAGAATCAAAGCAATCCAAAACACATCAAAAAGCAAAAATATTTTTGTTTTGTCTCTCATTCGGATTTTTCCGAATCCTTTGTTTAAAGAGAAGAATCTCTTTAAAGAGTGAATATTTCGTCAAAATGTTAAAGTTTTTTGGTTGAATAAAAGTAAATTTTAGCTAAAATAATTTTACATATACATACATCAACTCTCAATATAACGAATTTGAAGACGTTTTAACGAGATGTTCGTTATATTGAGAGCAAAGGTGGATTGGAATTCCGATTTTTGATTTCCGAAATTTGGGAAAAATCTTAAAATTCCAATAATTTTTGAGATAGTATATCAAATCAAATAAAATAAACGTAAACAAACGATTTCCTTAACATAATTTAAAAATTGTACTTATAAAAGTGTCTTTTAAGGTGATTTGGGAGTGAGTTAATAAATTGGGATAGGTATATCAAAAGTGACTAGGAGTCAACTAAAGTGATCGGAGGTTGAATTACGCATATGTTGGGGAATAAATTTATATAACCGAGCAGTCCTAACAAAAAAGGAGTGGAATCTAGCTTTGTGTTACGTGCTATGGGTAAAATGTTTTGTAATCCCCTGGTATTAGCTTTATTATATTTCCGACTGAAGATTTTATTTAAATTTCCAAATCGCCCACGGTGCTGAAAATGGACAGTTCCAATTTCCGGCATCTCTCCTTAGTTATATGCCAAATAAAAATTTGAATGTAAAAAATAGAAGAGTTTTAACAAATTATGTAATTTAAATTAAATTTGTTTATTATAAAAAAGACGTTATTTAATAATAAATATTATACATATAATTCGCTTTTAAAAATTAAAAAAAAATGTAAAATTGATTAGGGAGTTATTTAAATTGAATGCCCTCCTCTTTCGATGCTTTAAAAGGAATTATTGATTCTGACATTTGACAGGGCAAAAATAATTGGCATATGACTTAAACAAAATTAAAACACAATCCGAAAACAAATTTTAATGTTGAGTTATTCAGTAGTCTAAACATGTTTACTGCTAGAAAGCTAATTTTTAAGTATTTTGTATATAAAAATCAAAAGTTGGTTAACTAGAAAAGGCTAAATGTTTAAATATTTAGGTCCAAGTTTAAATACAGTTGGACCTCAATATGAGATATCTAGATCCTTAAGGCTGAAAAAATTGTATATAATGAAGTGTATCTTAAATAGAGGGTATCTCGTATTTCTATCGTATAGGTAGTGGGATTTTCGGTTGTATTTGAAGGTGGCAATGAAATGATTTTAAACATCTAAGGGTCGTCGAGGTGCATAGAGCCATACGAGGATGTCCCGGATTCGACAACTCTGAACGAAGTTATAGCTCGGCGGTACCTTGGGCTTGCGGTACCTTGGGATGTATACGATAAAAATTACCCGATAACCCTTTGAAAAGCACATAAAATCGAGATTCGACTATACTTTAAAAATATTTTTTTTACTTTTTTTGACCTTTTAGATAAGAAAAGTGTCCTTTCCTTTCCATCGTTTAAATAATATAGCGATAAAACATATTAGTTTGTTGTAATCGATTCCTTTCATTTTAAAAAAAAGTTTTTTTGTTAACCACCTTATAATTTTGCAAATGTTTTAATAATTTTTGCCTCTTCATTTTGACGTTTTTAAAAATAAAAAATATTTTTAAAAATAATAATAACTTTAAAAATTTCTTTTTCTTTAAAATAAATTTATTTTTTCTCTTCTTTGAAAAATTATTTCTGTTAGAAATTAGGAATTTATTTTAATATAGTACGGTTTGCATCCAAACTAAGGTTTGCATCCCTCCTTAATCCCTTTTCTTTATTTACCATAATTTGCCACTTTACAATTTTATATATTAATTCAGTTTTGAAAATAAAAATTTTATTGCCTATTTCCGAAGTTTTTTCCTTCCGATTTCCGAGTTCCGACTTTTCAGCCAGTTCCGATTTCCGACACCTCTGGCTGTTCCGACCCACTTCTGGTCCGGATATATGTTTATGTAAAAACACCTAACAGCATTTAAAACGCTTAGGCGGGGGTTAAACGCTTTATAAGGAGAATAGAGAAAGCCGTAGCCCCAGTAGCTCAGTAATTCGAATCTTGCCCGGTGGCTACACTTTTGTTAAACGCATACTTTTTAACGACATTTGATAACCTTTAAAGCAATCCTAAGGGTAACTTCTATCGAGATTCAATTTTATTTCCATTTATCCCCTCAAACGTGTTCCTAATTAAGTTTGTTTTATATTCGAGTTGATTACCTAAATACTATATTTTGAAATATTTTCACACTAATTTATTAAAACTGAAAAACGTATGAAAAACGAGGCTGATGATAATGACAGTTCTGAGGTGTCTTTAAAAATTCTTTGAGAACATTAGCAAACTGAATTTTCCCTTTAGGGACTGGAAGCTTTATTGAATCGCGCAAAATGGACAGATTCACAATTAGAGGAAGTTATGCGGTTAATTTATGGGAGACGTTGTCCGTAAGTGAATTAAAGTCAGACCTCACGCATACCTCCAATATTAGACCTCGATTACCATCTTTGTTCGGCACAAACCTCCTCTTATTGTAAGGAAGAAGGGAGGTCCCTCTGGCTAACTTTTAAAACGCTTACTAGGCGAGGGTATGAGATCTACTTAAGGGGGGAAAGCAGCAACCCGATAGCTAAGCGGATATTTAATTGAGAGCGGAAGTTCCCAGCAATAACCTGTTAGATATTCGTAGGAGTGATGTCTGTCTTAGTTAGACTTTTAGGTATTATTATATATATTATGCCTCATTCCGGTTCCGGGAATCGGAACTAAAATTGGATCCGGTTTCGGCCAAAATTTCGTTTCCGGTGAAACACTTATATACCCCTCATCAAAAGATGCGGTTTTACCCTTAGAGGCTATCTAATAGAGAGGTTTGACCAATGGAAATTGTTAAAGCTCTCATTAAAATTTAGAAAAAAATTTTTGGAAAAAATTTTATTTTTTAAGACAACTTTCCTTGAGTAATGATTTATTGGAGGCATCTATGAGTAATGGATTTGAAATTAAAGGCTTTCAAATTAAAGCATTAGAGGAACAATGCCGTCGCCCTAGAAGAGTGGGGTTTTATTTAATATTTCGAAAAAAAAATATTTAATAGGTTCGAGTTTCTGCTATACAAAATAAAATTGTTTTGCCAACAAGTGCTCCTATAATACAGCAAAGGGAGGCAATACATCAAAGGGTAAAACTAGAAAATTAGGGTTGGACTCCGACCAGTGGTTTGAAGCTCCTACCAAAATTAGTACTCGTACCTGGGAGGGATGGGACGGGTTAAGAAAAAGTTGTGGAGGATTTTGTATCGGGTTCTAGAAATTTTTTTCGGATCGGGTTTCGGGTAACCGTACCATCCCTGCTGTGTACGAAGTAAGAATACAAGCAATAAATGGTCAGGTACGTGTACGAGAAAATAAAATAGGCCAAGTACGAAGGTAAGAGTACGAGCAAATTTCAAAATTCCAACCATTGACTTCGACTCAGGAATCTTTCTGGTTGAAAACCTGAATACTATAGTTAAATACAGGTCTTCCATTTGCAGGATCTCGGGTTTGGATAATTCTTAAGTCCCTCATAGTGTACTAGAGAAAGATTCCCCTTATTTGGGAATAATAAATATTATTATTAGATCGGTGTAATGATTGATATGGCAGCCGAAGCAGGTGCACAAATTATTTGCTTGCAGGAAGCCTGGCGTTAGTAATTGAATTGTTTTTGTATAAAATTTATTTTTAGCAATGCCTTTTGCTTTTTGCACGCGGGAAAGACTCCCTTGGTATTTTACAAAATATTTTTTAATCGAAAATTTATAAAGGACTGAATTTGCTGAGTCCGCAGAGGATGGACCATCAACTAAATTTTTAAGCAATGTAAATTATTATGATAAAAGGAGGTGGGGGGAGGGGGTGTTTCGTGCATTACGGACTAGGACAAGCCTATGAGGGTTGCCTTCGAACTCCTCTAACAACAACACCCTCGGGTCCGAATTTAGCTGACGTATAAAGGAAGTAATATGCAAGGCGTTCGTAGTTGAATTGTTTGGGGAGTCAAGAGGGGAGTCAGAGGAGTTAAAAAAATGTGAGGGGAGTGTCGGCAACGGCCGAAATTAATTTTAAATTAATCACTAAAATATTTTTTATATTTTTTAAATTTTAAATTAATCATTGAAATATATTTTTATATTTTGAAATTCTTCATTTTTTTAAATGTTATTACCCTTTTTTAATGTCTCATCCTCATTCTTTCCTAAATTAACCTTTTTTTTCTGATGCAATTTTGTCCTATTTAAACTAAACACTAACCGCTAACACTTAATCATTTTTCTATCCCTTAAATTAAAATGTTCCCCTTCTTATTTTAAATAAATTAAATAAATTATTTTAATTGATAAATTTCTTTTAAATTATTTTTCCTGTAAATTAGTTTGGGGGTCTAAATAAAGACATTTGGTGCCACGAAAAACTGGCCGGGGGAAACAACAACCGTCGAAGCCGAAGCAGAAGTAGGGACCGACATCGGCAGCGACAACACAGACAACAACCACAAAGAAGAGATCGTCGGCGTATTTTCCGACCGACTCGCTCGTTTCCTAGGCGAGCACAACATCCACCACAAAGGCAGCGCATTCCAAATCGCCAACACCGTCCAATCCTCGATCGAGTCCAATTCACCAGCCCAGCACATAACAGGCAGTTTTCTTTTAATAGGAGAAATAACAACTATTTTCCGAGGGGAGGCGGGTCCCAATTAAATAATTGGTTCCAAATTCCACAGCGACCTGCTCATCCACGTGCTGTTTTTGTGCCATACTACACACAACCAAACTTTCCCGCGCCTTTTGTTCAAACTCTTCCACCACCTGTTCCAAATTTTCCTCCTCCTTCTGTGCATCCTCAACCTCTTTTCTACTTTCCACGAGCTCCACACTACTAGGTGAGTAAAAAAAATGGCAGAAGGTTTCAAAAATACTTTAAATCCCCTAAAAGCCCGATTAATTAGACTTGACCAGGAGGTAGTAGAAATAGATTTTCTGGTGCAAAATGAGGACTTTAATAGGAAAAATGAGTTAATAAGAATGGCTGAATCATACATTGAAAAATACGGGGATACATTTACAGCCATTAATGAAATAAATTTTGAATGGTTAAAATACCTGGGGTCAATAAAAAATACAACTGAAAAAGTATCAGAATCTGGGGAGCATTATACATTTACCAGCAGAGCAGAAACGGGGTTATTTACGCAAATGGAAAACTCGCGTAATATAATTGATCGCTTAAAAGAAAATTTACGCGTATTAAAAAACTCTGCTCAAACAAATCGGGGTCAAGAAATAAATAATGCAAAATTGCCGGAACTGGCACTTCAAACATTTAATGGGGATATTTCTAAATATACTGAATTCATTGAAGACTTTACAACAAATATCGGGGATAGAACAGACATTTCCAATAAAATGAAATTGGATTATTTAAAACGCTCATTAAGGGGAGAAGCATTTAAATTAATTGAAGGGATTCCTTCAGAAGGAAAAAACTTACCAACTGTAATGGAAATCCTTAAAAATAATTATGGGAATCCAGAAATAATTAAAACATACCTTCACGGGGCTCTACGAAAAATTCCGAGATCCTCACCTCATGTTCCCGAATTAAGGCAAACATTAAGGCAAATAGATACAATCCTACGACAGCTTGAACTCATGGGGGAATCAATCGAGCATAGACAAATAATGATTGAAATAGAAAGCAAATTACCGCGTTGGACCCTTACTGAGCTAGCCAAGGAAAAAATTAAAATACCAAATATGAGCGTAAAGGGGATGTGGGATTTTCTCGATAAATCTGTTCGATTAAAAGAAGAAGTATATAAAATGGATCGGGAATTTAGCACTGGAGAACCACCTAGAAAAACAATTTTAAATAAAAATAATCAATGGGGTACCCAAAGGGTAACAAATTTTCAAAATTATGGGCAAAATTTAAATCGAAGAAATTTTCCCAAACATACAGTAATGTATTCATTAAATAAAGAAACTAATTTAAAATGCGCATTCTGTTCCGATCCACATTATGATAATCAGTGTAAAAAATATAATAATATTGAAAAACGTGTTGAAAGAGCACGCGAGCTAAAACTTTGTTTAAAATGTCTAAAATTAGGACATGGGGCAAACAATTGTAAAAATAAAATCGAGTGTTTTCATTGTAAAGATAAACGTCACTGTTCCGCTCTCTGTAGAAGAAAAGAAAAAATCGGGGAAAATAAAAATTTTCAATATAGATCGCACGCACCAATGAAAACAAATACAAAAATGGACAAACAGCAAAAAATTATGGCTAACGTCCAAGAGAGCGATTCGAATGTTGAGGAAAGTGACGATGAAAATGACGTAATTATTCAACACTCTCAAAATGAAAAAAGGGGTGAGAAAAATGAACAAACAATCTTTCACGTGCTTAAAACTAATATAAATTCTGGGGTAAATAATCGATCATTTGAGGCTTATGCATTTTTAGACAGTGGGGCAGAAATTTCATTAATTAAAAATAGCCTGGCCGATAAAATAAAATTAAAGTTAATCTCTACTGAGACAATCAGGGGTACTGGAGCAATGGGCACACGTTTTGAAGAAAAGGCTAATGTTTACAAATTTTATCTCCACTGTAAAAATAATCAAAAAATGGAAATCATAGCCCGGGGAGTAGAACATTTGCCTAAACCTGTTTTAGTGCTAGATCCAAAATTAACAAAAAGCACAAAAAATTTCGCAACTATTCCGAAATGTTTTGCATCACTAAAGGAACCAGAACTATTAATAGGGGCTGAATACTATTTTGATCTTCTGGACTTCCCTAAAACTAAATCTGGTTTTAACCTAATAAATACTAAAATTGGTATGTCATTAGCAGGCAAAGGTTATATAGAAACCTCTAAAAAAGAAAAACAAATTTTGCCATTCTTTATGGACTCTACTGATGAAAGCGATGACGATTCGCCCTTTCCTGGAAGAGGACATTTCAGAAATAACTTAGAAAGCCCTCCGCCTGACCCAAAACCCACTCAAAGGGAATTTCAACAAACACACCGAGAAAATAGGGCCCCCATACCGAACATGTGTTTTTGTAAGTGTTACAGAGACCCGAGCATTAAATGCAAATGTAAAAGTAAATACCCTTGTATTTGCACTCCTGTTCCAGTTGAGCCTAAAAATGCAAAGAAAATTAATATTGGGGGAATGTATTCAGCTAGACTCCGCACTTTAAAAGACCAAATTAAAATTAGAAAAAAGAATAAATCAATTGAAAAAACAGCAAAAAATATACAAATGAATACATTATTTTCGGATGAAACTATTGAAAATTTTTGGAATCTTGAGGGGATAGGAATAAGTGAATGCCCATACCAAAATGACGATAAAATCGCCTACGAACTTTTTTTGAAAAATATAAGGCGTGACAAGATGGGCCGTTATAAAGTTGCTCTACCCTGGAAAAATAAAGAGTATACACTTCCCGATAATTTTTGGATTTCATTCCAACGTTTAAAGGGCATCTGGCAAAAAATTATAAAAATCCCAGATAAAGAATTGAGAGAAAAAACACTTAAAAAATATGACGAAATATTCAAAGAGCAATTAAATGAGGGAGTGCTCGAAATTGTTGAAAATGATAATTCTGAAAAAATACATTATATTCCGCATCATGCCATTTATAGACCAGAAAAAGATAAAATTAGGGTGGTTATTGATGCAAGTTGCAAAACAAAAAATAATGAAAGTTTAAACCAGGGCTCTCATCGACAAAATGCCAATCAAAAGTACAAAAATCTTGATTTTAAAGTACATAGGGACAAAATTTTCAAATTTAAAGTACACTCAAAATTAAATTCGAAAATATTTATTCGTCCTCAAATCTTTTATATTTCTCTCCTAAATGAATCTTTTCTAATAATTTATTGCTTCCACTGAGCATTTTGTGCATTTCAATGCATGACATGTCAAAATTCGCTGACACAAGAAGTAAAGCCTGACAGTCTTAACCTCAAGCAAGCTACTTTCTTTCGTCCATTTTCAGCGCCGCAGGCGAAAATTTTGAGAATTTTAGAGCTCAAGAAGCCATATTTCTTCCATTTTTAGCGCCGCAGGCAAAAATTTTTAAAATTTTAGAAGGCCGTAGGCAAAAAAATTCACTTTTTCAGCAGCGCAGGCGAAAATTTTTTGAAATTTGGAGCCCAAGAAGCCAGATTTCTTCCTTTTTCAGCGCCGCAGGCGAAAATTTTGAGAATTTCGAAGGCCATAGGCCAAATAAATTACTTTTTTGCCCAATGTCTTCCCCAATTTCATTTTCAATCCAAAATTTTGATTTTAAAGTACATACTTTCAATAAAGTACAAATTCAATTTTGTAAGTACGGAGGTCGATTTTAAAGTACTGTACTTTCAAATAAAGTACGAATGAGAGCCCTGGTTTAAACCAGCAACTATATCGGGGCCCGGTCCTTTTACCTGATCTTTGTGCAACTTTAATAAAATTTCGGACTTATGATATAGCCATTATTGCGGATGTTAAAGCGGCCTTCCATCAAATTGAAATCCATAAAAAGGACCGCGATGTCTTACGATTACTTTGGCTTAAAAATCTAAATGAACCGCCAAGTTTGGAAAATGTCATAAAACTACGTCATAAGAGACTTCCATTTGGAGTGATTTCCGCACCCTTTTTAATGGCAGCAGTCATTCAATATCACTTAGAAAATGAAAATAATAACCTAGAAATCGAAACGTACGCGGACAACGTTTTTATTACCGCTAAAGACGAATCGGATGCAATTGCTAAATGTAACCAAAGTATTATATTTTTCGGAAAAGCCAAAATGGAATTGCACGAATTCGCCTCTAATTGCAGTAAAGTGAATGAAAAATTTGGGGATAAAAATAAAATTTCTAAAATGAAAGTTCTAGGTATTAGATGGGACGTAGATTCGGATAAATTAAGTTTTAAAATTTCAAAAATAGAAAACAAAATCTGGACAAAAAGAATAGTCTTACAAACGGTTGCAAAAATATTTGATCCATTGGGGCTCCTTATTCCGGTTCAACTTACTAAAAAATTATTCTTTCAAAAATTGTGGAAAAAGGGAATAGGATGGGACGACCGATTAGACAATTATGACCTAGAAGAATGGGAAACAATAATTTCGGATGAAGGAGAAATCACTTTAAATAGAAAACTATTCGAAAATTTTAATAATTCAAAAATTGATTTACATGTTTTTGTGGACGCGTCCGCATTGGCCTATTCAGCGGTGGCATATGCGAGACAGCAAAACAAAGAAAAAATTAAAACAAATATTATTTTTGCCAAAAATAGATTATGTCCATTAAAAAACATTACAATACCACGCTTAGAACTTTTAGCGGCCTTAATTGGATCTAGGATGGTTAAATTCTTAAAAAAGGAAAGCAAAATAAAATTTAATTCAATCACTAATTGGTCGGACAGTAAATGTGTAATCGCGTGGATATCAGGGGAAAATACAAATAAGTTACCGCGCTTTGTAGCCCGACGCGTAGAAGAAATTAAAGAAATTACAGAAATTAAATGGCGGTACATAAATACAGAGCAAAATCCGGCAGACTGTGCCACCCGCGGACTAACAATAAATGAATTAAAAAGTCATGAACTCTGGTGGTCTGGGCCCGAATTCCTTTCCTTGGATAAATCGGAATGGCCAAAAATTCCAGAGGACCTAAAAATAGAAATTAAAAATATAAAAGAAAACTTTGTAAAAATTAACACGCTAGAAATTGACTTTATTGATCCAAAAATTAGAAACGAATGGAAAAAATTGGTCTCTATAGGAAAAAATGTGTTAACCTTTATTAAAAATATTTCAAAAAACAAAAAAGATTGGCAAAATACAATTTTTAAAGAACTAAGAAACCTAAAGGGAAATACTGAACTGAGAAAATTAGCAGAAATAATTTTAATTAAAAATTCACAAATTAGATATCCGCCAACGCCCAGCCTCAAAAATTGCTTGAATATGGAGAAAAATAATTATGACTTATGGATTTGTAAAGGTAGGCTAGAGAACTTAGAAAACCACCCCGTATTCCTTTCAAATGAGAGTGAAATAACACAAATGATCTGCCAAGAATTTCATAGGAAAAACTTACATGCGGGGATACAACAAACGTTAGCAGATATGCGTATACAGTTCTGGATCCCCAAAGCTCGAATTTTGGTTAAAAATGTAATTAAAAAATGCCAAAAATGTTTCATGTACAATCTAAAACCATATAAATTTCCCAAAATGGCACCTCTTCCGGATGACAGAATAAATAGGTTCCAAGTTTTCGAACGCACAGGTGTTGACTATATGGGGCCTCTTTATGTTAAAAATGGGGAAGATGCTTTAAAAATATGGATTTGTTTATTTACTTGCCTTACATGTAGAGGGATACACTTAGATATAGCTAAGGATCTAACTGCCTCTTCTTTCCTACAAATTTTCACTAGATTCACAGCAGAGTATGGATTACCAAGGAAATTAATCAGTGATAACGGAACCCAATTCAAAATGAGCTCTAAGGCTGTCATAGAAATTCAAAAAAGTTTTGAAGCCGAAAAACTAGAGTGGAAGTTTATTCCCGAGCTTTCACCATGGTTTGGTGGAACATATGAGCGCTTAGTGGGATTAACTAAAAAACACATTAAATTGGTTACAGGGAAAAAATATTTAGAAATTGAAGACATGCGAACACTAATAGTTCAAGTAAAATCGATAATCAATTCTAGGCCATTAACTTATGTTTGTTCGGACATGGAATCACCCAATCCCTTATGCCCTATAGATTTTATGCAACCAAATAAAAATAAAAACGAATTTTTACGCTTAATACCCGAAAATGAAAATGACCTTGAATTTAAGGAAAAGGAAAAAACACATGAGAAATTAGTAAATATTTGGGGAACACTTCAAATAAGAGTTGAAAAATTCTGGGAAAGATGGTCCACTGAATACTTACAATCGCTCAAAGAACGAATGGACAAACATAAACAAAAGAAATACACAACCTACGAACCAAGTGAGGGAGATATAGTGTTGATTGGCGACAAAAACCTCCCTAGAAATCAATGGAAAATGGGTAGAGTGGTTAAACTAATACAAGGGAGAGATGGAGAAAAAAGAGTAGCCAAAATTCTCTCGAAAGGAAAAACGCTAACTAGAGCAATACCCCTTCTTTACCCATTAGAAATTCGCGCAGAAACTGAAGAAAAGCCAAAAACAGAAAAATCCACTAAAATTGATAAAAATGAAGAGAAAACAGAAGAATATAGAGCAAAACTCAGATCCTACAAAAAACCAGCTGCAAAAGAAATAAAAATAAAAACATTGCTAAACATTTCTCTAATCGCCTCACTTATTTTTTGGCCGCTATCGCACGCTAGACCCTGCAAAAGCAATGAAAATACAAAATTAGTGGACATAGACACGTGCGTACAAAATGCTTTTGGGGTATACAAAGGTGAAAAGGGAACACTTTGTTGGAAATATATAACATGCGAAAACGGAGCCATTAGAGTCTCATCGGATAAAAAATTATTTTGTGGCGATAAATGTAAATGTTCTAATTGGACTCAAAATTGTAGCTTTTATAAGGGACCAAAATCATCAAATTCGACAATAAAAGATAAAGAAGTAAGAAAAATTTTAGAAAAAGAAAAAATTAAATTTTGTTCCCTGGAACCGAATGAAAAATGTGGGATGCCCGAAATAATAGAAGCAAACCAAATTCAACTTTTCGATGGAACTAAACACTTAATTAAGGAATTAAATATTGCCCACATAGATAATTTAAATGGCAATTATGAATGTATTGGGGTAGGAAAGACAACAGGAAGCCCGCGTTACTGTAAAAATAATTTTTGTCACGAAGAAGGAACGCGCTTTTGTTACTTCAGGCAATATGAATTAACCGTTCTAGTAACCGATGAGGGCAATATTCCTATACAAAGTTGGGGATCAATTAAAATTAAAGTTTATTACTGGCCTGAACAAAAGAAAGAGCACTGTAAAAACTGCGAAATTGAATGCGCGAAACAAGGAATAAAAATAAAATATAAAGAAAAAATAGGGGGGTTAGAAATCTTTATTAGTGGAAAGCCAGAAATGTACATTCCTCACCCAGAAAATGGTCAAATAATTTATCTCCCAACTGAACAAATTATTTCAGAATATGAAGTTTCAGTAAAATTTTGGAAAAATGGAGAACAAGTTTCTGAAATGGGAATAAAATGTCCGGCTCAAAAACACTGCGAATTAATTGAGTGTACAGTTTGTATCCAAATGCTCACTAACCCTCAATGCACGCCAAAGGAATGGATAATCATATTAGTATTGGGCCTTTACTTCATCTTGGGATTTTTGATAATGATTTGTAGAATTTTAAAATTTGGCCTGGGAGGGATGCTTTGCATTATGCGACACAAATGGAGGCTTTGTAAAATTATCGGAAAACTTTTTAGGCGCAGAGTCAGAAAAGAAAAATCAGAATTTACAGAATTTAAGCCCTTAACTAAAACTTACAAAACCAACCTCCCAAAAGAAGTAATATTGATAACTTTACTCTTACTTACTCTGCCAATCCAAAGCCTAGAAATAATCAACGCCAAGGATGAACATTGTATTGTAAATAAAGAAGGGCAACGCACATGTTCATATGAAAACGTGTTGGAGCTCAACTTTTGTTTACAATCTCAAAATGGCCAAGAAGCGCAAATTATTTTACAGGATTCCGGAAATCGACCCACGGGGAAAATTACTCTAAAAATAAATGCCATACAAGCTGTTTGCGTTCGATCAGCTAAATTCTTCACAAGGGATTTTGAATTAGGGGCAAACTCAGTTTATCTATGTAGTGGAGAAGGATCTTGTGCCTCTCAGCAAAAATGTGAAACTCTTGGGGTAAATGAGAGCATAAGTGAAATTCCTAAATCAAACCATTTACCCGGCACTTCTGGATGTCTCGATCCTTGCAAGGGACAACTTTTTTGCCAAAATTGCTATTATTCTAGTTACACATGCCTATTTTTCAGATGTTTCGCAGAACCCAAATCAAAAGAAATATACGAAATTTTTGAGTGTCCCGAATTTGGTTTAGAGCTTAAACTAAATATAACTATTGAAAATGCCGAACAAAAGTTTGAAAAAGAAATGAGATTACGCCCGGGGTTCACAGAAAATTTCAAGGAGATTAAACTTACCGCCACCTCAATGACTGTTCCCCCTATACCAGCATTAGGGCGTTCAATACTAACAGATGGTAATCGATTTGCCATAATTACAAAGGAACAAGAAAATTCTGCTAAAAGAGTCTTTTGCCCGAATATTAATGAAGCAGCCAAATTCAGCTCAAAATGTATAATGAAAAAGGAAATTTGCAAATGTGAAAAAAGGAAAAATAAAATAATGTGTGGGAAGCAAAACGGGCCTTATTTGAAGGATATTTTTCTGGGAGAAAAAGTTTTACCTCTGGTACACAATGGACTCCTTTTAAAAAATGAGAATAAAGAAATAGTGGCAATTCCGGAACTTACGGCGGCCATTCTCCAGATTAGATTAGCGGGTGTTAGTTTCAAAGCCCAAATCGAATTAAATACTTGTAAAATAACCCCATATGAAATTGTTGGTTGTTACGGATGTGAAAAAGGGGCCACCTTTAAGTTACTATGTCTTACAGATTTCGGGCGGACATTAGCCACTTTAATATGCCCTTCTTTTACCAGTGCCGTCACGTGCGAGCCAACAGCCAACAACAAAACACTCTCTCTACATTTTGACCATGCTGATATTGATGAGAACTGTGAGGCCTTTTGCCCAGCTTCGACTACCCGTTTTAGAATTTTTGGAAAACTTTCCTCCCCAGAACTGGTTATTTTTGATTCTAGAAATTGGGACTGGACCGCAAGAAAAGACATTAACTCGAAAATTGATTGGCTATCAATTATTAAAAATTTTGTTTTTAATGCACACTTCCCCACCCTAATTCTCTCTCTTTCTATTGGCGGCATCCTAATCTACTTTTTGGCACCTTTTCTTCTAACACTTCTTTTTGCCATCTTCTCTTTCCTAATTAAACTTCTTTGTCTCCGGAGTGTCGGCAACGGCCGAAATTAATTTTAAATTAATCACTAAAATATTTTTTATATTTTTTAAATTTTAAATTAATCATTGAAATATATTTTTATATTTTGAAATTCTTCATTTTTTTAAATGTTATTACCCTTTTTTAATGTCTCATCCTCATTCTTTCCTAAATTAACCTTTTTTTTCTGATGCAATTTTGTCCTATTTAAACTAAACACTAACCGCTAACACTTAATCATTTTTCTATCCCTTAAATTAAAATGTTCCCCTTCTTATTTTAAATAAATTAAATAAATTATTTTAATTGATAAATTTCTTTTAAATTATTTTTCCTGTAAATTAATTTGGGGGTCTAAATAAAGACAGGGAGTCAAATCAGTTCAAAACATACCCCCTCTGGAACTCTCATGAGTTGAGGTATGAACGGTAGAGTTTCTGATTGGGTGTCATATCAGAGAAATTCAGATGTAACAATATTATATGGTAGCCTGTCTATGTCCTAATATGCAGAGGTTGATCAAAATTCCGATTTCCGGCACCTTCGTCATTTCCGATCGCCCTCTGCTAATATTTTAAATAAACTTTTTAGTCTGTATTTTTATTTAAAGTTGGCTAAAAAGCATGGAATTGTTATTATTTCTCCCATTTTGGAAAGAGATAAGGATGGTCTAATTTGGAATACTGCGTAAAACATCTTTCAATTTAACTTAAAAAATTAATTTTTAAGTGTAATAATTTCCCACACTGGCACAGTTATTGGCAAAACACGGAAAAATCATATCCCTCGAGTTGGCGATTTTAACGAGTCAACATATTATATGGAATCTTTATTGGGACATCCAGTTTTTGAAACTGCTTTTGGCTAGTTTTCTTAATAACTATATTATTTTTTTAATCAAGACTATCATTATGAAATACCCGTTTAAAGCCATAAAAAAATTTTGTCTTATAATCAGGAATACCGTATTTCCGAAAATAAAACCCCACCTTGAAATAGAGCCCCCCCCCCTCCACCCTGGAATAGAGCCCCACCTTGGAGGATAGTTCAAAAATAGAGCGTTTTATTTTCGGGAATACGGCATCTTAAATTTGGGGTATCGCTTTAGGCAGATACCTCATTCGGGAGCAGATAGGCCGGATTGTGAAATAAATCGAGTTGGGTCAGTTATAAAAAGTGTTAATTCAGCCTTGAGAATTTATTTGAGGAAAATTCCATTTTCTTAGGATAGGGGTTCGATCAACCCTCCCCATCCCTACTCAGTAATCAACAGAGGTGGGTCGGATTTCCAATTTCCGACGTTTTTTGCTTCCGATTTCCGAAAAAAATTTGATTTCCGAGTTCCGACATTTGAGCCAGTTCCGATTTCCGGCTCTTCCGATTTCCGATACCTCAAATTTTAGAACATTTATTTTATATCTTTTCTCTTTTAAAGGCAAAATTGCTGTAAATATTTGTTATGGTCGTCATCACCCACAAAATTGGTTAATGTATGCCCTTAACGGTGTTGATTTTTGAATTTTTCTTTTGGCTACCCTACAACTCATCGAATCCTTAACTCATCGAAACCTCAACTCATCGAATCGGCCAAAAACACTCAACTCATCGAATCCTTAACTCATCGAATCCTCAACTCATCGAATCGGCCAAAAACGATCAACTCATCGAATTTTTACAAAAGGGGACGTTTGAGTCCCTGTGTTTATTTTTTAGATTTTTTATTGTTTTGTTTATTTTTTTTGTTTTCTTCTGGGGTTTCAACTAATTTTGTTAATTAGTTGATCGGGCACTTATCCAAGTTTATCCGGCCAGTGAAAACATTATCAGAACATTATCTCATTCCTGAAAACATTATCTCATTCCTAATAAATTATGCTGGAGATTTTACCGGGTAAAACCGGACCAAATTAGTCCAGTAGACCCCGATTATGCCCAAAAGCCCTTTTTCCTAGCCTCCATAGCAGCAAAAAATTTTTTCAACGAAGATTCAGTTAGCCCTTTCGGGAGAAAAATAAAAACAGGGGACTCAAACGTCCCCTTTTGGAAAAATTCGATGAGTTGATCGTTTTTGGCCGATTCGATGAGTTGAGGATTCGATGAGTTAAGGATTCGATGAGTTGAGTGTTTTTGGCCGATTCGATGAGTTAAGGAATTTTAGCCGATTCGATGAGTTGAGCGTTTTTGGTCGATTCGATGAGTTAAGGATTCGATGAGTTGAGCGGGCACGTTTCTTTTTTCTTAACCTTCACAATTTAAAGGGGCAGAAATAATTTTTAATCCGTCAGCAACAATTAGCGGACTTAGTGAAGCTCTATGGCCTATTGAAGCTAGAAATGCTGCTATAGCCAATCATGTTTTTACTGTTGCAATTAATAGGGTGGGGACAGAAGTTTTTCCAAATGAATTTACTTCTGGCAATGGAAAGCCTGGTAAATTGATAAAATAAAATTGGGGCTTTTGACTTTACCGTAAATGTGCTGATAGAAGCCAATCTCGTATTGGAGCCCATGCCCTATTAGAGAAGCCCATGCCCTACCCGTTGAAAATACTAGGGCTTCTGTTTGGGCATTTACATTAGGTACTATATTCCAATTTTTACTCTTCACATAATGCAATCTTGTTAAAAAAGTAAACTACAATTTACAATGAGCATTAAGTCAAGTTTCGTCCTAGATTCGAGAGTTTTAATTCTTTCCTAGAAAATCGAGCAATCCATACACAAATGACGTTACCCATGAATCTAGTTATAAGATTTTAATTAGACTGTAACATAAACTTGTACTCCTGGATTGTAGAGACTTCCAAGACCTTTGTTCTTGACTCAAAACTTTTCTTGGGGTTTTTTTCGGTTTTGAGTCTTGGGGTCAAGTCTTGGTCTTGGGGTCTAGTCTTGGTCTTAAGCCTTGGAAAATTTTCGGTTTTGAAGGTCTCTAGTGGAGCTTCCTTTCTTGAATTTTTAAACGAGAACCATATCGAATCAACAAGATTCTAAGTAGGGGCAAATTTCTAACAAATACTAGTCACAATTTCAAAATGTTTGCTTGTTCCATTGTTAAATTTACAATTTTCCTGGGTCAGATACTTAACCTCTCAGTTACTTATCTTAATATTTTCTAATATAGCTGAACTTCTCATTAATCATTTAACTAAATTTTTAGCCCACAAGGACTTTGGACATTTTTATGGTAGTAGTTATGTAGCAGCACCTGACGGTTCTAGAACACCTGTATTTTTAATTTTATTAAAATCAAATGATTTAAACATTTGTAGGGATTATCAAGGAATAAGGAAGGCGTTCTTGTGGTAGAAATTGATTTAAATTTGTGTAGGCAAACACAGGACAGCTGGGGATTTAAAGTAAATCTTTACACATTTATCATTTCTAACTCTTGATACTTTTGGGATCAGAGGGAGTGGGAGAGCTTAAAATAGAGAATCGAGGAGATTGGGGTATTCTTGGAATAATCTTTAGTTTTTTCCATTCTTAGTCTAAAATCTAGACTATAAACTCTAGCTCTTGTCCAGAATCAGTCTTTCTGCCTGACGGTCACACCCGTATTCATCAAAATTCTATTCGTCCATTCTGAACAGAAGGCCTTTCCGGAACCGTTATTCCGGAACCTTTAATATACTCTATTAATTACCCTCCCTCAAATAATTACCCCGCCCCTATTAATTAACCCTTCAGCGAAAGGTTGAAACAATAATTACTCTTTTAAAATAGTTATAATTAGCCTTCCTTCCTAAAATAACCTCTATTAATTACTCCGCCTCTATCAAGCACATTGACCTGAGAGAGGTCGAAACAATAATTACCCAGGGTAATTAATAGAGTATATACGGTATATAAGTTGCTGGACTTTGCGATGGTTAGGAGACATGGTTAGGACTTTTTTTGACATGTTGGTCGGAAATGCTTAAGGTGTCGGAAATCGGATATTGGATTTCGGACCCACTTCTATATAGGAAGACATTGAGAAAAGTTCTAAAAGACATGGAGGACCGATAATTCTAAATAAATTTCAAGATGACTCAACGTTTGGAATTGTATGCTCAAAGTTTGGCAAATTATACAAAACCAAATTACAAACAGAACATTGTAAATGAAAAATAAATATTAAAAATAAAGATTAGACAAATTTAAAAATTTTCCCATTATTTTATTACAGACAAAAAAATTTTTAACTCAAATTTTTAACATTATTTTAAATATCCCTCAATATTTTTTTATCTCTTTCTTTAATTTCTCAACATTTAAGAAGCTCTTTATTAGCATGTAATTTATCACAAGTTGTACAGCCAACTGAAATTTCAAAAAAAAATTTTAAATTTCAGTAACGAATTATTTACCAAGAAGCGCTTTCCCGTGTAAATAGCTAGTTGTGGTTGGGACTAATTTCATATCGGCTGTTGTTTTATGTTCAAATGATCTTTTTCCAACTGTTCTTTCAAGTTTCTGTCCGCCAGTGTTTGGGTTAATGTAAATATAGCCGTCTTAAATAAAAAATATTTTTTAGAGAAAATTTGCTGACAGTTGATACAAGGAGCTTTGCTAACACAGCGTTCGCATCCTGTGTTTACCAAGCTACTCTGCACAATGACTGTCTCTGTCTTTTAGTGACCGGCAAAATCGTATTTGTGGAATCCCGCATGCGTGAGTAACTTTTAAAAAAGTTTGCGGGATGGGATCCCGCGGGAATAATCCCGCAAAATCCCGTACTCCCGCAAAATCCCGCAAATTATGAAAAGTGCGACATTGCGGGAGCGGTATCCCGCATGATCCCTCGCGGGATCCAAGAAGCATGGGATTATACCCTCCATTACTGAGGGCACTACAATAACTGCACTACAATCAACTTTACTTTCAAAACAACTCACTGTAAGAATAAAACATATAGTCAAGAATATAACCGCTAGTTTGATTTGCCTTGTAGCAATAATTGTCGTCATAATTGCAGATACAAATATTTTTACTACAGACAACTTTTCCGATACTTTGCTTATTTGCCACGCTATTATAGCAAATCTGAGATTGAAAAGTTTACAAATTTCCAAAAAAATTGCTTTACCGTTTGTAAACTATTGTTTTTGCAAATACTGTTGCTTATAGCTCCATTAAAGCTGTCAGAAACGCCTTGGACACTAGTAAATTTTATCGTGTCTGTCAGAAAAGTTAGACTGCCTTGATTGCTGGAACAATCTTTTCCATCTTAAATTTATCAAAATTTTTATTTAGACTTTGAGAATTTCCCAAACCCTCATTTCCTTGGAAAAATTTATTCTATAGACTTCTTAACTTTTATACAGTTAGACTGTGTAGATCCCAAAAGGACGCAAAGCCATAACTAGCTGTAATCCTTCTGGCCCTTATCAGTTTTGGTATCCGTCTTTTAGCTCGATGGGAGGAATCGTTTAATAATAGATTTGGTAAGATTCGGAAATTTTAGAACAGATTATGCTTTGCGCCGTTATAGGCGTGTTCCAGTCGGATCTCCTTATTGGAAAACCTTGGGCATGAAAAAATCTTATCTTATAATGAGGTTTTTGGTTTAATGTAAATATAGCCGTCTTAAATAAAAAATATTTTTAAGACAAGATTTACTGATAGTTAAAGTAAGGAGCTTTGCTAACACAGCATTCTCATCCTGTATTTACTAAGCTATAACAATATTGAATAGGGTTGTATCTCTTATTGAGGTTCAACTGTACATAAAATTTAAATAATTTACCATTAAATCCAACAGCCATTAATAAAACAGTTAATAAGTAAAAATACATTTTTGCTTCTTCAAATTAATTAATGATTTTTTACTCTTCCCCTCAATGACTATTTAAATGCCGCCTCAAAGGCAACTAATTAAATAATTTTAAATTTTATTTTAAAAAAACGAGACATAAATTTTATAAATTAAAATCTATTTAAATAAAGGAAAGGGAGAAAGGAAGGGAGAAAATATAAAATTTAATTTTTGCCTTATACACAGACTTGACGCTGTGGAGTGTTTAAAATAAATTTTATTAAAAATTTAATTTCCGCATGAGGTCCGGATGTCATCTGATTTTTCACGTCCGTCAAATAGAGCGTCTAAAAATTCCTTGGTTTAAACATTTTTTTGTTTTAGATTTTTGTCTAAACATTTTTTATCATCCTCAAAAAATTCCATAAAAATCCGCAAAAAAAGTCCGCAAAAAGAGTCCGCAAAGAAAATCCGCAAGAGTATATTCCTTTTGCGGACAGCCATTCGCTCACGTTTTGGACCGAGAAATATAAGGTTATTGATTTCCGATCTGTATCTCTTGGACAATTACTTAAAATCCGCAAAAACTTAAAATCCGCAAAAAGTGTCCGCAAATTTCTTTCTACGCAAAGAGATACACGTTGGCAAATAAATTAATACTTAAAATTTTAAAAGTTAAATTCCAGACACAAACAAAAAATTTATAAAATAATTTAATTTTAGAAAGTTCATAATTTTTATACACTTTTTAAATAAAGTCCGCAAAAAGGAAAAAAAATTCACAAAGAATATCCGCAAATTTGATTAAACTCGAGGAGCCTTTCGAGTGAAACAAACTTCATAAAAACATAATTTTCCTTTTTAAGTGATTTTGGAAAGTTAAGAGGGTAATATTTTTTATGAAAAAAATTCATGTTGTGTCGGAAACTATGAGACTTCCGAATGTTTTTGAATAACATTTATATATACAACAGGGGCCGAAGTGACAAGAATTTGATTGGAATTTTGATGATTGGAAAAGATGATTGAATGATTGAAAGATGGTTGAAAAACAAATGGTCAGCCATTTTATTGAGGAAATACGGTAAATCCCCTACAAATTCTTCGAAATTATAGGTGTGATATTTTATTTCCATGGATTTCTAGAAAATTCGGATCCGAATCAGGGGCGAGCGCAAGAGACAATCTAAAAAAACGCAAGACGCAAAACGTAACACAAACCCTACTTTTAGCAGAAGGAAAGCAGAAGCTAGATTTCTTCCAATTTTTGCCCTCAGATTAGAAGAATAACAGGGATTTGAGCATATAGTAGGTATCAGGGGTTGAAGAGATATAGCAGGATATCCCTACAAACCCCCGATATCTTTTTAAATCAACCGACCGATAGTCTTCTGTCACCTCAGTTCCCCCGTTATTTTCCACATAGCCACTTTATCCTCTTCCAATTTTGAGAATTTTGGAAGGCCAATAAGCCAGGATATCCGAAGATTTCCAACTATCCGCCAACCTTATTCCATAATGCACTTTTCCATTAATGAATTTTCAACATAAATTTAATTATCTTATTTCTTATGACAACTTTGACAATTTAAGATGTCAAGAAAAAATATTTTTACTTTTGAAAAATTTAGTAAAGAATATTTTTAAGAAAATAATTTTTTAATAATTTTTTTCTTTCATAATTTACACTCTAAACAAAATTTATTTAAAGAAATCTTTAGAAATAAAAATTTTTTTATTCGATTTTCTACACTTTTATTCGATTTCTTCATTTTCGTTAACAGGAAAATTTTATGAGACAAGCTCCTCCCTCTAACAAATTTGACTTCTTTATGCTACGGTTACATAAAAAACGCAAGACGCCGGCGGAAGACGCTCGGCGTCAAGACGCCGGCGGAAGACGCTGTTTCGTGGTTACATAAAATCGGCGTCTTCCGCTAAGCGGGAAGACGCAAAGCGTCAAAACGCTAGTTTTATGTAACCACAAAACAGCGTCTTCCGCCGGCGTCTTGACGCCGAGCGTCTTCCGCAAAACGCGCGCGATTTTATGTAACCACTAAATCCGATTAAAATTTTTTTTAAATATTTATCATACTAAAATAAAATGTATAAAATCAAATCATTTTATTCTGCCATGGTACCAATCAGGGGTGGCGCTCCTCTCGTATCTCGTGAAATCTCGTGTTTTTTAGGGGTCTCATATCTCGTATTTTGCCACAAGACACGAGATATTTTTTCAATATATTTTAGAAAAAATGTCAAAAATTTGGGACTATTTTAGGATCCTAGAATTAGGAAAAAAGGAAGAAATCTTGCCCAGTGGTCTTCCAAAATTCTCAAATTTTCGCCTGCGGCGCTGAAATTGGAAAGAGGTATAAAGTTGGTCCAATAAACTCTTCTCTATCTAAAGGTATAAAAATTGGAGGGATTAAGTGGTTATCGGAGAATTAATGGGATATCGAGGTTTTGGAGTGATTAAAGGGGATTTGGAGGGATTAAAATATGGATTGATTTAATACATCAATGTCTTTATAAAAATATTTATTATAGCCAAAATCAATCATTTATTTCAAAAATCCCCAAACCTCTCTAAAAATCTTTTAAAATCTTTTAAAAAATCTTTCTCCATTTGAAAATATTCAAAAAAAGAAATGAGAGGCAAAGCAAAAATGCGTCTTTTGCCTTTCAATCTTGTTTGCCTTGCTTTGATCCTGGCTTCATTTTTTGATAAAAATGTTGCTTATAATGAGGATAGGTTGATGGATACAATACAACAAAATCTTATTTATGCATTGTTTCCAGGCGAAGAATACCCTCAGACTCGATACAAATTCGATGCAGGTGGAATATTAATCTATTTTTAGTTTTTAAGCAAAAATTTGTCTTTCATTATAGGTTTCGATACAAAAAAGAAGGTATTTGTTGAGGGAATTCTCATTTAAAACGCTTAGATTCCCTTAGGCTTAGATTGAGGTACTAGGATTTATCTACCAGATTAAATACAGAATTCTCACTTAATAAAAGAACTGAGGAGAAGTTAATAGACTTCGGATTATATGAGAGAAACTCCAGAACTTTGAGCTCATAAAAGTTTAAAATATTTATAGACAAGGGCTTTGAGGACTGGCGACTGAACCAATTAAATAACATTTCGGAGATAGACAAGACTGGGATGCCTCGAGGTAGTACTCAATCGAATGATGTGCTTATGTATGATGAATGGATTTACCTTCGAAATAGAGGAAATTCTGAAGTGTCTGATAATTTTGTGATAAGTCTTTTAAATAAAGTTGCATTATTTACTTCAAATAATGTCAACTTCAACTCCTGTAATGCTAATAATGTTGAAAATGATTTGAAAGAATACGATCAAATCCAAGAGAAAACAAGAGAAGCATTAAGAGAAAATCCTGGAGAAAGAGAAACAATACTTTCGAAAAGAAAAGGATTGATTTCGAATCTTTGTCGGTGTTTTACCCGTTCAAGGGCTTCTCGTCATTCTCATCCCGAAACTTCCACGCCAGCCAGAAAAAACCGTTGTGAAGTACTAATCGAATTAATTATTCGCTGTAAAGTGTTTATTAGAGATTTGCATTCGGAAGGGGCAGAAGGCTCTTTGATTGATATATTCTCTTTTATGAATAATCATACGCGTCTGCGACATCTTAAACAAATTTTTAATTTGTCTACAGTTCAAAGTCAAGGGTTAGATACAGCTATAAATGAGAGAATTTACCAGGATCATTTGGAGAATAAAATGAGAAAAGAATATAAAAATGCAATTGTGCAAGGGGCTGGTCCTGTTGGTTTATACGCTACCTACAAACTTTTTATTGGTAAGGCACATTTTAACTAGGACAAATTTTAGTTTAATGCCACTACTTTTCGACCTATTAAAAATTTAAAATTTTTAGGAGGAGTGAATGTAACACTTGTAAATGAACGTTCCGAAGATTATATAAGAAATCGAGTTGTCTTTTTTGACCGAAAATGGATGTCACAATTACGCTTCTTTTTGGGTACTGAATTTGATAAATTATTCTTTGACAAACAAAATGGAGAAAAATCGTTGGGAAGTCTCCTCGATGAAGATATTGGGTTTGCTAACATAAAAAATATGGAAAATGCTTTGATGAAGCGGTTAAAAAATTTATCAAGTTATATAAATGGACGAGAAAACCAACAAGAAATATTTTTGAATTTGGTTTATAATACAGCAGTTTTGAACATTCAAACACAACATCAAAAGTCTTTGGCCATCCTCGGTGCTCCAGTAAAGCGTCCTGAATTCTTTGACTCTGATAATTTGAAAAAAATATTAACAAATTTAGAAAGAACGACAGATGGGGCCATAGGAATTCCTTTTGATTTATTTTTCTGTGCTGGGGGTGCAAGAGACCAAATACGGACGCGCTTCATAGGTTAGATTGGATATAAGTGTAATTATCATTTAGTAGTTTTAAACTCAGTCAAAACTCATTTGTAAACTAAAGTTAGCATCATGATCTATGCTCTCGATAGTCGATACCCTCTATATATGCAGGTACCCCAAACTTAAGTTTATTTTTTAGTGTAACTCGTTATATTACTCTAGTTAGAAGAGATACAATCCAGATTCGTTTAGATTAATTACACCATATTTTCAGAGCAACCAGAACAATTGACGGAATCAAAAAATTATGGTGTTGTTATCTTCGATAAAATGAATCATAATATTAAAGTCTTTGAAGATTCTGCTGCTTTCTACCGTGATCCTATGAATAATATGAGGGAGCATCTGGAGAAACAAAATATTGATGGATTGATTTGGCAATCTGGTCTTTCTAAGAAGCTTAAATCAACGTATGCCAACTTAACCGAAATGATATTAGAGGATAAACAAATCGTTGTTCGTCTTTTTGAATCAAATCCAACATTGCATATTGCATCTATAACACCTCAAGCACTTGTAAATTTTATTGAAGATTTACAAAATGAAAAAGGAAACAGAAAGAAGTACGAGAAAGTTTACGACGAATTTCACAATGAATTGCAAAAAAGATGGGCCAAAGCTCTTTTTGATTATACATTTTCTACTAGACATCCTGAGAAAGTAGGGCAAGTAGTTATCGAAGGTGATGAACATGTTGGAAGTTCAAGTACAAGTTATAGAGGCAAAGAAATAGCTACTGAACCAAATCAAATTCTTAAATTTGACCCTCACAGTGCTAATACAAGCACTTTTTGGGTTGCAATTTATGGAATTGAAACCCCTGTGGCAAAAATTGGTGGAAGTTCATCAATTATTGCAGCTATAGGTGATGCAAATACAAGCGCTCATTTTATGACTGCTAGCGGGATTAGTACAGGCAAGTTTCAAAGAAAAATAAGAATTACTCTTAAGGAATAACGAGTCTTTTGACTATAAATTTTTAATTCTCCCCGGAGTAATGATAAAATTCACAAAATTACCATTACTATATTTTCCGAAAGGCTTGTAGACAATTTTAAATTTATTTTTAATTTAAGGACGATTGGGAGTTGAGAATGCTGTTAATGCGATTAAAGAGTATGATCAAATAAATGGAGCGTCAGATTTAAAGGCAATGTTAGATGCCGCTCTGAAAAAAGTTCGAAGGCGAGTACTCGAGAAAGCTCAAGAATATGTCAAGATAGAGGAAGGAGTAAGAATGGACCTTGAAAATTGAAGAAGAAAGCGAGGATTGATTTGAGAAAAAGTATGTAGTGATTTTAAGTCGTGAACTCTTTAGTTTTATTGGGGGTTGATTAGCCTTTTGAGTTTAGACCCGCATTTTAGTATGTACCCTGTATACTATGTATACCTATTTTAGTTTTTTTATTATCCAAAAATCCACCACAAGGACTCAACATTGTTGACCGTTGAGATCCACATTATTTATCTTTTTTGAATTGTATTCTTTTTGGAGCTGGATAAATTGAAACTATTTTATTTTTAAATTTTATCTTATCAAATATCTAACAAAGAATTATATTTAACTGTTATCAAAAATTCCGTAATTATTTTTATACCATCGTGTAGGTATAAAAATCCATCGTGTATAGAGTAAATTTAGTCAAAAAATAGAATAGCCTCTCCAATTGAATGGTCCGTTTTTTGGGGGTATCGAAAAATAGAATGGCGGCCATTAATTAAGTGTGTTTCTATATCTTATCTCGGATTCTAACATTGTTTATTTGATTAAGCGAATGCAGCAATTTTTAATTAATTAATAATTAATAGTCATCAAAAATCTTTAACGATTTTTGATGCCTATTCGAGAGCCCGATAAAGCCAATCAATTTTTTTATTGTTGACAAAATTTCTTCGATTTTTAAAATTTTTTTTGAAAATTATTTTAACGATTTTTAATCATTAATTTCCCCATTCCCTAGCTACCCCTTTATTTACAAAGGCAGCAAGAGCATGACACTCGATTTACACGTTGTGATTATGTAATGTTAATGTGTAATATCTTGTCTGCTATTTTTCTGACATTTTACAAAACGCCCAATCAGATTAGAGACCGGCGCGGGACGGGATCCCGACGGGATTTTCCGGGATCCCGAAATCCCGGATTTTTTTGATTTTCGGGATCCGGGATTTTTTCGGGATTACTCCCTCGGGATCCCGTCCCGGCATCGGTCAAGAAAAAAAATCCCGACTCGGGATCCCGGAAATGCGATTTTGCCGGTCTCTAAATCAGATATGTTCAAACGTTGATGTGGAAATTGTTATAGGATTCTTCGATTTTTAAAATCCCCTTTTAATTTTTTAACATAGATTTAATTTTGAATTTTTTTTGCTTTCTAAAACTTAATTTTAACATTAAATTAGAGTTGTACCCCGACCCCGAACCCCGACCCCGTTCCCGAACGATTTTTTCACGATTCTCCCCGACCCGAACCCCGCCCCGAAAAAAAGTGAAAACCCCGTTCCCCGGCCAAAAAAATTTCGGGGTTATCGGGGTTTTATACCCCTAAAAAATGTCATTTTTTGGAGAAATTAATGGAGAAAATTTAAAAAATTTCCACCCATTTTACTTTACTTTTATTATTTGTGAAAGAAAAATGAATGAAATATCATAATTTTCTTTCCTTCTTTATTAAAAGACTTGTGGTTGAGTGGCTTAGTCGGTGGTTTTAGCCGATATTTTGTTAATATAGGAGTAGGTTTGGATCCATATAAGGAGAACTCTATTGTTTTTATATTTCTTTACAAAAACAAATTATTAACGAGTTAAATTTTAATTTGAAAATATTAATATTATTTTTAACTGATATCCCTTGAACCACCCTTAATCCTTCAACCCCTGTATCAGAGGAGGGTCGAAATTCCGATTTCCGACGTTTTTCTCTCTAATTTCTTCAAATACTACGTTTTTCTCTCTAATTTCTTCAAATCCTACTTTTTCCCTCTAATTTCTTCAAATCCTACTTAATTTTTGAATAAATCAACGAAAATATATCGATTTCTAATTATTTTTGAGCATTCTTTTCTCTAAAAATTTTTCCACTAAACCCCCGTACCCCGACCCGAACCCCGGCCATATTTTGCTCCCCCGACCCGAACCCCGCCCCGAAACAATTGGAAAACCCCGTACCCCGACATACCCGCCCCCGAGCGTTCGGGGTTAAATCACCCTACATTAAATCAAAGAAAAAAAAATTTTCTATTTTAAAGAAAAGAAAATTTTTCAAAAAAAATACACTTAATTTTAAATATTTTTTATAAATTTTAAAAATTAAAAAAAAAATTTCTTTATTCGATTTTTCACATTTTTAACAATTTCTTAATTTTTAAAAATTATTTCCGGCATTAAAATATTTTTAGAATCAAGCTCCTCCCACTTTAAACAAATCTGCCTCCTTTACAAGCTCCTCCTTTTTAATGCAACGCCCCTAGCCTCTACATCAATGTCTTTATAAACAGATTTATTATAGCCAAAATCTATCACTAATTTAAAAAAATCCCCTAACCCTCTAAAAATTCTAAAAAATCTTTTAAAGAATCCTTTTCCATTTGAAAGAATTCAAAGAAGAAATGAGAGGCAAAGCAAAAGTGCTTCTTTTGCCTTTCAATTTTGCTGGTCTTGCTTTGATTCTGACTTCATTTTTTGATAAAAATGTTGCTTATAATGAAGATAGATTGATGGCAACTATTCAACAAAATCTTATTTATGCAACGTTTCCAGCCGATAAATTCCCTCAGACTAGATACACATTCAATGCAGGTGAAATAATTATTTTAAACTGGAATCTGTCACTAGAGGTTTAAAATTAAATTTTAATCAAGAAAATTCTTTATACAAGAAGTCGAATTTTAATAAAAATAATTTTTTTCTTGAATTTTATTCCGAAAATTTATTTATTTTTGACAATATATTTAGAGTATTTTTAACACAAAGTTCAAATACAATTTAAATATAATCATTTCTCCATCGTTTCTTTTTATATTTCTTCTTTTCTTTTGTTCAACACGTAAGCTGCTTAAAGTTATCACAAGATGTACAAGCAACTAAATTTGGAAATTTTTTTGAATAAATTTTACTCTCGTATTTGTCCGGCAAGAAATAGTGCAAGAAACCGGCAAGAGATCTCTCATACATAAAAATTTGCCGGCATTAATGTGGGATAGGTTTGTTATCTCATTGTCAGATAACAAAACTTTTAATTCGAAAGTCAACTAGCATATTTGAAAACTTTTTACCAGAAAGCTCTTTCCCATTAAGATATGATGATATGCCTGGAGTTAATTCCATGAACTTTGGGGCACTAGTCTTTGGTTCAAAATGATGGTTATCAGGTGACGATAATGAAACTGAACCAACATTTGGGTTAACAAACATGCTGCCACCTTGAATAATTTTTTATTTATTTCCTCGATGGTGTTGCGACAATTGCGAATATATTTATAAATGGAACCGGAAATCGTTCGGAAACCGTCAAAGTGCGCGCCGGCACTCTGAAACAGACTAGAGATCGGAATTTTTGACAAGCCTGGACCTGTTCCCGGACTCTGGGTTTGATTTGTTGACCTGGACTGGATCCTGGGCTGTAGTCCAGGAAAAAATCCAGGCCCAGGAAAAAACCAGAAAGGTCAAGATTGGCTTAGACTCTGGATGCAGGAAAATCCCAAGCTTTGGATTCCAGGAATCCAGGAATTTTTGGAAAGCCTGGACCTGTTCCTGGACTCTGGGTTTGATTTATTGACCTTGACTGGATCCTGGGCTGTAGTCCAGGAAAAAGAAAAAATCCAGGCCCAGGAGACCCCAGGATGATCAAAAAATGCCTGGGTCTGGACTTCGGTACAGGAAAAACCCAGGCTTTGGTCCAGACCTAGTCCTACGTATAACAGACTGGTACTTTAATCATTTTTTATTTTTTATATCCGCAATTTTCGCAAACCTCAAAAGCAGAAAATTTATTTACTATGAGAATAAAACATATAGTCTAAAGATCCAGGATTAACAGTTTTTGCAAAGTAGCATTGCTTATCAACATTACCACAAATACAAATATCTGTCTTGCAAACAATTTTAAAAACGCTAATATTTGAATCATCATTTGGGTAGCAACGCTAAGAAAAAATTTTTTAAAAATTTCAAAAAAAATTTTTACTTTTGTAGTATTCTTGTTGGAACAAGTTTTGCTATAATAGCTATTTGCTTTGATTTCCGGTATGTTACCGAGCTGGTTGGACAAGAAGGTTACGGCGCCTTCACCATCCTTGCAGTCTGTACTTGCTTCTAAATTAGTGTTTAAAAGTATTTCTTGATTAAATTTAAATATCCCCCCCCCCCTCCGTGGATATAATCCAACTAAACCGGTGCTCTAGATTGAGAACGTATAACGAATCTTGGTTGTGGCACAATCTGACCTCAATTATACGATACTCCCTTGAAGGTGAAAAATCGTCTTATAATGAGGCATCTCTTAAATAGGGGGTATCTCTACAGACCTTCCCCCCATCTCAATGGCCAACCAAAATTTAAATAAACGATCTTAGGTGTCTACTTGTCCGCAAGAGACAAGTCTGGTCTGTCCGCATACTTGTCTACTTGTCCGCAAAGAGAATCCGCTCTTTTTTTCTTTTCTTGCATTTTTCGCCTTGGAAGAGGTGCTCCCTCATTTTCCCTTTTCCTTAGTAGTAGGACCTTTGGTAACACTTTGGATGAGCCTAAAAAGAAAAGAAAAGGGCGGATTCTCTTTGCGGACAGGTAGAACATTTGCCACGATCGGGGCTGTCCGCAAGTTAAAAAAATTTCCGCACCCACAATCCGCAACTGCGGGCAGCCAAGGCCACTACCTTAACTTGAGGATTATCTGATTTTGGGTTTATCTTATAATTAAGTTTTTAATTAATTAATTTAACCATTAAATTCAGCAGCCAATAAGAAGACAATCAAGGAAATAAAAATCATATTTTATTAAAATTAATTTATGATTATTTAAATTTTTTTGAATTTTTGAATAAAATACCTTTGCCCAAAGAGTATTTATTCGCCTCTAAAGACAAACAAAATAAATTTATAAATTTTTAAAATTGCCAAAAAAAATTTTTTTATTAAATCTGAACAAATAAAGAAGGAGAGAAGACAGAATATTTTACTGAGTGTCCATGAGATCAACTTCTTGGTGATCAACTGCTTAAAGGATCTGTTAGTTAAGGTGCTAGGCTTTGAGTTTTTCTGTGTGTTAACAATCAACCAGTATATTTTTAGTCTTCAACAATTCTGTACAGTAGAAGCTCTTATAAAATGACCGGCCGCTCTATTTATCCATAATTCCCTAGAAAGTCCCTCAAAATCAACTTTCAGAGAGGCAATTCAATTGAGGATTTAACAGTATTTCTATATTGTAATTAAAAACTTTTGTTAGTTATAAGCAGTGTTTGGAATTTTGAAGTTTGCTCGTACTCGTACTTCCATACAAGCCTTATTTTTTTCTCGTACACGTTTCCTTTCCTCGCATTTTTGGCCTCGTACTAGTACCTAGTCCTTCTCGTACATGCGCAATTTTTCGAGAAATTAATCTAAAATTTTGATTAATATTTAATTCCACTTCCCCTCTACGTTTTCTATTAATCCTCAATCAAATAAACCCCCAAACTTATTGCTTTCCTAACCATCCTCCAAAATAAGTTGATTTAGTTGTTGATCTCCTGGGTAGAAATTATTTTTTCAATATTTAATGTAGGTGCGTCCATCTTACCAGAGGTACGAAAGCACTCGTTATAGTTATCAAAGATTAATACCACGACAACGTTTATTGTTTGAAGAAACGTGACAGTTTATTTACTCAAAAATAAACTTTTACAGAAAACACAAAAAAAATATTTTTAGGAAAACGTTCTAGATCAATGCTCCGCACCAGGGATGGGTCGGGTTACCCGAAATACGACTCTTTTCGACCCGAAACCCGGCCCTAGGAAAATTTTGAAACCCCGATCTGAAACTCCCCTCAAAGAGCTCTGCACTCTCTCAACAAACTGGGATCACCCAAAAGAACATACCTCCCTAATCTCTCTAGAGATCAAACGTCGCTAGAAGACAGCTCCCTCGATAAACGACAGATCAATCGACACTAATTTTCTGCTAGCTTTTATAAGTAACTCCAACCTACATTTGTAAGATTTTACGGTATTAGTGGCTGCCGCGAAACGAAACTCAGAGAGGGATTTGCGAGAGTGTGAGATCTCATTCTCTCAAAGCACTTTTTGATTTGCAGATGTGGATTTCTGAATGGTGCTTTTAAAGCTTTTACAGGCGAGGCTATACCTGAACCGAAAATTCGGCCTAAACCACAACTAAAATTTTGACCAGACCGGAAAATCTAGTGAAACTCTACTTCAAAATACGGATACTTAAAAGTTTCAGCACACTCGTCTGTTCAACGTTGACATTTTTGAAGTTGATCTTTCGGGTAATTCGTCTTGGGTTTGATCTTGCTGGGTGTACCAGACAATAATCTGCGATTTTTAAATTTTATTTTAATAAAAATTTATTTGTTTAGCCATTTTTTCTTGTGATTTTTTAAAAATTATACAAAAAAATTTTTTTCAAATTTATTTTTTATAGTTTGTAAAATTTAAAATTTTATTAACTTAAAAAATTTTTTTAATAATCGCTAATAACATTAAAAATCAAAATTCATCATCAATCAGGGATGGGTTTTGGCGTGTTTTTGGCCGATTTTGGCGTTTGGCGTTTGGCGTGTTTATAGAATTTGAAAAATTGGCGTTTGGCTTTTGGCGCGCCACGCGAAAATTTTGGCGCACATCCCTGATACGAAGAGATGAGGAAAAAATCGAGTTAAATTTTTCAAATTTTCTTCGGAACAGAAATAAATTTGAAAAAGTCTGGGTTGGGTAAAACCATCTCATCCTTAATCTGAATAATCCTTTATCTTATAAAATAATCATTTTAAAAAATAAATACAGTGTGTTAAGAAATTCTAAAACCACAGTTTTTTTCTGGTTTTATAGGCTATGGACTCTTCCTTGCAGCGAGAAAGCAAAAAATGTGAATTACAATGTTTGGTGATCGAGCTCAATTTTTCAAGATAACGATTCTAGCAACGTCCATTTCTCACATCGAAATTTCCAAACAGCTATGTTCTATAGTCGTTACAATTTTTGCTAGACACACACTACCGTTTCAAGCGCCCGTGCTGTATTATGCCGGTTTTTTAGATAGGTTGAGGTTGCCTAATCTAGAGTCCGGAATTTTGTTCCTTACCGTACTACGGTACGGGATAGCGAAAAATATCAAGAAATACCCTCGGTAGTACGGTCCGTCCGGGGTCTATCTATGATATTGACTAGTATCCGATGATTTCGATGTAAACGAGGAAGAGACTTTAAAGAGGAATTGATGAGAAAATAAAAATACGCGACATACAAAGACTCCCGGACTGGACACGCCCAAGTACAACGCAAAGCCATAACTTGCTGGAAGATTTCTGGCCCTTATCAATTTTGGTACCAATCTCTTTAGCTCGATGAGAGAGATCGTTTAATACTGCAAGGAAGAGAAAGCTCACTAGGCGGGGTAAAAGATCTATTAAAAGAGAAGGTGAAGCAGCGTCCCGGTAGCTCAGTTGGTAGAGCACCTGCACGTGGTGAGCGAAAGCGCCTAGCAATAACTGCCAGGAGGTCGCAGGATCGAAGCCTGCCCGGGATTAAACGTTTACCTCGCTCTTACTATACTAAATTTGTTAAGATTCAGAAAGCTTGAAGCGCTTTGCATTGTTACTTGGGCTGTACCCTCTCGAACAAGACCAATTTAAAATGTTAAATTCAGAACAAAAAAAATGTTTTCAATGAGTCAAATTTTATCTTAAAAAAATTTCCCTTGAACATTATTCCAAAAATTATTTTAACACATTTTTTGTCTAAAAAATAATAAATGTTCATATTCTTTTATCGTTTCATCATTTTTAAATTCCTTCTCTTTTGTTGTTCAACACGTGGGGTTTTTAGTTTGTAAATCATCACAAGTTGTACAACCAACTATTTAAAATAAATTTAAAAATCAGAAAAAAAAATTGGAAAGTTTTTTAGGTAAATAAATCCGGGGAAGAAATTTGTGTATGCATAGCTGGATCAGAAACAAAGGTCGGTTTGATTTCCGATTTCCGAAAATTTAGGCTGATTTCCAATTTCTAAGTTCCGACATTTGAGCCATTTCCAATTTCCGACAGTTCCGAGTTCCGACAGTTCCAATTTCCGGAACCTTCGTCATTTCCGACCGTCCTCTGGTCAGAAATGGCAAAGGTTTGGAATTGTAGGGCAAAATTCGAAAAATCAAACAGATATCGTACCTTTTATATAATTTGAGAGTATTTTTTAGTATATTTTTCACCGATGAAAAATATATGGGAAACTTTGTATTTAAAAATAAATAATCTTTAAATTTAGTCAAAGAAGGTATAGTAGGTAACTGTCTAAATAATTAGTTTAGTAGGAATAGGAATCGGAAGTTCCGAGATATTTTGGTTCCGGTTCCGGTCCGGCCAAATTTTGCGGTTCCTGCGCAACACTACTTTAAACCAAACAACGATAACAAAACTTCTGGTTCGAAAGTCAACTATCTAGTATATTTAAAGGGTGTTGCGACAATTGAGGATACGCACTTGAGGATATGACAAATGAGGACGACAATTGAGGATTTGACATATGAGGACGACAAATGAGGACGACATATGAGGATATGCCAAATGAGGACGACAATTGAGGATTAAAATAATAATAAAAAACTGTGATCCTTGACCTTTTGAACTTCAAAAATGTTCGCCTGCGGCGCTGGAAAGAGAAGAATTCTTCATTATTGGTCTTCCAAGTGGGGGTCTTCCGAGTTTTATGGATCTTTCAAGTCTTTTTTATTTTTCATTTTTATCCTCATTTGTCAAATCCTCATTTGTCGTCCTCATATGTCAGATCCTCAATTGTCGTCCTCAAATGTCGTCCTCATTTGTCATATCCTCAAGTGCGTATCCTCAATTGTCGTTTTAAATCAACTAGCATATTTAATATTTTTAAAGATTTTACCAGTAAGCTCTTTCCCATTAAGATATTTGTCTGTGCCTGGAGTTAATTTCGTGTGCTCTGGTGCAGGTGTTTTATAATAAAAATGATGCTTATCAGGTGACGATAATGGAATTGCATTAACATTTGGGTTAACAAACATGCTGCCGCCTTAAATAATTTTTTATTACCCTCCGAATTTCGTTTTTCGTAAAATTTCGTGTTTTTGCGAAATTTCGTTTTTTTGCGAAATTTCGTTTTTTGCGAAATTTCGTTTTAACTATTTTTATTTCGTATTTCGTTTTATAGTAATTTTTCTTCTAAACTAGAAACAAATTATTTACTATGAGAATAAAACATATAGTCTAAAGCTCCAGAATTAGCTTTAGTTGCAGAGTAACATTTGTTATTAACATTACCACAAATACAAATATTTGTGGGGCAAACAATTTTAAAAACGCTAATATTTGAATCATCATTTGGGTAGCAACGCTAAGAAAAAAATTTTTTAATTAAAAAATTTTTTTTTACTTTTGTAGCATTTTTGTTTGAACAAAGTTTGTAAGAGCTTTGAGCCTTTATTCCTTGTATACCGTTAATTGTTTCCGTGTTTTGCAAGAAGGTTACCGCCCCTTGTTGAGCTTTACGGCATGTTGTTGCTTCTAAATTTTTTTATCTTAAGTAAATGGTATCCCCGCCCAGTGGCCATCCAATTTTTAAAAGGTTCACGATCAGGCTGTGCAAATTTTTAAAAAACGTTTTTCAAATTTTTAAAAAACGCCAAACGCCAAAAATCGGCCAAAAATGGACGCAAAACGCCATGACGCTCAGCCCTGGTCACAACAATTCCAGACGATATTTATGGATTAAAATTTTTAAAAATAAGAAGGATTTATTAAAGTTCAATCCAGATATTATTCAGAACCTGTTAGGATTCGGAAACGTCAGCCAGAAACAGTGCTTGAACGCTCGTACCAAAATTCGTACTCGGTACGACGTACAAGTACCGAGCAAATGTAAAAATTTCCTAGCACTGTCAGGAACCCATGGTTTATCTAATTTTTGGGGTTATCTTATAGCGAGGCTTTTTTTAATTATTTAATTAATTAAACCATTAAATTCAGCAGCCAATAAGAAGACAATTAATGAAATAAAAATCATTTTTTATTGAAATTAATTTTTGATTACATATTTAAATTTTTTTAATTTTTGAATAAAATACTCTTTGACCAAAGAGTATTTATGCATCTCTAAAGACAAATAAAATAAATTTTAAATTGCCAAAAAAATATTTTTTTATTAAATCTGAGCAAATAGATACAAAAAAGTAGAGAAAATAGCGAATAATATTTTAAAGAGTACCCATAAGATCAACATTTTGGAGATCAACTGCTTAAAGGTGGGTTAGCTAAAGTGATAGGCTTTTAGTTTCTTTCTGTGCTTCAACAATCAACCAACATATTTATTATTAGCCTTCAACAGCACTGACTGTTAAACCTCTAATCGAATGGCTGACCGCTCTATTTATCAATCATCCCTCAAAAAGTCCCTCAAAAAGTCACTCAGAGGGGTCATTCATTTAAGGATTTTAGGGTATTTCTACACTTCAATTAAACACATTTGTTAGTTAATCTCGTTATCTACATTTGAGACCATATTTATACAGATTCTACAGTAAATATTGCTAGATCAATCTAGATATTGCTCAAAAATCTCATTAATCGATCAACATCTGGGAGATCAAACTAAGCGATCTTTTAGGTCTTTCGAGAGATTAAGCTCAACAATTAATACTCGCTTTAATTTCCAGCTTACACTCGTATCATTAATCCTTGATCAAACAACCCCTAAAATATATTGTTTTTCTCCAAACAATGTAGATCTTTGGGTCTTTTGATCTCTCGGGTCTCCAAAATAACTTGATCTTTGTAATGTTGATCTTTTGGGTTAACAATTAATTTTCTAAATTTTATTGAGGTGCGTGCTTCGAATCAAAGGACACAAACGCACTCGCTATAAAAATATTAATAACACAACATCAACGATTGTTTGAAGAAACGTGACATTTTATTTGCCCAAAAATAAACTTTTTTTAAAAACCCAAGGCTTTTTCAGGCGGCAAATTTTAGATCTTAAAAAGCCGCTCTCCCTCTCTCCCAAAATAACTCTTCGATTCTTTTATTTTTAGTTAACTAAGCATTTATGGCTCTAGTTGGTTTATGTATCTAAATAAAGATAACCTTTGCTCAAGGGATACTTATTCCCTTCCCCCCCCCCCCTCCCACTTCATTACCTCCCCCCTCTCCCCTCCCCTCCCCTCACCCTCCCTTCCCTTCCCTTCCCTTCCCCCCCCCCCCATCTCCCCCTCCTCTCAGTCCTCCCCATTTTAGTTGGAGTACGAAATGGCTCAAACAGAGAGATTAACAGTTAACAAACTCAAACAGAAACCTCCCTCCAGTTCCTTCAATCCCCTCCAAACTCCCCACATCCACCTCCCTCCTTCCATCTCCCAAAACCCCCAACATCCCATCTCCCTCCAAGCTTTATTGGAAACATAAACTATAACCCGAGCCAAATTTATTTGTTCAGTCAATTATTTTATTTATTAATATTTTTCTAATAAGCTTGTTATTTTTAAATTTTAAAAATTTTACCGGAAAATTCTATTTTTATTTTTTCTTATAGTTTGTAAAAATAAAAATTTATTAATTTTTGGTTTAATATTCGCCGTCAACATTTAAAAATTTAAAATTTAAATTCAATAAAATTATCGAATTAGGATATGTAATGTGTATGTCCTTGACAATGGCAATGTCCGAATAATACCAAAAAATAAAGAAATTACCTAACAACTGCGCATTATTACAAAAATAAACAACGAAGGTGAAGCAATAGGAATAAGAATAGGTTGCTAGCGCAAAAAATTGTGCAGACAAACTCGTGTCCGAATATCTTGCCAACTCGAACAAGTTTGATTCAAAATATCAAATTTTATTTTCAAATCACTGGTGTTTATACAAAGAACAAAATATTACTCGCCTAAAATTTGTACTATGCTTTTGGTTACTAAGGAATTAACAACACAACCTCCATTCGAAATTTTTAGTTATCGAGTTCGATTTTTCAGGATATCGATTCGATCGATATCTTTTCTGTAGTCATTACAATTTTTGCTAACAGTTCAGCCCTCCCCCAACCATTTTTCAAGTACCAAGCATTCAAGTATTTTTTTCTTGATGTACAAATGGTCACTTCACCACTTTTCCTTCAGTCACTTGAAGAAAGAGTGGCTGAATGTATGATGCTAGATGGACAATCTTTTGGATTTATACAAAGAAATGACCAACCATTTTGTACATAAACTAATTGGGCAGGGGTGGGTTTTGTTTTCTTTTTATATTTTTTTGTATGAACCCCCAAATACTAACTTTAAACAAATTCCAAAAATCACCACAATTCCTTCTCTCCTTTTACTCTAAATCTAACAATTTAATTAAATACATAAAAAGTTGAAGTATACACATTTTTAGAATTAAGAAGAAAACTAGAGAGGACGGAGGGCACAAAAATGAAACTTTTTAAAATTTTCTCGAATTTTTTTAAATTTTTTGTGCCCGATATTTTAAATCAATTCGATGTGAATTTTTCTTTTTTTTCAAATTTTTTTAAAAATAGGTTAAAAAAATTTAGGGTTAGTTCACGACCGTTTTCTATTTACTTGCCAATTTTCCACTCCCCTAATTTTCTACTCCCCTATACTTGCCAACAGTGCTGGGTATGGCTCCGGGAGCTAGCTCCGGAGCCCGGCTCCGGAGCCGGCTCCGGCGGAGCCGGAGCTAAGATTTTGGAAACCCCGGAGCCGGAGCCAAGAATTTCAAACCCCGGAGCCGGAGCCGGAGCCAAGGTTTTCCAATTCCCCACGGCTCCGGCTATACACCCCTAAAGATGGGTTAGAGAAAAAGAAGTAAGCAAAGATGGTAGGCGTGAAAAGAAAAGGAAGAGAAAATTGAGACGGGTAAAAAAGATTTTCTTTCATTTCCTTTAAGAAAGATGCGTGGTTGACTGGATAGTGTGTTGGGTTCATATTTTAGAGGACTTATCTAGGTATTAGGTTCGAACCCGAACGTAATGAAAGACTTAGGATTTGTTTTTCTTTCAACAATAAATTATTATAATCATTTTTTTATTAAATGAAGCTTGATAAATTTTTCAAATTGATTAATTTTAGTCCTTAGGGTGTCAAAATTTTTAAAATTTTCGCCTGCGGCGCTGAAAAAGGATGATTTTTGGCTTAAGGATCTTCTAAAATTATCAAAATTTTCGCCTGCGGCGCAAAAAAGGAAGATTTTTGGCTTAAGGATCGTCCAAATTTTTCAAAATTTTCGCCTGCGGCGCAAAAAAAAAGAAGATTTTTAGATCCAGATCCCCTTAATCCCCCCGATATCGCCCTTAATCTACCTAAATCGCTTAATCCATTGATAACCCTCTTAATCCTCTTATATCACTCGATATCCCCCTTTATCTACCCAAATCCCCAATGAAAAATAATTCTTTTTTTTTTCATTGGGGATTTGGTAAAAAATAAAAAATAAAAACTTTCCACCCGGAGCCCGGAGCCAACATGGAGCGGCTCCGAAAATCGCCGGCTCCGGAGCCGGAGCTGGAGCCAAGATTTTAAAAGGCCGGAGCCCGGAGCCGGAGCCAAGATTTTGAAACCCCGGAGCCCGGAGCCGGAGCCAACAAATGGCAAATACCCAGCACTGCTTGCCAAGTTTCTACTCCCCTAATTTTTAGAACCTCTTTCTGTTATTTTGTTTTTAGTCAAAGAAACTAAATACTGAAAAAAATACTACCAATTTTTGTTTTCTTTTTGGAATTGACAAAGTTCTAAAAAATAAAAATCCATGGTTATATTCCTGATAAATATATTAACCCCTTAAAAAGATAGGTTTATTTTTGGTAAAAAATTTTTACATTCCCAATTATAAAAAAAAGACCATCTTTTCCGGCTAGTAATTTTTCGGCCAAAACAATTTTTAAAAAAATTGTTTTTTCCCAGGGTTTAAAACCGGTCGTGAACCACACCCTCCTTCTTAAATTAAATTTTTTCATTTTCCTCATTTTTTCTCCAATCATTTTTAAATCATCATAAAAAAACCTTCCATTCACTTTAATTTTTCTTTTTATTGTGGCGGCATAGAAAGCGATTCGTCCGTATGTTCATGATGAATATGTGGTTGAGGACTTAACTTGCTATGAGCTGATGGATGCAGAATAGAAGATTTACGTTGCGGAACAGTGTCTGGACGTGGAATCTGGACAAGAAAAAAAATTTTTTTGGATAAATTAAAAATTTTTTTTATGACTCAAAATCTGCAGAAAATATTTGCGGACATTTTCTGTCATAATTAGGGTTGCCGTTTTCGAGACAGGCCGAAGTTCGAGTCATTTTTTCGGGCTTGTTTTTATCGGGCCAGCCCGACCGAGTCTTCTTCGGGCCAAAATCCGTTGCCCGACTCGATCTTTTGGACAAGACCGAGCAGGCAACCCTAGTAATAAGGATAAAAGTACCAAAAATTTGCTACACGGTTTAGATTTGAAAGATAATTTTTGGGTTATCAAATAAGTTAGAGTCCACTTCGGCCCAAATACATATATGTTTGATGCCCAGAACAAAATTAACCAAGTCGGGTACTTTTGGCAACCCCACAGAAATGTTTGGAGTGTTTAAAAAAAGTATAAGCCAAAAAGACGTGTAGAACTAAACTTCAAAGTTCCCATTGACAGAGCCTAACTTAAAGAATGAGTTTTATTTTGCAGCTTTTCTAACTTTAACATTTGGTTCCAAATGTTAGGTGTAATTTAACTCTTCCCAGGACTTAAAGCCTAACAAGACATATAACCCAATATGGGGAAATAAATATTTTAAATAATTTAAAAAATCCAATTCCAAAAAACCTGTAAATGCTCATCAGTATCTTCATCTCCAGCATCCATTGAACATCCAGAAAAAGACCCAGCAGGCGGACGAATAGTCGGCATCAATTCATCTTGTTGGTGATGCTTTGGCAAATTCTCCTCGATTGTTGCTGCTAATTTTGGGGCCGCTGCCACAGATATTGGCGGTGCCTGAGAAACAACGGTAGCGGGCACAGGCTGTTGCTGTCCAACTACAGCCGTTGTCGTCTTTTTGTCTTTGTTCATATTGTAATCACCGGAGTCAAAAAATTTCTGAAAGAAAATTTTTAATTAAAAAAATACGACAAATAAATAAATCGTTTGCTAGAATTGGAATCATTATTTCATATATTCTAAGGGAAATTCGATTTTTCTTAAGCTTTTATTGGAATCTTCTTATAATTTAATAAAAATACTAACATATTAATCTTATGGCCTGTCTAATTGAAAAAATAGAGAAATCAAAGACCGAAGGAGTATAAGCCTATTTTCCCTGACAAGGGTAGTTGTTCAATCCTCCTATCTACCCCTACCTTCAAACGCCGCATATTTGGTCTAAAAAACTCAGACGGTCAAGTAAGGTCTGAAGAAATGCCTCAAACATCAACACGACCCAAACGCTAGAAAAAGTAAATTGAGAATGAATCCCTAGATCAATTAGAACGAAAATAACCCCTAAAATTTCTGACGCAAAGAAAATTAAAATCCTTACACGTTGCTGCAACCGTTTTTGAAGGAACGAACCAGCAGACTTTGGAGGAAGCTTACCACTCGAAGCAAGTTTATTCATCAACAACAGCTCCTAAAATATTTAAAAAATCAAAATTAAAAAAAAATAAAAATAAACTTGTTGTTTTTCAACAGAGACAGCTTCAGCTTGAGCATCAGCAGGAATGCTGTCAGCTTTAGAAATATCTCCTCTCATTTTTTAAAATTAATTTATACAAAAAAAGTCAAATTACAACTCAAGTCTGAAAAAAAATTTTTTTAATAAATAAAATGAAGGAAGGAGGAAGAAAAATATATTCGCGTTAATCACCCCCCAAAACAGCCAAAAATAAAATTTTAGAGAGTTAGCCAATTTTGGGCTAGACAGCCAATTTTTCTGCTAAAAATTTTACAAGTCTGCTGATTAACTAAAAAATAACCAATTTTTTGGATTCTCTTAGAAGAGGGATTGCTTAGGTAAAAATAGAGTGAGTGTTTAACCGTGGATAACAACGCGTTCTTTCTTCTTTCTGTCACTTTTTTCCCTTTTCTAAGAAGCCAAGTATAGTAAAGCTAAGGCAATAAATGGCTCATCTCATGCCTTCAAAAAAGCGGCGAAATAGAAAGAGAATTATTGAATTTAAAAGGATAGTAATGGCTGACATCCATACCTGCCTATATTTGTAGAAAAGAACCCACTTGTATGTCTCGTATAATTTACCCAACACGCACAAGTGGCGCTTTAAATGGAAAAAAAGGAAAAAAGAGTTGTTTATGAAAAATATTTTGGTTTTTTTGTTATAAAAATGGTTGGTGTGTGTTTTGGTAAAAGCTTTTGTTAGATTGTGTTAATTGGAAAAATAAAACCAAAATGGGAAAGAAAGGCAAAATAATAAGAAAATAAACTCGAAAATCTTAACAAAATATTCAATACATGGACTAAAACCAAAAGAAAAATTAAATTAACGGCACTTAAGAAAGAGATTTTCACGATTTCCAGGCATTTGACTTGACTAATGACTTGACTAACTTAACTTGACAGACTTGCTTAATCTGGAAAATCCGGACGGTCCGTTGGTTCCGGCAAGAAGACCAAGTCCAAAATCCATTTCCGGATCCGGAAAAGGTTTTACCGAACAGTACCTTCGGTAAATTATCAAAAGAATATAGAGCAGACATAAAAAAAGAAAAGAGTTGACAGCGAAATCAATATTGAATTAATAAACGAGTCTCCATATTTTGCCAACAAACATTTTGTCAATGAGGGTAAAAACTCTCATTTTGTCAACAAACTTATTGGCAAACCGTCAATTTTTAGTCGTATTGGCGAAATGTGGAATTGTCAAAATATGATTACTAAAAAAATTAATTTTGGCATTGTGTCTTTTAATGATTTTTTATCCACAAAAGGAGAAAGACAGAAGGATGAGGGAAGAAGAGTTTTTGCTAAAATTTTTTTGTGTTTTTTGCGTGAAAATTTTTTGCTAGGTATCAGAGGTAGGTCCGATTTGCGAGTTCCGACTTCTCAGCCTGTTCCGCTTTCTGGCTCTTCCGATTTCAGACACATCTGGCTGTTCCGACCCACCTCTGCCAGCTAGAAACTTGTACTAATCTTTTCATAATTGGATATAGTGTAGTGTACCGGTGGTAAAAGTTCGGGACGTGACATATGTCATTCGATTCGTCTCGACGAGCTGAGTCGAATGGTACCACTCCCTACTTTAGGAAATTATTCTGGGCCGAGTTATAGGTCCCGAAAAATCGAAAAACCATAGGGGGGAGTAAGCTCGATTTTGGGGTGAAAAATTCGAATATGCAAATAATAGCTCATTCGAAAGAGCTCGTCGAGCTGAGTCGAATGACACCAAAATTAGCTTGATTGTAAAAGTTTGGACAAAGTTACAATAGAAAAACAAACAACATAAACCTATGGAGCGTAGGCGAGGCGCTTGTGCAAAACTCCGCGCTTCGCGCGGAGTTTTGCGGCACGCGCCTCGCGGGGAGTCTACGGGCGCTGGGTCTGGGCTCGTAACATAAACCTATTCCTATCTCCCTTGCTATGGACGTATTTGGGGCCTCCGTAGCAGCAAAAATCTCCACGGGCGCCATAGGTAAGGAGCTAAAACAAACGGTCATAACTTTGTCAAATCATGACAGATTTCGTTGATTTTGGTGTCATTCGACTCAGCTCAACGAGCTCTTTCGAATGAGGTATAATTTGCATTTTCGAATTTTTCACTCCAAAAAAGTGCTTGGTCCCCCCTTTGGTTTTTCGATTTTTCGGGACCTATAACTCGGCCCAGAATAATTTCCTAAAGTAGTGAGTGGTACCGTTCGACTCAGCTCGTCGAGACGAATCGAATGACATATGTCACGTCCCGAACTTTTACCACCGGTACACTACACTACAGCCTCATAATTTTTATAGCTTTAGATCGTTTTTGCTTGTTAATGGCCATTTACTATTTAAATTTATTCCAAAACTTTCTTCCAATTTATCAAATATTATGGAATTTGTTGTTGCATTAGCTTTTGTTGTGTTGGTTGCCGTCTTCTTTTTTTCTCTTTGGATGCTTGTTGTTACTTGTCAAAGAAGAAATAATTATAAAAAAATGATAAAGATGCGACCCTCTCGATTTTCAAGTTTAAAAAGTGGAAATAATGAGGATGTTGCTCAACTTGGGCCGAATATGCGTAAATTTTATTTTTGGATTTTTTGGTAATTAATTGGTCTCTGTCTAAAATATTTACTGATTTATACTATAAACATACTTGTTCTGGTTTCTTTTAGGCCTATAACAAGGAAATGAATTTTGTGAGTAAAAGTCTCCTCTTTGTAGTTTGGCAATTATTTGGTAATTCTGAGGCTGCCCCTACATTTTTTCTTTCCCTAGGAATGTACGTAATGGTCAGATTTTCCCCTTTCCTTTTTTCTCCATGGCATATTCAAACAAGAGAGAATATTAATTTTGTAGGATATCAAGCTTCAGAATTACCTATTATTTAGAAACCACAAGGCACACGGGTCTAGAACATAAGATATTTTTTTGTCCTAAAATTGAAAAAGGATTATTATTTTGACTATTTCTAAAGACCAGGCTTCCTCACCAGGCTGTTGAGGAAAAAAACCTCACCACACACTTCCTCACTCACCAGGCTTTCTCAGCTTTTTCAGACCAGACTTCCACAGTTTTTCGACTCCAACAATTTTTAAAAATTCTCATAATCTTTCCTTTCAGTTAAAACTTTAAACGACAATCAATGGATCGACGATTTTGCTGCCGGATTACTTCAGAATTGTGTTGCCGTCCTTCGCCTTTGTCATTCCCTAACTGAGCGTATGCTTCCCTTAGAACAACAAAAATCGAATCCATATTCCCTTCAAATTGACAAACTTATTTGTGAGGCAAGTGGAAGATTGATGCCCAATTTTGAGTCTTTGTTGTATTCAATGGCTGCCCAAAATGTGGATATTCGTGTTTTGGAAGCGCGTGTTAATTCGTTGGTCAGCGCTTCGTGGGCCTTGGCAATGCCTATTTGTTTGGCTAATTTAAAACAAAAGGAGCCGTTAGAGGAGATTTTGAATGAAATGAATGGGCATTTAAAACAACTTCAGGTTTTTTTTAATTGAAATATTTTGAACTTTTGTTGGTTTCCGTCTTTTTTAATTAATGGACTATAGATAATATTGAACCTGACGGACCCATTTTTCTAGTTTTATATGTTTGCAGAATGGTGTCTTTTTCCTCCAATTTTCCTTACTTCAATTTCTTTATCCAAGTGAGAATAAAAATTAATCCATTTTGATTTTTTGTAGGAAAAATATAGAAGGGCAACTGGAGATCTAAGAAAGGAAAAAATTTGACCATTCTGTAGATATAAAAACTTGGGTAAGAAGAGATGGGGTCTGTCAAGTTCAATTTACCGAGCAATCTTTCCTTTTTTCTGTCCAAGTTTCATTATATAAATATTAAATCACTCAAAAATATAATGGACATAAACCGATATCGATAGTCTTAAGCAAAAATTAAAAATTTTGAAGAAATGTGAGACTTACCCCTAAAGTTGAAATCTAAACATTTTCAAATTTCGAACTTTTTAAAGATTGCACTAGACCAATTCGAAGAACAAGAAGAAAAACAACAAATAGAAAATTGTAAAAACGCAACAAAATTTTCTTTGAGACTGCAAAACTTCAATAAAACACAAAATCATATTTCTGAGACTTCCTTCACAAATTCAGAAAATCCAGGAATGTCTCATGCTTGTGAAAATGTTAAAATCAGAATTGGAAATGATGAAGAGGTTTTTTTGGTTTTTTAGGAATTTTGAATTGAAAATTAAATTTTTAGCAAATTTCTGCACTCCTTCCCTCCACTCCAGAACAATTTGTGGAAGAAACGGCGCCTGCAGATCCGGCAATCACAAAATGAAAATTTTAACGGCTAAATTAAAAGTATAATTTACTCCTTTTAAAAAATTTTTTGGGCATTCAGTCTGGGCCAGATTTGAAATTTTGGGGGTTTTCGTGATTATTCTTTAAGTGTACCTTCTTGGCAGGATGTACATCTCCGTCTCTGGAAGTCAGGGAATTTGAGACTTCCCCTCCCCTTTGTAGCTGTGCGCATTATTTAAAGTTTTTATTTGGAGGGGTAAAATTATGCCAAATTTTGGGACTTTGGAGGGCCATATCTTGGCCAGATCAAAAAGGGCAAAAATGGCTTAAAATCCTTGCTAGAAAGGGCACATTCTCTATTGAATGACCCCGGTCTCGACCGTTTTTAGGTCGGACACCTCGCAACCTCTCCTTGTAAGAATTTTTTCATTAATCATTTCTAATATATTTTAAAATCTGGCCTAGATTTAATTTAAAAATCTTAATTTTCTCCTTCTCTTGATAGAATTTCCAAGCGTATCTCATTTTTACGTTCTTATTTCTTCTAAATTTAATTAAAACTTTATATTAAATATATAGTATTAGACCCAAAAAATAAAATTATTTTTTTGTCGAGTTTCTTAAATTTTTTTTTGTTTAATTTTATCAATGTGAAATTTTCTATTTTTTAGAAACTCGATTAAAAAATTTTTTTTCATGCCATAACTCTCTACCTTTTTTAATCTTACATGTTTCCTCTAAATTTGCAGATACTCATTTCATCTATCCAATTTTATATTTAATTTATTTTTTTAAAGGAAATGAGCCAAAAAAATTTTTTTGAAAATTAAAATCATTTTTGGATAATTTTAAAATTAAAAAAAATTTTTTTAATTTTAAAGGCAACATATTAAAAAAATTTGGCTTTTCTCCTTTTATTTTTTAAAATAATTCCCGAGTGATTTTTCCGTCCATATAATTTTCAAGTGTCTTTTTTATATGTTTCTTAAAATATTTTTTTTTAGCTTTTCTAATTTTAAGTAAGGTAGCTCCCCGTACCATACGCTTTTTTTGGCAAAAACCCCGACTCAAAAGTCAACCCCGACCTGCCCTCTCCGGCAAATCCCGGTCCCCGACACATCCGACCCCGAGGCTCGGAGAGCTACTCTAATTTTTAAGATTGGATTTGTTTTTTGAATATTTTTTTTTAGTTTTTAAAATATTTTTTCCAAGAAAATTTTCACTAATCAAATCCATTCTTTTTATTTAAAATACCCTCACAAAATATTTTGTTTCAAAAACAATTTTTAAAACTAATATTTTTTGCGTTTTTGAAGGTCGGGCATTTACTTCAAATTAAAATTCCAAGTTCATTTACAAGGAATTTATTAGAGTTCGGATCGAGTTCAGAAAATTTTTGGCCAACGAGCTTGAGATTTTTCGAGGTGTCGACCTCGATCGATCCCTCAAGTTCGGTCTCTAATTTGTCCTAAAATAGTTGTAGATGCCTGATTTAATTATCAAAAATACTCTTTTTTCTTCAATTTTCTTGATTTTCTTTAATCCTTATATTTTTTAGATTTTTTGTAGAAACAAATACCCCTTTAAAAGCTTGTATTATATTTATTTTCACACATATTTAAATTAAATATTTTAAAGAATAAAATTTCAAAATAAAAATTTTTCTTGTGGTTAATATACCAAAAAATTATTTTTTAAATAGTGTACTAATTTTATTTTTTTTTTTTAGTTTTGTGAATTGATTTCTGATCAAGAAGATAATTTGGATTGTTGACGAATTAATAATATACGTTTTGTCCTTACAAGGTTATTTTATTAATTTAAGGCAGTTAAATTTGAAGTTTGATATAAGTGTGTCATGGTGTAGTGGAAAAGGCTAGGATTTAGCGTGTTTGAGATGCGGGTTCGAGCCCTGCTGGGGGCAATTGATTTTTACTGACCGAGACCAGGATGAGTTTCTAGTTAACATGAACCTTTTGTGGGAAACTAAACCATTTTTATATTTTTCTTCGAATTTTAGATGACTTCATTCACACGCGCATTGGAACTTTTCAACCCTTCCAACGGACGTCATTCTCTTCTTTGCAAACAATTGGTCATTTCTTCATTTTTCCAAGTGCGTAACAACTGCCCTTGGCACCGAAGCAGTTACCAACAAGCATACTTCCCATTTAGTGTCAAACACAAATTAAAAATGGACAATATTAATCGACTTTTGTATGAAACTAAAGGAGGAAAACACATTTTGATGAGACGCTTGTTGGGAGAAAAACATTTTATTACGTGGAATTGGCCATCTAAGAAAGCAAAGAATGATCGACTCGCTTATCCTCTTTAAAATGGAGAGTATAGGTTTTTTGATTTAAATGATGGTTATTTATGAATTTTGAATGTTTTAAAATTCTTTGGATAGAAATTTGTTTTTTTTTGATTATTTATCACAATTAAATAGTAGACTGAAAACTAGGGCTAAAATAATCTTTAAAAAATTCTTTGAAACATTTTATATAAAAGTATGTAGAATTTAGAAAAGGGACTAACAAAATAAATAGCAGAGATAGTCGAAACGGCCAAAGGGCGCCGGGAATAAGAACTCTCAAATGTCGAAACTTGGAAATTTTTGGAGCTTGGAAAAGAGGGAAACATTGGAAATTAGAATCCAGACTTATCCCTGCTAGCCAGAAAATTTAAAAATTAAAAAAAAAGACTTAAAGAATCTTGAATCTTGATATCGATTAAATAATAATATACTAATGTCAAGGTCTGTAACCAAAGATATATAAAATTCCGAAAAAAACGACTTTCTAAAAATAAGACATGCGAAAATATATTGTCTGATTAAATATAAAAAATAATTTTACGAGGGAGGGATTGTAAAAAAAATTTTTTTGAACGAATACAAAAATGGTATGAAGGAACTAGAGGACAAAAAACCTACGGACCAGGGCTCCCATAATTCTAAAAAATGTCACGTATCCACTAAGGTTGTCGGATAGTTGGAAATCTTCGGATATCCGGCCTTTTTCGGATCCGGATCCGACAACCTTGTGCCCACATTCACCAATATAAACCTGCTACTTCTAACTCAAAAAAACCTTTCATTTTTATTGTTATTCAAAATTCTTCATTGAATGATTTTGTAACATTGTAGCATTTGTTGTTGTCATTTCTGCACGATTACTACCAGCCATAGTTACAAACGATGGGGCTGTTGATGTTAATTGTTCTTTAATAGTTTTTGGTGCTGTTGAGATTCCACTACTGTCAGCCCCAACATCGTCAAGAATAAATTCAGAAAGTAATGAATCTACTTCAGCAAGGCCAAAGAACCTTTCGAAATTGAAGAAATAATTTGCTTTAACTTGTGGAAAATGTGCTAGGGCAGAAATATATTGGGGATAAGACTACCTACTAATTTGGGCTGTCAAAAATAAAAAAATGATTGAACTTCGAAAACGAAAATGGGAAATTCGAACAAATTGAAAGTTCGGCCCAGCCTGGCTACAATAAGAGGAGCCACCACCCATGCTACTCGAAAAAGATGTTTTAGTTTTCAATTTCCTAACAATAGACTACCCTAAAATATTTTTAAATCATCTTCAAAGGGCCTTTCTATTAGAGGGGGTCATCCAACTGGAAGAAATATGATGATTGGATCAGAAGGTTGGATCATTCAACCCTCTATCAGATTTTACGGCAATTTAAAAAAAATTAAAAAAAAACTTTGTTAAAGTCATATTTTCAATCAACAATTGGGTCAGTGCTTTTAAAGCCGGCGCTAACAAAAGAATATTTCCATATCTACTTGGAGCCTCGTCTACCGGTTTAGATGCCAAAATGATTGAATAAAGAGCTTAAAAATTAAATTTAAAAATATTTCTTTAAAGAAACCTTTAAGTATTTTATTTCTAGTTTCACGTATTATTTGTTGTGCATGTTGTGATAATCCTCTAGCTTCTGGATGTAAAAATGCCAGTGCCTTTAGACAAACAAATTCTTCTTCTTTCATCTGTATTTTTTAAAAATTATTTTTAAAAGTGAATTGAAGTATGTCCGAAAGTTTTTTGTTTGCAAATTCGGGAGAAAAATTTTAATGTAAAGGCAAGGGCTTTAACGTAAAGATAGTTGAAGCTAGAGTTGCACCCAAAAGGAGCAGGGCGCAATTGTTAAAAGGTGGAAGAAGGACAATACGAACGAATATTTATCTAATAGCTCGAATGTCCTTCCTGATGTCCGTCCCGAAATGTCTGTCGCAGGGAGTCCTTGATTAAAAATATTTATGAATTTGTGGACAAATTGCACCCAAAAGGAGCGTGGAGGAACTAAAGAACGGCAAAAAATAAGCAAAAACGCAACGGATATTTATCTAGAAGATAGAAATGTCCTTCTTGTGATGTTCGGTCCGAAATATATGTTTCTAATGACTCCAAAAATTGATTAAAAATATTTTTGAATTTGTGTACCAAACTTGCGAGCAATCATTAGTTTATTAACAAAAAAACCTCTAATTGCCTCATCGGCCAAACAATTTCATCCAACACTCTAGGCATTATATTTGCAGCTTTAAACGCAGCAAAGGACCCCAATTGTTCATTTCCTCCCTGAGATTGATCAGCTCCCAATAAAGAATTATTAAATAAACAAAGCCTTGTAGTATCTGGTGATCGAAAAGCAGGCATCAAAATGAGATGTTGAGGCGCATAATTTTTTAATAAAATGACCTGAAAAAATTTTTTTGAAAGGAAATTTTAAAGAAAGAAATAAACTTTGTCTTCCATTCGAAGTTCTGAAAATGTTTGCATTCCTTTTGCCCATTCAACCATTAAAAGAAGTGTTGTACGGGAAATTTCATTCAAATCCTTTGAAAATAAAATTTCACTGAATATTTTTAACAGAAAGTGGAACAAAACCAAGTGAAGAGAAAAAGAAAAGTAAAAAGAAAAATTAGTACACAATTATCCGAAAAAAATTTTCACCTAATTAAAGAACTAAAAAACTAATTTCACCAGCTTATGTAAGCTGGCACGCAGGCATAAAAAATTTTCATGAGGTGGGAATCGGGGCTGGACTTATTTCGCACTTTCGCATTCTTCAGCGTGAAGTTTCGCATTTCGCTTTTTATTTTTAGATTTCGCTCAGCCCTGGTGGGAATCATTTTTTGAAATGCTTGCCCCTCCAATTCTTTCCTTTTCCCCATTTCGTGGATTCTCTCCTCTTAATTTTTACAATAGCTACGAGCTAGTCTCACGAATTTGGATTTCCGTTTTTACAAGAATAGAGAAACTAAAAAAAATTCCGTAATTTCTTTTCAAGATCTAAAAAAATTAAAAACCTCAATCGAAGCCGATCTTGAACCTGAAGGCGAGCTAAATGCTGAAGGCCCATTAGGATGAAAAACTGGCGAAACGGACGGGCCACTAGTACCTTCAGCATTAAACTGGGAACCAGAAAAAGCACTCGAAAGGTTTCGGTAACGCAAACACATTTCTTGATTTACACGTGCCTGGAAAATAAAAAATATTAAATTTAAAGGTTAAATTTAAGGCGAAATTTTGATTTTAATGGTTTAGAGAAAAATAGAGGATGATTCCTTACAAGGAGAGGTTGCGAGGTGTCCGACCTAAAAACGGTCAAGACGGGCTCATCCAATAGAGAATGTGCCCTTTTTAGCAAAGATTTTGAGCCGTTTTTGCCCGTTTTTTGATCTGGCCAAGACATGGCCTTCCAAAGTCCCAAAATTTGGCTCCCACTCAGTGAAAATGGAAAAAATTCCGAAACTTTTAGTGCGAATCGAAAAAAATTCTTTTCCTGGTTCTAAGTTTAAATTTTCCGACGAGAAAAAAAAACGAAATAATTATCCTAAAAATGAGTCCCCCAGGATTTTTAATTAAATTAAATTAAAAAAAACCTCCAATTCCATCAACAAATAAATAATATTTGAATAATTATTAGCAGAATTTTCAGAAATAAAATTTCTCATTTCAATTCCAGAAGAGGTAGAATAAATTGAAGGTTTGCTTTCAACTCCAGGCGAAAGTGATTGTTCACTCCCCCCATAATCCAAAGTTTGCCGGCGTTTTTTGGGAGAACTTGGAGAGCTTATTGAATCACGTTCAAATTGAATTGCTTCTCTTTTCATTCCAGCGCTTGAATTAAAAAAATATTTTTTTGAAAAATAGAGGTTGAACGAAAATATGACTGTGGCTAGAGAGTAAAGAACGAGCTGGGTCTGAATCAAGGCCTGAGTTTTTCCTATACCCAAAGTCCAGGCCTATGCATTTTTTAACCTTCCTGGGTTTTTCCTGGGCCTGGGTTTTTCCTGGACTACAGGCCCAGGATCCGGCCCAGGTCAACAAATAAAACCGAGAGTCTAGGAACAGGCCCAGGCTTTTCAAAAATCTCGATCTCTACTAGAGAGAGAGAGACGATAACGAATAAAATTTAAAAAACGAAAAACAATATTTAAAAATGTTCGGCTCGGATATCGGTATGTAGATTCCCCAAAATCCATTATCCTACCTACCCCTAGTAAAGTTTAGGGTTTATTAATAATACTTCTATTTAGATGGAGGGGTTGGAAAACGCCTACATAATTTCAGTTTTGCTCAATTTTCCAAAATCGGGTTCCCTACACTTACTTTTTAATATTTAAACAAGGTTGTGGATCAATTCAAATAAACAAAGAAAACTTTAAAAATAATTAAAAACCTCAAGCATTTCTGAAAACGACAATAACGACAGGCGCAACGAAAGTTTTTATCAATAATACAATTTTTGTCAAAACGACAAGTAAATTTTTGATTTCGCAAAATTGTTCGGCGGAAGAATCCCTTTAAAAAATAAATTAAATTTAAAATTAAAAAGAAATTAAAAATGCCTTGCATCCATTACAGGAAATTGTGCCATAATGAGTACCTGTCGATTTATCCCCACAAACTTGACAAGGCTCGGCTAGGGGATCTGAAAATTGATTTTATTAAGATATAATAAATAAATAAACACACCATTCACAACTACTTCCATTATTACAAAAATAAAAAATTGTTTTGAAGATAAGAAAACGCTAAAATTAAAAAGAAAAGTGATTAACTGATCGGTTGTTTTACTCCCATTATTAGATGTTTTGAATATTTTTTTGCTAGTTGACACTTTGAAATTAATTAAAATGTTTCTAGGTACGATTCGGCGCAAATTATTCGGCGCACACGTTTCCGCGCCGATCAGTTCCGCGCCAGTTCAGTGGGCGCCGAATCGTGTCTAACCGAGAATATTTTTATATTTTCCCTCAACTCTTTTCTTTTTTATCTTTCTCTGTCCACCGTTACTTTCTTTTGCAAATTTTATTTTGTCCTAAATTTCATATTACAAAACACATACAATTAAAAACGTCATAAAGGGAAGAAACCGACAAAATGGTGAATGACAAAATGTCGAAACTTGTAATGTCCTTCACGTTTTTTTTAAATTTTTTGTTTTACGCGTTCTTTAAAAATTTTCTTTTAAAATTTTTTCTTTTAAAATTTTTTCCAATTTTTCAGAATAGCCACTCTCTATTTGTAAACCTCTCTATTTGTAAGCCTAGAAATGGACAATCTTACAGATTTAGTGGCAGTTACCAACGAAACTTTAACCGAGACAACCTTCATTCCAACCTCCGATGGCTTTATTGAATTTTGTGATAGTGAGGTGAAGAAAGGGTTGGAAATTTGGTTATTGGCTATGGCAATTATTCCGTTCCTTTTCTCTTTAATTATTATTGGGTTTCTGTTGGTGGCTATTAATGCTGTTGGCAAAATTGAGGCGCATTCTATGGAGGCTGATAATAAGTAAATTTATTTAAAAAAATTTTTTTTAATTTAAGACTAGAAAATTTAAGTATTTGGTAGGAGAGATGTCCAAGACCGAAAAAAAAGCCCATGAAAAGTCTTTAGTCAAGACTCAAGACCAAAAGTCCTGGACATCTCTACTAGGTAGACTTCTGAGTTTCCCTATCATGTATAGTTGCAATCCTGCCCCTTGGGATAAGCATATTGGTGAACGGAGTTCTTAATTACCGTTTGAGATCGGATAGGGTTTTTTTGGAGTTTAACTCCTATTGTTCACATTACCCTATTCTTCTTTTAATTTTAAATACTAATAGGACCCTTAGCAATTTTGTAACGGAATTATAAGGCTTGTAAGAATGTAGAATAGAAAAGATTTTAGGGGAGGGGAGAATTCTAGTGGAGACAATTCTTTGTGGAGCGGGGTGAGGAAGAGAAGGGAGGGCATGAGAAGAGGGGCTTCAATTATCTTCTTACTAACTGAAAATGATTTTAGGGGGTTTTCTCCATTTTTCCTTTTATTTTTATTCTCTTAATTAAAATTAATTAATTTAAAAAGAATGGTAAATGTTCGACTCAATGCAAACAAAACAACGTGTCAACAACTTGTCAAAGATGCTTTTCGAGCTTTTGCATTGAAAAATAAGGAGTTGGCTAAAATTGCTTGATGTGAGAGAATTTTTGGAAGGAACAGAGGAAAATAAATTATATAATGTTTAAATAATACTTTCTGTGCTTTAAAATGGGTATTTTATGGGTATTTTATTTATAAATTTTTTTTATTGAATTTATTTTTTTTAATTTTTTTGGATTATTTTTCTAAATATTTTTAAATTATGATTATGGAAATTAAAAAAAATTTTTTTTCAATATTTTAATGAGCAATTTGCTCTGATAAAGCTTCTCTTCTCGTACCTGAACATTAAACATTGCATCACATTTTTTGAGGAAGAGCCGCTGGATTTATTCAATTTTCCAATGGATTCGTGGACAATGGTATTTAATATTTAAATAATGGGTAGGGCTGTCATTTCATTTAATTTTGGGATTTTTGCAAGGTCAAAGGTTAAAAAATGGGGTTACCCTTGTCCGCAAAAGTGAAAATGTCCGCAAAAACGTTAGGCAAAAATAAAAGAAAAATTTTTATTTTTTCGAGAAAAAATACTTCCTTCTCTTTATTTACCGTTAAATAGCATGATTGTCGCTTAAAAGAATTTTTATTAAACTAAAATGTTTGTTCACACAAACTAAAATACAAAAAAGATTTTCCAGCAAAGAAAAATAAAGATAAGAATAAAAATGAAAATGTTTGTAATTTTTATAGGGAATTTAAAAAAGAAATTATTTTTTGTTCAGAGAATAGTTTTTAAAAAATATAAATGAATATTCTCTATATCAACAAACCATTTAACAGGTCGAGAAAATATTCGGGAATATTCTCTATACAAAAAAATTTTTTTTTAAACCTGCGGACATTTTTTGGATTTGCGGACATTTTCTGGAGGTTGCGGACACTAAACTTTTTATTTTTTTGGGGTTTCTCTGTTCTAATTTTTTTTGTCGAAAAGTCTTTCTATGTATTCTTCTTCCCTTTTTCTCTTTTAAATTTTTTTTATTTTTATTCATTTATTAAACAATTCTCTTTAAATGTCTTGACATCATTTCAATTTATTCAGGAGACCTGATTAAATCTTTAAAAAATTTTTTTTTCTAAAAAATTTTTTTCCTAAAATTCTTTCCCTTTTATTAAACCAAATAATCAAATTCTATTTCATTTTTCCTCTTTTAAAAATTAAAATTTTTATTTTAAACTTTTGCGGACATTTTTAAAAATTTGCGGACAACTTTCCTCCGTTGGTCTTTTGGGGATAAACTTAATTTATTTTTATTCAAGTTTGTAGTAATATATCGTGTCACGTTTTACAAATTTTTAACTGTCATTTATATTAAAAAAATGTCAGTCTTTTCTGTCCACTATCTTTATTTTTGTTCAAATCAATAGAAAAACATTAATTTTTACTTTTTCTATAGGAGAAGGACATTACGGCGCGGGGCAATTTACGGCGTGGAGGCATAACTTTGGGGAAAAGAATTCTGAATCCTGAAGGTCCTAGCAAGGTTTTGTAGATCTCGACGAGCTGAGACAAGCAATCTTGGATCGATTGAGATTCAAAATTTTGGCCCAAAGTTATGCCCTCACGCCGTAAGTGCCTTGCGCCGGGGTGTACCCCCATTTTTTAGGCGGGTTAAAAATAAGATTAAAAAAAATTGAAAGGTGTGGACATTTTATGGTTAATAAATTTTCTTTAAAAAGGTAGAAAATGATCAAAATTGAATTAAGCAATGAAAAGAATATTGAGGAATTTTTAGAGCTAAATAAACAACAAAAAATAAAAGAAGCAAATAATACTGGAAGGAAGGTGGAGAAGTTGACTGTAGCTGATAAAGAAGTTTTACCTGTAAATTTAAATAAAGGTGGAGTTTTTTAATTTTTGTAAAATTAGTTTAGTTAAATTTTTTAAATTATTTTGTTCAGTTTTGCGGATTTTTATTATTTGCGGACATTTTTAAAACTTGCGGACATTTTTAGAACTTGCGGATTTTTTTTATGAATTTGCGGACAATAAAATTCTGAAAAGAACAATTTTCTAAAAATCATTTTTTAACTAATTTTGATTTTTAAAAATTTTTAAAAAGCCAAAAATTATTTTGCGGACATTTTTAAACATGCGGAAGCCTGTTTAATTTTTACAAATTTTCTGTTTTAAATTATTAATTTGTTTAAAATATTACTTTTAGTCGCTTAATATTGTTAAATTTTAATAAGAATTATTACGAAAAATATTTATGATTTATTAAATCGAGGGAAAGTTTTGTCCGCAAATTTAAATTTTTGTCCGCAAGTTTTGTCCGCAAATTTAAATTTGTCCGCAAGTTTTGTCCGCAAATATTTTTTTGCTAATTTTTCAAGAAAACTTTCCTTCCAAATATTTCAACAACCCTAATTTTCATTTTAGCCAGCTTTACATTGTCAAATGCTGCTGTTCTCTTAGGAAATTCAACTGGTTGTTCCTCTCTAGCAAGCATTGCAGCATTGACAAATACTTTCCCTATATTTCAACAATCTTTAATTATGGGGAATCCTTCAACACCTGTAAATTCTCCTTCTCCTGTGCAAAATGGAACTGTTAAAAGGGCAAAGAGGAAAGCGTCCGGAGGTCTTCCAATTGGGGCTAATGGTCAAATTCAGGCTGATTGTTTAATTTGTTCGGATAGGGCGACAGGTTTGGAGGGATTTTTTAATAAGATTAATTTTTTGGGAAGGAAAATACGAAATTCTGAAAATTTGCCTCTCTATTGGAATTTAAAATTATTTTTAAAATTATTTTTTTAAGAAAAATTGACCAGTTAAAAAACTAAATTTAAAGGCAAACACTATGGAAGCGTTTCATGTGATGGCTGTAAAGGCTTTTTTCGCCGTACTATACGCAAAAAACATATTTACGTGTGCCGTTTCAACAGTAATTGTGTTGTTGATAAAAGTATGAATTTTTTAAAAATTAAAAAATCCGCATTATTTTTTGCGGACAAAATTTGCGGATTTTTGCAAAAATCAAAATAATTTTTTTCATATTAATTTATTTTAGACCAACGCAATTCCTGTCGTCGTTGTCGATTTGAAAAATGTTTAATAAACGGAATGCGCCCTGAGGCAGTCCAACTTGAACGTGACAGAATTGCAGCTACTCGACGAAGTAATTGTGACAATATGAAAATTTTGGTGAATACAGAAAATGGGTATTTCTTTTTATTTTTTCCAATTTCTTGTTTTTTTTTTTGTTTATGTTGGTATTCCCAAATTAGAAAATCCGAAATTTTATTTGCGGACAAAATTTGCGGATTTCTGCAACTAATCGATCTGTTGTAATTTAAAGAATAACTTTATCCACATGCGGATTTTTAGGGACCCGCCCTTGAAGGATCCCTAAACCACAGAGCTATAACTTCGTTCAAAATAGTCGAATCTGGGAGGCCTCGGTATGTTTCGATGCATCCGACGAGCTGAATCGAACAATATTAGGGCGTCACGGATTCAACCATTTTGAACGAAGTTATAGCTCAGTTGGCCTTGCTGTACGTTGGGGTGTACCCGGATTTTTAATGAAAAAAATTATATCATTTATTACTCTCTTCCTTGTCTTCTCATTCATCCCCCAGTCACCTCTAACTTCCAAAATTTTTATCAAAAATTTTTTTCAAAAAATTTTTAGAGACGACAAAAATTTGCTTAATAATTCACTAAATATTCAAACACCAATATCATCACCAACATCAACAACAAATAATGAAGAATTAAAATTAAAAAATGCTGCCATAGCAGAAAATAAAGCAATTATTTTTCGTTTAATAAATGCTGAAAAAATATTATCTTCTAATAATAAAAAGGAAGAAAATGATGTTAATGAAAAAGAAATGAAATTGGAATTGAAAAATAATTGTAAAATTGCAACGACTGGGGATGTGACAGATTCGGTAAAAATTACATAATTTATAAAAAAAAAGGTTTTAGGATTTGAGGTTGATATTTAGGTTCCGTTTACTTTTTTGAGGTTTCCTGAGAGTCGAGATGGGGATTAGAATTCTAGGTCAGACAATCTCGATTTCCTTTTCCCCAGTTCTTATCTCCAGTTCTTTCCGGTTTTTAAATTCCTATCTCTCGTGAGATAGGACCGGGACGAGATCTCGAGCAAAAATCTTGGTTATCGAGATTTTTCTCGATATCAATCTTGATTCTCTTACAAATCTCCCATTTCGGTATCTGATTTCTAGCCAATATCTAATAGTTGGAAATCGAATTTTTTATTATTATTTTCTCATCTTTAAAATAATTTTTTTAATATTTTTGACTAAATATCAAGTTCTTAATTCAATTAATTTCCAAAAAAAAGTAAAAATAAAATTCATTTTTAGATGCACCATCAATTAATTTTGTTGGTTGAATGGGCCAAACAATTAGAAGAATTTCGACGTCTTTCATTATTTTCCCAAATTGCTTTGCTCAGACACTTTTCAGCTCAACATTTGGTTATTTGTGCTGCTTATAGGTCTTCTAAACATATTTCAAGTTGTGAAAGTAATGACGCTATTTGGTTGGCTAATGATCGTTGTGTGCCTAGAGATGCTCCTAAATTGCCTGATGTTAAGTGGGTTTTTATTTTTAAATAAATTCTGATTTTTTCTAAAATTAATTCTGATTTTTATTCTGAGTTTTTTCTGAAATTAATTCTGATTTTTTTCTAAAATTAATTCTGATTTTTTTCTGAAATTAATTCTGATTTTAATTCTGATTTTTCTGCAATTAATTCTGGTCATTACTAAAATCAGAATAAAAATACCAATAAAATTGAACAAATAAAAATCAGAATTATTTTTAAATAAATCAGAATTAATCTTAGAAAAATAAGAATTGCCTTTTAAAAATCAGAATAATTTCAGAGATATCAGAATTTATTATTTAAAAATCAGAATTTATTTTTTAAAAAACCAGAATCTATTCTTATTTAGCTGTTGTCTTTTTATGATTTTATTTCTGATTTCTATTAATTCTGATATTGTATTTCCGAATTTAATTCTGATTATTTTTGTAATTAATACTATTTTTATTTTAATTCTGGTTATATTTTTTGATATTCTGATTTGTTTTAATTTTTCTGGGTTTAATTTCCGATTTTTTTAATTTCTTATTTTTCTGGTTTTTCTTGGGGTTGATTCTGATTTTTCTGTATTAAAATTTTTTTTTAATTTTTCTTTTTAATTCTGATTTTAGTTATCACCCATAATTGTTTATTTATTTTTCAGTCGTGTTGTTGCCCGTATTTTAGACCATTTAACAGCCCCAATGCGTCGTCTCCATTTAGAAGATAGAGAATTTGTTGCATTAAAAGCTGTTGCTTTTTTTGATCCAAGTAATTTTAAAATTTTATATTTTTAAAATTTTATTTTATTTAAAAAGTGGCAAAAGATATAGAAGAACCAGCCAAATTAGAAATAGAAAAAATTCGACAACAAATAATGTTGGCATTTGAATATCAAGTAACCAATAAAGTTAATAATCAGCAACTAATTTCTTTAAATAATCGACTGGCTAATCTATTATTATTATTACCCCCATTAATGGCTATTGGAAGAGATTTGGTGGAAGAAGCACAATTGGCCAAACTTTTTGGTAAAAATTGTATTGAGATAATTTTCTGTTAAAGAATGTTTTTCTGTTAGAGAAACTTTTTCTGGCAGCAAAAATCGTGCCAAAAATTTTAAAATTAAATTTACTAGAAATTGGTTAAAATTAAAAAGTATAAACTTCTCATTCTCTTATCAAAACTCATCAGACGGGTTTCTGGAAGGGCTTTTCCTATTTATTACAGAAAATATTTTAGAATTATAATTTAAATTGAATGTATTTTTACGGAAAGTGAATCTGAAATATTTGCCAGAAAATTTAAAAAAATATTTTCGGGGAAATTAAGAAAAATAAATTAGGGTATGTATCTTTGTATTCTCCCCAATTTTAATATTTATTATATTTTTCCCGTCAAAGTTTGTAAATTTTTATTATTAAAAAGGTTTGGCAAATGTAGACGAATTAATGGCAGAATTATTATTACCTGAAGATGCAGAAACTCGTAGTTATTCCCGTTTAAGGACAAGTGTTACTTCTTCAATTGTACAGTCTAATGTAACTTCTCCAAATCCGCCAGCTACTTCTCCGCAAATTTTGCAAATTCCAGGAATTGTGACAGCAGCAACGTCGAATAATTCACAATCGGTGGGGAATAAATTAAATTATTTTTTTGAGATTTCTGAAACATTTATTTTCTAGCTTTTGTCAATTCCTACATATTCTTCAACATCTTCACTTATGTTACAAATTGGTTGTTGTAGTACTTTACCTTTACAACAACAACAAAATTCTTTTGGAAATTTACAAAATAGAGAAAAATAAATTTATATTTTAGGATTCCTTTTTTAAAGTGCCATTTAATAATTAATTTATATTTTCTTGCCCGAGTGGAAAATTTTAATTTATAAATATTTAATTTGTCTTAAACATTCTTTTCAGTAATAAATATTTAAAATTTTCCGGAAAACTTAAATAAAAATGTGGAAATTAAAGAAAAATTATATTTATCCAACAAATTTATAGAGTCACAAAATTTAACTGAAAAACTTTTTACTTGGATATATTTTTAAATTTTAAAATTAACTCCATAAATTCCTCAAAATCTGTCAGTTATTCTGGCAGAATTAATTCCTCCGTAGAATCACACAAATTAATCACTTTTTCAAAGAAATCTCCTGCCCAATGCGAACAATTCCAATTAATTAAGCCGTATTTTTGCCACATTTTATTGAACACCTCTACAATCTTGCTATAAGGCAAAGACGGTTTCAGAACGCGCTTAAATTTCATATCGAGATATTCATCATAGTAGCCCCAACGCTTTTCCTTTCCATTCCTTCCAAGATCACAGGTAAGAAGCATGCCACGATCGCAATTTTTGCATTTAATAACAATAAGAATGGCATCATGTGAATACTCCTTCAATCCACCATTAAACTCTGCTGAGAAGCCAAATGTAGCATTTTTCATAAATTCTCTAAATAAATTCAAGAGGAATTCTATGGGATTTTTATCGAATGTAAAAAATACCTAACACCATCCCAAACCCCACGAAGAAATTCTCCCATACAATGAGTGCTCCAAATAATTGTTACAGCATAATAATTGTTGGATGAACAACCCTGTAATTTAAAAAGCGTTTAAATGAAGCAAAATTTAAAACGGTTTTGCTTCACCCACAATAACCCCTCTTAAAACACTACAAACAAGGGGGCCCGCAAACATTAATAATTTTAGAAATCCTCCGGAAATACTAAACTAAAAGACTGGACCCAATACGAGACTGGATCCAACCATTTATGAATCCCGTTCCGAAATCAAAAATGTTGTAATATAAAACCCAGATATCACTATTTATCATTTTCAAATTTATAAAAAGACTTACACAATAGTCCATTTCTGTCCAGCTCGAATGATAATCAGCTGAAGAATTAAATTCCTCAAATGAAGACATTCCAACTAGTATTATACTTCCCGTATTTCCTCTAAAATAAACCTTGGTGTCTATAAAGGATCCAAAAATCTATCCAATCGGGCATTTTCGAGTAATTTGTATGTCTAATATAGTTAACCCTCGATTTTAAATAAGGATACGTGGATATTTACAATTGGGAGTGTTAAACTAGAGAGAATTGATCTAAATAGGGAAAGAAAACCCTGCTTAAATTTGGGAAGTTTATTTAGCCTTAAAATACGATTGTATTTGCCAAAACTTTTAATGTTATTATTTTAACTTTTTGGAAATTTTTGGATCTTTTAAGAAAATAATTCATATAGAGGTATTTTGAAGTTAGAGCTTATTTTAGAGAAAATATTTTAATTGGCTGTTTACGACTTAATAACCTGCCCAGAGAAATTCCCGATTCCCAAAAATCGGGAATTTGATTTTCTATCGGCGCGATCCCTGACCGATACCTCGTAGTTTTTGGTTATTGCTTTAGTAAAGGATGTAGAGAGTTACAATAATTTTATTAATCCAATCAAACTTCATTTTTTAATAAACCTTTGTTTGACTGAAAATTTGTAGCTTATAACGATGAGGTATTCTAAATTTGGGAGAATTCCCTTATCTTATAGCCAACCAAATTAAGAATTTTTCCTAAATAGGGGGTTAATGTAATGCATTTAAAAAGAGGTTCCATTTTTTGAACTCCATTAGGAAAAGTAAAATTTTGGTTATATAAAAGTCGTGAACAGCCAACAAAAAACAGCCAACAGCCTACAAAAATCTTTTGTATTTTGTAGCTTTCGGGAAATATTCTAGACAATAATTTGTTGATCTGAAAAATTAAAAATTAAAAGAAAAATCTTTTTAAAAAATTTTGGAAAGTGGTTTTGAATAAATAAATGGAATTATATTTTATACTATCTCACAAAACACTTGAATAGCTAAAAGACTTTCTTCCGATCATAAATTTTCTGTTTTGTTTATAACCACAATTAACCCTTTTGTGTTTATAAACAGACTGAAAAACATATAAAATTCGTTGTTGATTTATTATTTTTTTGATTTTTGGTCAATTTCAGCCACTTTTTTTGCTTATAAACAAAACACAAAATTTTAGGAAAAATGACTAAAATGACCAAAAACAAGAAACAATAAATCACCAGTAAATTAATGTTTTTTTCAGCTTTAGTTAATTCCAACCCCAACAATATATTATTCTTATCAACATCCTCACTTATGTTACAAATTGATTGTTGTAGTTTACCTTTACAACAACAAAATTTTTTTGGAAATTTACAAAATAGAAAAAAATAAATTTAAATTTTAGTAATTTATTAACGTGCATTTAATTTACATATTCTTTCCCGAATAGAAAATTAAATTTGTAAATATTTTTAATTTGCCTTAAATCATCCTCTACTATAGAATATTATTACTTTTAACAGGAAAATGAAAACTCAAGAGCATTCCGGAATAAAAGTTTTCAGGAAAAGGGTCCGCCTCAAAAGGTCAATTCTCAAGTTAGCCTCGAAAATATCAAAACTGTAGGCAAATAGAGATTTATAAATTAATTTAATTATAATTGAAGAAGTAGAGAATTTGAAAATTTTTAAATAAATTAAGAAACAATTTTTAATTTTATTTGTATAGTAAAAAAAATTTTTATTGCAAAACTTGTATATATTTAATGTTTTATTTAAAATTTTTCAATCAATCACAAATTCTTCCATAGAAATCTCTTGCCCAATGCATACAGTTAGCAGAAATCAAATTGTATTCCTCCCACATCCCGTCAAACACCTTTTTGATCTTGTTGTAAGGCATATGCGGATTAAATTCTCGCGATTTCCTATCTTTGGTATATAACAAGTAGCCGCCCCAGCGAATATACTTTCCAGACGTTGAAAGCTCACAGGTAAGAGCCATTGTACGACCACAATTGCGGCAATGAACAGCAAACAGAACCGCCTCGTGTGTAAACGCCTTCAATCCACCATCATCCACTGATGACAATCCGAGAGTGCAAATTGCCGCAATAGTTCTTGAAATAATATAAGTTAGGTTAAATTAGGGTTGTAGGCTATCGGTTAATCGAACCAGAAACCGTTTATAACCGAAACGGGGGTACTGGTTCAGTCGCCAGCATCCCTGGCTTTCCAGTTTTATTTTAAATTCTAATTAATTAAAATACCTAAAAGTGTCCCAAATGACAGGACCAAGCATACCACTCATATGATGAGTTGACCATTTAATTTTCAAAATCTCATAAAAGTCGTAGCTGCAAGACTAAAATTAAAATGAGAACAAATATTTAGGGTAATTTAATCCGGAAATTATTTATTGTAATTTTTATTCTACTTTGTTTGGCTATTAGGCATGGGGAGAGATCTAAGCTATAACCATATTTTTAGTAAACTTCGTTTTACGTATATCAGCAAGAGTGGGCGCACGAAACCAATTTCCTACTGTTAATTAGCTCTTATATTTAATTGACCTTTGACTTTACAAGAAAATTATGGGAAAATTTAGGTAGTTGAAATTTTTAATTTACAAAGCGGCTTACACAACAACCCGTAGGTGTCCATTTTGAACGATGATCAGTTGATGAATTAGATGATGATGACATTTTAAATTATTATATTTACTTTAAGATATATTTTATTAAATCTTAAAATTCTCTAAACATATACAAGAAAGTTGTGTTTTCAATAAGTATGTTTCGATATTAAACGAGATAAATATTTAATTTAATGTGATATGCGAGCAAGACAGCATCCCCCACACAATACTAACCAAATTTTAGAAAATTATTTTAAATAGGAGCTAAATAGGAGCTAAATAGGACTCATTGGAGCTTAACTCATTATTCTTTAAATCTACATACCGTAAGTGCTCGAATAATTGAATTACCTCTCTCAAATAATTACCCTCTTTAATAATTACCCCCTCCCTTTCCTTCTCTAATTTTAAAAATATTGAAAGAATCATTGTCAATTTTAATTATTGGAACATTGTAAAAATCAATATCAAAAAATAAATGGATTTTCTCCTCGATTTATTGGGATATACCCCAAATTTAGCCTATCCTCTCGATTAATTACCCCCTCCAGCGAGAGGTCAAAAAAATAATTACCCAGGGTAATTATTCGAGCATATACGGTAAATGACTTAGTAAAATATGTACATGCCAATATAACTGATTTGGAAGAGGAAGAGAACGTTTAAAGTGACATATTTTTCTTGAATATTATGATCAAAAGAAAGAATATTTTGAATTAATTAAAAATAAATTCAAATGAATTTAATGAAAAATTAATTGGAAAAATGATCTGCCATTAGTAATAGCTGTCCACGACATGTGGGATGAACAAAAAGAAATTGGCTATTTCAATTCTGTTACAGCCACGAAAAAAAGATAGGACAAAGGCTAGCAAATTTTAGATAATCAAAAAGAGATATCGAATAAAACTAATTTTACAGCCTTTCCTTCTATCTTTATTTTCTATGACTGTAGTTGAATTAACTTATTTAAAAATAAATTAAAAAATAATTTTTTAATTATGGGATTAGAAAAGTGAGAGCTTTTTGTTTATTAATCGCACAAAATTAATATCTTATTTCAATTTAAAAACTCGTTGTCAACAAATAAATTATAAAATTAAAGGCACAACATGTAAGAAATCCCACAGCATCAGAAACAAATTTTTTCGAATTTATTGTCTGTAATAAATTCGAAGGGGATCGGGGGACTTGGAGGGATATTGAGGGATTCCAAATGCTATCCATATTTCCTCTAAAATAAACCCTGTATTTAAGAGTAAGATTTTTTAAAGAATTATTTTAATTTTAATAGTGGAATAGGGACGGGGAATAACCATAAAGAAGCCCATATGAAAGCCCTATGAACGATGATCCGTTGAAGAATTAGATGATGTCGACATTTTAAATTTTATTTACAGTAGTTGCTCTAAAATAAATTCTGGAGTCAATTTTTAAATCAGAAAAATCTTCTCTAAACATAAAACTAAGGTTCTATCGCCTCCCATATGAATAGGATATTTAGTGACTAAACAAAAACAAAGTAATTTTAATATTTTACCAGTTTCTTTGAATAATTATTCGTTTTTAAAAAATAAAAAAGTTTTTCTCCAAATCACCCATAATTATTTTTCCATTAAAAATAAAGGGTTATAAAAATTTAAACAGATAACGTTAGTTGAGAAAGTAGGAAACTCAAGATTTTAAATAAACTGAAAAACAACTTTTAATTTTATTTGCATAGTTAATAAAAAAATTAATTGAAAAATAATGTATTTTATTTATTTTTAAGTAAATTTTAAATTCAAAATTAAATCAGAAATCTTTCAAGATTTATCAATAATTTTTCCATAGAAATCCTTTGCCCATTCGCAACCCTTATTACCATCATGACTTTGCCACATCCCGTCAAACACATCTTTGATCGTGTTGTAAGACAAACGCGGTTTAAATTCTTTCGAATTTTTGCATGTAGTAAAGTATTCATGGTAGCCCCAGAGCATTTTCTTTCCAGACTTTGTAAGCTCACAAGTAATATCCATATCACATTTACAATTACGGCAATAAGCACAAAGTAGAACCGCCTCCTGTGTATAATTCCTACCTCCAGCAGCAGCAGTGACAAAGGGTAACAGTCCACCTGTAGACATTGCCAGAATAGATCTTAATAATTTAAGTGTTGGCTTAAATAGTCAATCGGTTTAATTTTAAGCATTAAATATAAAAAATTTAATTGAAGCACCTTAAAACGGGGTCTGAATTAGGACGATGACCTATAGAATAAGTTTTCCATTCAATTTCAAAAATCTCATAAAAGTTGGCACTACAATCCTGTAAAATTAAATGAGAAAAATGTATCCAAATTTAATAATAATGGTAATAGTGTAGTTACCGGGCCCCTTTTTTCTCCTCTAGTTCTTTCCTATATATACAGAATGGACATTTTTCTTCTCTTCCCTCCCAATTGCCGTTCATATTTTGCCAACAACAATCAAAAAGGATCTTCGAGAAAGAGCTGAATAAGAAATTAATCCTTTTTGATTGTTTGTATCAAAAATATGGAAGGTAATTGGAAGGGAAAAAAAGAAAAAGTTGATCATTCTGTATGAATATATAAGTAAGAACTAGAGGAGAAAAAAGAAAAAAACTCCTTACACAAAATCTAGTATTTTTCCACCCATTATAACATTCTTCATCACAAATACTGTCATAGAAGTTGTCTGCCCATTGGAAACAATTACGATTAATCACATTGTACTTCTCCCACATCCCATCATATATCTTTTTGACAGTGTTGTAATTCAAACGCGGTTCAAGTTTTTTATATTCTCTGCGAGTAATGTAGTATCCATAATACCCCCATCGCATCATCTTTCTGGTCTTTGAAAGCTCACAAGTAAGATTCATGTCACAACCACACTTGCGGCAATGAACAAGTAGCCAAATTGCCTCGTGTGTATACGACTTTGTTATTGCTGCTGATCCTCCAAGTGTTACAGGTATCAGAGCAATTCTAAATAAAATTTAATTGGATGCAAATTATTAAGTATACTATAAATACTTTAGCTTAAAAGTAATGCGTGTGTCAGTTTAAAAATTAAAAAAATCTAATTGAAAACCTAATAATGTTCCAAGCGACACGACCAGCTATTCCCATAGAATGAGTTGTCCATTCAATTTCCAACACTTCATAAAACATGGCACTACAATCCTGTAAAAGTAAATGAGATTAAATCTGACAAATTTATCCAGAGGAATTTATTATTGAATAGAGAAATAAAATCAACCCCATTTTAATATATTCTTATATTTTAATTCAGAAGGATCAGATCTAACCGAGATAGTGGTATTATTCGATAGTGGTAGAAAGCTCGAAATGCTTAGGGAATAGGGGAGCGAACATTTAAAAACTACTTACACAATAGCCAGTATCATTCCAAACAGAATGGTGATCCGTTTCAGAAGAATTAGACATTTTAAATTATTATATTCACTGTATTTGCTCTAAAATAAATTCTAAAGCTCGTATAATTCATGAAAATTTGAGAGAAATTAAAAAAGAATCTATACTTATGCAAAAAAGTTCGTTTAATGTATACAGATGATACCATAAGAGATCTTCAGATATCGAATCGGAAAAGTTTGGAATATGAAATAGGATATAATAAATAAGGAATTTAGATGGCATAATAGGCGAGGCTTAATAACCTGTTTCATTTTAACATCGTTTTTAGAACCTCATTTTTAATATCTCCATGGGATTTACCTTATAACGAGAGGTACTTTAAATTTGAGACATCTTTTAAGAGACAAATTAAAAAAAACAAAGAGTATATTCTTAAAGTTTTCTAATTTTGGATGTATTAAAAATGATTTTTATTTATCTTTCCCAAAAATATATACCGTATATACTCTATTAATTACCTTGGATAATTATTGTTTCAACCGCTCTCTCTGGGGAGGGTAATTATTTGAGGTAGGGTAATTAACGGAGTATATACGGTAATTTTCGGTTATAAAATTAGTCGTGAACAGCCTTTAATTCTAATCTTAAATTTTGTAGCTTTCAAAAAATATTTCGGACAATAATTTTCTAAACTAAAAAGTATGAGAATTTAATAATAAAAATTTTTAGTTTTCTGAAGTGGTATGAAACGAATAAATAAAATTAAGTTTTACTAAAAAATCTCCTTCCTACATAGTAATCTCCTATTTTTTATTTATTAATAAACAAAAATATGTATTGTTAAAATAAGAAAAAGTTGTTAAAAACTGATAAAATCTTAATATATTCTTTTCTTTTAATTTAAGAATTTTGGCAATTTCTTTTTGTTTATTATTCGTCTTTAAAAAATAAAAAAAATTTTAACCCAAATCACGAATAATTATTATTTTTTGTATAAATTTTGTATAAAAATTTATTGTAAACAAAGGTTAACAAAAATGTAGACAGAAATATGTTTATTTTTTTTAATAAATTCAAAATAATTTTTTAAATTGTTCAAAACTAAGCAAATGAAAAATGGTAATAAATGATGTTAGTTGAGTAGAAAAATCAAAAAATTTTAAGCAAATTGAAAAAGAATTTTTAAATTTTATTTTTGCAAGCAAACCAAATTTTATTGAAAAATAATATTTTTAAATATAATTTTAAATAAAAAATTTTATTCCAAATATCTTTCAAGTCAATCCACAAATAATTCCATAAAACTCCTTTGCCCAATCGGCACAATTACGATTAATCAGGTTGTATTCTTCCCACATTCCAGCAAACACTATTTTAATCTTGTTGAAAGACAAACGCGATTTAGTAAATTCTCGTGATTTTTTTTGAGCAATATATTCCTTATAGTAGCCCCAGCGCATTTCTTTTCCAGACCAGGTAAGCTCACAGGTAAGAGTCATGTTACGACATCAATTACGACAATAGACAAAAGACTGAACAACTTCGTGTGTATAGTCCTTAAATCCGCCGTTGTGGCTGGTTGACATTCCGAATGATAAGATTGACGCAGCAGTTCTTAAGGATAATTTAAGTTTTATAAATAGTAGAGTTTTTCGGGGTTTCCAATTTATTGGGGGTTTAATCAGGAAAACAACTCGGGTAAGTTTAAAAAATCGAGATCGGGCCCGGCACGTGAGAAATTCGAATTCTTAATTAATCGTTTGGTGGTTTTAATTATGCAGAAAATTTAAATATAAAAAATCAATTTAAGCACCTAAAAACGTTCCAAGCAACATAACCAAACATCCCCATAGAATGAGTTGTCCATTCAATTTTCCAAGCCTCATAAAAGTGGTAGTTGCAACCCTGAAAAGTTTTATCAAAAAAATCCAGAATAATTTAATCCTTTATTGAACAGAAATTTTTAATTTCGATCGTATAATCAGTATTGGAAAGCCTATGTATGTACCTGATTGCTCTTAGCCCGTATAGAAAAATTTGGGGAAACAGGGTCCCTGACAATGTTTGGAAGCTCGTACCAAAATTCTTACTTATACCACCTGTGTACAATGTAACTTGCAAAAAATATGGCACACGATTCCAACCACTGTCCTAAAGGTTCCCAAGGTACAATGTAAAAATCCCGTCGTTAATTTTACTTTAAAAAAGCCTTACACAACGGCCAGTATCTATCCACTTTGAATGATGATCTGTTGAATATTTAGATGATGACATTTTAAATTATTATATTTAACGTATTTGCTCTAAAATAAATTCTAAGGGTTTTATTCAATTCTAAAAATCTCTAAATTAAAACACTAAAAACAAAGGCCTCGGTTGAGTCCTAATAGATTAATGAGATTATGAAAGCTTAAAGGGGATATCGAATGATTGGGAAAAGTAACCTTAATAAACAAAATTCCCCGACTCCTTCCAAATGCACCAATCTTTCTTAATTACTCCAAACCTTTCTATCTGACGATAATAAAATGACGATAATAAAATTTTCCCACATCAAATTTTTAATAAAAATTAAAAAAAAACGCTTTTTAAATGTTGTTGTAGAACCCAGCGACCGTTGACTCCCGCGAGGCACGTGCGCACAAGCGCCTCGCCGACGCCCATAGGTTTACTTTGCTTGATTTAGTGTTATTCTTGAATAAATCTTTTAATTCACTCCGACGCCTGCAATGCACCGCTCATAAAATTCTAGAGTTCAATTTTCCGTTTTTCTCACTTACATTAGAGCTTAAAATTCCGCTGGAGCTAATTTTTCGAAAAATCTTGGGCCCAATTTTCCGGCACACCATAAGAACGCCACTTTCCATCGAACACCTTTTCGGCCATAACGAAAGGCACAAACGGGAACTCAAAAAATTTTTACATAAATTTAGTGTCGATTTTGAATTTTATTTGGATAACTAATAAAAAATTTCATTGAAAAATATTGTATGTATTTTTAAATTTAAAATTTAGTCAAAAATCTTTCATGTCAGTTCAATAATTTTTCCATAAAAATCCTTTGCCCAATCACAACTACTATTACCATCATGACTTTGCCACATATCGTCAAACACATTTTTGATCGTAGTGTAAGACAAATTCTGTTCAATTTCTTTCGACTCTTTGCGTGTAATATAGTATCCATAGTAGCCCCACCACATTATCTTTCCAGATGTTGTAAGCTCACAAGTAATAGCCATGTTACGCTTACAATTACGGCAATGAACAAGAAGTCGAACCGCCTCCTGTGTATAATAATTAACTCCAGCATTAAAAACGGTTGACAATCCAAGTGTTAAGATAGCAGAAAAAGCTCTTAATATAAGTGTTGGTTTAAATAGTTAATCATGTGTCGGTTTAATTTTAAGTTATTTAATTGAAGCACCTAGAAACGTTCAAAATAGGACTACCAACATTTCCTGTAGAGTGAGTTGTCCACTCAATTTCATAAATCTTATAAAAATCGGCATCACAATCCTGAAAAATTACATGAGAAAAATAGTATATCCAGAGTAATTCCATCCTTTATTGAACAGGGGGAAATTCAACCTTCACTATAATTTACTCCTTTGGGAGTGAAAATTGTTTTGGCTACCTTATCGTCTGAAATTTTCTAAATTAGTACTGTACTGTTGGAATATACAAGGAAAAAGGGTTAAGTTTTCTTACACAATATCTAGTAGCTTTCCACTCATCATCAGATTCATCACAACAAATTCTTCCATAGAAATCGCTTGCCCAAATTGCACAATTACCATTAATCAAGTTGTAGGACTGCCACATCTCATCAAATACCTTTTTGATACATTTGTAAGACAAACGCGGTTCAAATTCTTGCGACTCTTTGCGTGTAATATAGTATCCATAGTGACCCCAGCGCATCATCTTTCTAGACTTGCCAAGCTCACAAGTAAGATTCATGTCACAATCACAATTCCGGCAATGAACAAGTAGCCAAACCGCCTCGTGTGTATACGACTTCAATCCACCATTAACGACAGTTGAAAGTCCAATTGTGGCGACTGCCGCAACAGTTCTTAATTATAAGGTAATGATTAAATAGTTAATCCCAGAAGGTTGAAACCCAAGAAGGCAAGACCCAGAAGTCAAGTTCTTATACGTCAAATTACCCGGGAGTTCAAATCCAAATATTTGGGCAGACTAAGGTGACTCAGTATCAAGAATACTTGCTTCCTATTTCCTTATCCGACAGCTGCACGAAAGAATTTTTATCTTATGTCCCTTAATCCTCCTTAATTACAACAAATCAATCTTAATTCGCACTAATCCACCGATATCCCCTCTAATACCAAAAATCTGAGTTAATCTCTACAATCCATTCTTTACCACCTAAATATTAGGGTAGTGTGATCCATCAATCTCATCTGTCGGTTTAATTTTAAACAGAAATTAAATCGAAGCACCTAAAAACGTTCCAAGTGACACGACCAGCTGCTCCCATAGAATGAGTTGTCCATTCAATTTCCGAAATTTCATAAAAGTCGGCACTGCAATCCTGTAAAATTAAATGAGGATAAAGCTGAAAAATACTTTCATTGTGATTTAAGGGTATTTGACTTATATGGGTTTTTTGGCTGGACCGATTTCGACAAATGGGGTTCATTCGTGTATCTCGGTCCCTGATTTTCGGATCGACTTCACTCGCCCCGCGATCGACTCAGCTCGGCGAGCTCTTTCGAATGACACCTCATTTGTCGAAATCGGTCCAGCCAAAAAAACCCTATAAGTCACAACTAGGGTTGTCGGTTCTGGACCGAACCGAACCGAACCGAACCGAAGAACCGATGATTTTTCGGTTCGGATATCGGTTCGGTTCCGGATATCCGAAAATTTTCGGTTCGGATATCGGTTCGGTTCCGGATATCCGAAAATTTTCGGTTCGGATATCGGTTCGGTTCCGGATATCCGAAAATCTTCGGTTCGGATATCGGTTCGGATCCGGATATCCGATAATTTCCTGTTGAAAAAGGAAGAAATCTGTCTCATGGTCCTCTAAAATACTCAAAATTTTCGCCTGCGGCGCTGAAAAAGGAAGAAATCTGTCATTTGGTCTTCCAAAATTCTCAAAATTTTCGCCTGCGGCGCTGAAAAAGGTAGAAATCTGTCCTTTGGACTTCCAAAATTCTCAAAATTTCCGCCTGCGGCGAAGTATGTGGTCAATTCAGAACCCCTTTTATCACCCGATATCAAATCTCTTATATCAAACAAATTCTTTTATACCCACCACTAATCCTCAATAACATCTTAACCTCGAAAAAATTTTCGGTTCGGTCCCGGATATCCGAAAATTTTCGGTTCGGTTTCGGATATCCGAAATTTTCGGTTCGGTTCTTCGGTTCGGTTCCGGATATCCGAAATTTTCGGTTCGGTTCTTCGGTTCGGTTTCGGATATCCGAAATTTTCGGTTCGGTTCTTCGGTTCGGTTCCGGATATCCGAAGATTTTCCAAGAACCGACAACCCTAGTCACAACATTCTGATTTAATCCTAAGTTGAACAGAAGTAAGATGAAGGCAACCTTAACTATAATGTACATCAGGGGCGAGTGCATTGCGTTTTGCGATATTTTTGAGGACATTAACGAAAACCTAGGATAAATTTTGGCTTGATTTTTTAATTTTTAAATTTAAAAACGCCTTACACAAAAGCCAGTATCTGTCCAAACAGAATGGTGATCTGTATCAGAAGAATTAGATGATGACATTTTAAATAAGTATAAGTATCTTATTTGCTCTAAAATAAATTCTAGGTTCCCAAAAGAAGCCCAAAATAGGTATGAATTTAACAAACTTGGAATACGATAATAAAATACAGTCTAAGCCAATTTTTAAATCCACTCTTAGATGGCTGATAAATATAAGGGGTATAAGGGGTATCCTTTAACGGTTTCGCATCCTAGTCAAACAAATACATACAAACTAAAGTACTATGTATATCTAATTTTGGGTGTATCTAAGAAAGAAAGTAGACTGAAACTCATTTTTATAAATCATTAGATCCGTTAACCTGAAAAGCAAAAAGAATTTAGAAAAATTCTTTTTTATCAATTTTAGAGTGACTTGGAATGAATAAGGTTTACTATATTTTATTTTTATATAACTTGTTCGACCCTTTAAAATATCTTCTTTTGATTATAAATTTTCTGATTTGTTTATAAACACAAATTATTATAACACTTTTTTGTTTAAACAGACTGAAAATTTTAACTTTTGATTTAGTTTATTTTGTGATTTTGGCCATTTTCTGACATTTTTTGGTTATAAACAAAACACAAAATTAAAAAAAGATGTCTGAAAAAAAACACAATAAATCGACAGTAAATAATTTTTATTATCGGTTTTTATCAATTCCAAATTCCAAATTTAAACTTTTTAACGTCTTCACTTATGTTCCCATATTTTATTTTTGCAACAAAATTCTTGCAACAAAAAAATTTTTTGGAAATTTACAGAATTAAGCTAAATAAATTTTGATTTTTAAAAAGTGCCATTTAATAAATGTATTTTTGCCTGAGGGGAAAAATGTAACTAATTTATAAATTAATTGAAAAAGGGAAACCCTGAAGAATTTTCAAGTAGAAGATTACCGTATTTCCTAAAATAAAGAGCCCCACCCTAAAATAGAACCCACACTTTGGAGGATAGTTGAAAAATAGAGCCCCATGGCTCTACTTCGATTATGATACCGATATTATAGAACGACTTAGAAATCCGGCCTCTAATTTTAAATACTTCTTTGGGATATAGAAAATTCATCTTTATAACAATTGGAGTTAATTTAATTAATTATCCAAATGAGGCTTACCATTTAGGGAACTCTCCCATCCTAAGACCACCCAAAAAAGGCACAACTAACAAAATTTTTTCGAATTTTATTTATATAAAATAAATAATTTTTATTGCAGAAATTGTATTCATTTAATTTAAACTTTAAAAAATCTTTCAAGTCAGTTCACAAATAATTCCATAGAACTCCCTTGCCCAATCGGCACAATTACGACTAAACAAATTGTATTTATTCCACATCCCATCAAACACCTTCATTATCATATTGTAAGACAACCGCGGGTTAAATTCTCGTGATTTCTTTTGAGTAACGTGTTTCTTATAGCAGCCCCACCGCATTTCCTTTCCCGACTTTGAAAGCTCACAAGTAAGAGACATATTACAACCACAATTACGACAATTAACAGAAATCCGAACTGCCTCGTGTGTATAATCCTTAAATCCCCCATTGTGTCTGGTTGATCTTCCGAATGACAAGAATGCTGCAGCAGATCTTAAGAATAATTTAAGCTGGTTAAAATTATGTTGTATTGTGGTGACACTACTATAAAAGCCACGCTAAGCGTCAGTCTAATTGGATTATACTCGCCCGGCTAGTCCCTGATCTCCTTCGTCTGTTCAACTCTATCCCTTCGTCTACACGTTGTTATTTCTCTTCAGATAAATTGTTATTCTATTGCACGTCGACTTTCGTACAACCCTCGGACATAACAATTAGGATTTATGACAGTCGGCTAACCGAACCTGAGTCGAATACCAGTGGTAACCGAAAACCTTAGGGTACTGGGTAATAACAGGAAATGTGTCTCTGCCCCTTCAATCTCGGTTTTATCAGCCTCGGAATTCTCGGTCTCGATTTTTTCAAAAAACCTCGACCTCGTGCAACTCTAGTTTAAATTAGGATTGTTGGCGGTCATTTAACTGAATCAAAATATAAACCGGTGATAAAACTAGAGGGCAGTCTAATTAGGTCAACAACAACCCTAGCTTAATAGTTAATTGTGTGTCGGTTTAATTTTAAATCTTAAATTCAAGAAAATTTAAGCACCTAAAAGCGTTCCAAGCGGCACGACCAGCATTTCCCATATCATGTGTTGTCCACTCAATTTTCCACACTTCATAAAAGTCGGCACTACAATCCTGTAAAATTGTTTTGATAAATTATCAAGAGTACCGTATTTTCTCGATTAATTCCCCACACCGCGATAGGTTGAAATATTAATTCCTCAGGGGAATTAATCGAGAAAGTACGGTAATTTAATCCATTATTCAACAGATTGATCTTGACTTTATAGGAAATTTTGGGGAAAATGGTAATAAATGGGACAATAATTTACAAAATAATGCATATTTTGTAAACGGATATGCCTTGAAGTCATCGTCAATTTTTAATTTAAAAACTCCTTACACAACGGTCAGTATATGTCCAATTTGAATGGTGATCCGTTGAAAAATTAGAGGATGAAGACATTTTAAATTATTATTAATCTACCTGCTTTAAAATTACATCAAAAAAAATTTTTTTGGAAATTTACAAAATAAATAGAGAAGGGATTTTTTTATTTAAAGTGCAATTTAATCAATATATTTATTTATGTATATGTTCTCGCCCGGTTGAAAATTAGTGTAAGTAAAAGGAGCTTTTATCTAGCGATCGACCAATTTTTGTCTGTCAGTCTTTATAGGGCGCCTATGTTATTGACCTCTCTCTCTCTCTTAATGCAAAAAACACGTAAAAATCTGCATATTTTGAAAATTATTATAAGTATTTACTTCACTGTATTTGTTCTAAAATAAAGTTTATTCCGTCCTGAAGACACTAAAACCAAAGAGAATGTATTCAATGTTTTTTTATCTGAAAAGTTGGAAGAAAAGAAAATTTTAAATATAAATTTAAAAAATTTTGAATTCTATTTGCATAATAAATTAAAAATTTTATTGGAAATACATATATTTATTTATTTTTAAATGAAATTTAAAATTCAATCAAAAAACTCTTTCACTTCAAATTACAAATTTTTCCATAAAAATCCTTTGCCCAATTAAAACAGTTCCTAAACATCAAATTGTATTTATCCCACATCTCATCGTATATTTCTCTAATTTTGTTGTAAGACAAACGCGGTTGAAATTCTTCAGAGCTTCTTCGATGAAGAAAATTTTCATAGTATCCCCAGCGAAATTTTTTGCCAGACTTTGAAAGCTCACAAGTAAGATGCATGTCACGACCACAATTGCGGCAACGAACAAATAAATGAATTGCCTCGTGAGTAAAATCCTTAAAACATCTCATTGTTGTTGCACCAAGCGCAGCTAATGGAGCTGTACCGGTAATGCAACCGGTAAAGAGTAAACTACACCTAAATAAATTTGATAATTTCAAATTTTGTATTCCGTCCCATTTTCTCATTAAGATGTACATAATGGTCAGATTTTCTCCCTTCCTCAATTCCTTTTTACTTTATTAGGTACAAATCGACCTACACATATTTTCTCAATCAATTCCCTATGCCATGGATAAGTTGAAAACAATTCCCCCCTAAATGCCCTATTTCCACCCCCCAAATTTCAAAACTCGAATAATTCCCATCCCGAAAATAATACCTCGTAAAAAGGGTTGAAATATTAATTGCCGGAGAATTAATCCAGCACATCTTAATAGTCAATCTTAATTAGCGATCGAACCGTACCGTACTACGGTCGTATTTTTCGGTATTTATCTGTATTCAGCATCAATAGTACGGCACGGAATAAGGTACGGCAAAATTTTGAAGTTAATCGGTATTTATCGGTATTATACGGTACTACGGTACGGAACAAAATTCCGATCTCTAATCTTAATGGCCATAATAATCATTCAAGTGTCAGTAATTACGTTTAATATTTAAATATAAGAAAATTTAATTAAAGCACCTAAAAGCATCCCACGCTGCACGAACAACTTTTCCCATACTATGTTCAGTCCATTCAAGTTTAAAAATTTCATAAAATTCTTCACTACAATCCTGTAAAATTAAATGAGATTATGTCTAAAAAATATATCCAAGGTGGCTTAATCCTTTAATAATTCAATCCTTTATTGAACAGATGGGAAATGAAGTCATCGGGGGGAGGGGGGGGGGATAAAATTTGGACCTAGATTTGTGAACTCGGTAAAATTCAATTTCGTTCCCCCCCTCTTTTCTATCTTCCTCAAAGTATTACAAAATGGTCAGTCAATCTTAAGTTATATAACTCGTAGATCTGTGTCGAATGACACCAAAATCGAAAAAATCGGACTTGATTTGACCGAAATACAGACCCCTAAAAATTGAACAACCATAGGGGGGATTTTTTTGACTAAAAAAATTTTATCCAAATGATAGCTCATTCGACTCAGCTCTTCGAGCTGAGTCGAATGACATCAAAATCAACGTAATCGAACAATATTTGACAAAGTTACAACATTGTTTAGACCTACCGGAGTCGATGATTTATGTCATATTTTTGTCAAATCAAGTCGGATCACGTCGATTTTAGTGTCATTCGACTCTGCTCGACGAGCTCTTTCGAATAGCTATCATTTGTATACTTTTTCGTCCTTTTGGTTTTTCGCCAATGTGGTTGTTCAATTTTTAGGGGTCTGTATTTCGGTCCGATCAAGTCCGATTTTTTCGATTTTGGTGTCATTCGACACAGCTCGACGAGTTCTATAACTTAAGATTGACTGACCATTTTGTAATACTTTGAGGAAGATAGAAAAGAGGGGGGAACGAAATTGAATTTTACCGTGAACTCTAACATACGGATATTTTCTAAATTTGTTTGGCTAATAGGATGGTCAGCTCCTAAATTAGTCTTAGGCAATCAAGCTTACACTGCATAATTAGTCTTGGACTTGCTTAGGAAAAACGGACAACAAAAAGGAATTTTTGTCCGTAAAGATTAATAAAAATCCAATCCTAATACATAATTCAATTTTTTTTAATTTAAGAAATGCATTACACAATAGCCAGTAGATGTCCAATTTGAATGGTGATCCGTTGAAAAATTAGATGATGAAGAACTAGATGATGACATTTTAAATTATTATATTTACTTGTATTTGCTCTAAAATAAATTCTGAAAATTTTAAAATTTTTAGAGTAATTTGGAATGAATGAAAATAAAAAACTTGACTATATTTATAATTCTCATAAAACAACGGAGGCAAAAAAAATTTAAAATTATTTACTTTAAAAAAATGACTTGTCTTTATTTAAATTTATTTTTTATTGGGCAACATTTTCATTCATTTACTTCCATTTTTCTTACAAAAATTAAAAATAATCCCCTTCTCTTAGTGAATATTGCCTAAATTGCAATAAGTAAAGGATAATTTACACTCAACATGACATTCTTTTTCGTGCCTTTTTATGAGACGATTATTAAAAAAAATTATTTTATTATCAACCTTTGTCAGTTCAAACATCAACAATATGGGTGAGGGCAAAACGAGGACTTTCAAAAGACAAATATTTTTAAAATTAAATATTTTTCACTATAAGGTCGGTGCAGAGGGGAATCGGAATTCCGAGTTCAAACTTTTGAGCCATTTCCGATTTCCGACAGTTCCGAGTTCCGGCACCTTTTATTTTCGATACACCTCTGCTTTTGGTGGAATACAAGGACATTTTTGTCCCTTAATGTTCTCTCTTCTTCATATTGGGTACTAGCGGATGCTGTTTTTTGCTATAAAAGCCCTCAATACTTAATCCAACTCAACATTTGTCGATATATCTTATAAGGATTTGGTGGATATGCCCGCAGCTAAATCGACACACACTGCTAATGACAGCACTGCAAGGACGGCTCGTTCAATTTCTGGTAGAGGTGCTGGAGCATCCACTGCTCGTAAAAGTGTAGGCCCAACTGTGAGTACCAACAGTACTATGAGCGGAAGACAGCCGACTTTCATCTTTGAGAAGTTTTTGGAGAAGCATTTGCGTTATACAAAGAAACGGGTAGAGGACCTTCTTCCTTTACAGCTCTAAAAAATCCCTTTTTTCAGATTGTTTATCATCCTAGCGAGATAACAACACTTTGTTTGGCTGCTGAGAATGCATTCAAAAAACATTACAAAGACGAGTCTTGCGTTGTAAAAATCAAGCGTTTACCGCTATACATTATTGGCGACATCCATGGGAATTGGCGTCAACTCTTGCGAATATTCAATGTGTTGGGGTTGCCTGGCGATAAGGCTTATCTGTTTCTTGGGGGTTAGCATTTTTGATGAGCTAGTGATCTGAGTCCGCCCCTGAAGACCTTCATGGGATCTGAAGGGATTAAAGGAGATAATGACGGATTTGACATTATAAGGGGATATTGGTGGATTTGGAGGGAGATCGCGAGGACCTGTGGATCGGGGCTTTAGGAGGGTATATGTCTTCAGGATGTAGGTCTTACAGGAAAAGAGAAAAGGGGCGGGGCTTATGGGGGGTAAACTGCACAAGTATCATGATCCTTAGCTATCTTTCCCTTAATGAATGTTTTTTCTTTAGACTATGTCGATCGTGGTCTACGCTCTCTAGAAGTTGCTTGTTTGCTGATTTGTTTGAAGATGAAGTACCCAAATAAGGCAAGATTATAGCTTTATTTTTACCCCATTCTCTTATTTTTCAGATCTTTCTGCTCCGCGGCAACCACGAAACAGGTAAATTTGTAGGATCAGTTTTAATGTAACCTTCTACTTAAAGACTACATCAATGCATATTATGGATTCCGAGAAGAGTTAAAAACTCGATTCAATTTGGGCGATGCCGATTCTGTGTATAAACACATCAATAGTTTGTTCAGATATTTTCCCCTGTGTGCGTTGGTTGTTGGTGAGGAAATTTAATTTTGAGAAGTCTAACTTCCTCTCATTTCTAGATAGCATATTGTGCATGCATGGAGGGATTTCGCCAAAATTGAATAAGCTCAGTGACCTTACAAAGGTAACTGAGACCTCACAAAGACTAAAAATGTTTCTTTTTCAGCTTAAACTTCCCAGGGACATCATTGCGCAACAGCGAGATACTTCGCTTCCCAAAAGTTTCTTCCCAGAGAATCATCCATTGGACTTGGATCTTCTCTGGTCTGACCCTAACGTGAGTTTGCTTTGCGGGGCAGTTCAACTGAGTCCCGGCCCTATAACTCAAGAAGCGGTGGATAGTTTTTATGTTGTTGGTACCAATAGAGAGCATTAAATGGACCGGTCCGGGACTCAGTTGAAGTGTACCTTTTGATTTGTAATTATCTTAAGCGTGTTGTCATTTAAGGGTGATGTAGATGGGTTTGAGTATAACGAAGCTCGACAAAGTTCCGTTTGGTTTGGTCCACAAGAGGTTTATTCGACTTGTGAGAAGCTCGGTATTAAACTCATTGTGCGCGCTCATCAGGCCTTTAATCGCGGTTTTGGGTTTTTTGCTGGAAAGAGGATGGTTACCTTGTTTGGGGCGACGGACTATGTTGTGAAGGTGAAATCTCTTATTTGGCCTTAATAGGCGTTGTGAAATTAATTTTTAGGGAAGTTTTGCCGGTATTCTCCATTTACAATTGGGCAATGTTCAAGACAAGAAAGGCAAACCGACTGAGAAAAAAGAAATTCAAGCAGGCATTATTATCTTCCGTCCTGCTACAAAGGAAACTAAGGGAAAGAAAAAGTTCATCGAGGAGTTTGAGAATTTCCCGGAAGCTGAGGAGGATGAGGAAACTCAACTTGAGATACTTGGAAAGGTAGAGATTTTTTGGATAAAACTTGTGGCATTTGAGATCCAGAATCTTTGGAGGTTTTGGCTTAGAAAAGGAAAGGAGTCGGACAGGGACTCAGGATTAAGTCGGATTTGTGGATGGGATCTTTCCCTTACGACTGCGTCTTCTGTGTTTTATCCTTCGGAGTTAATCCCTTTAGATCAGGAAGGGAAGGAGTCGGACAGAGACACATGATTAAGTCAAATTTGTGGATATTAAGGAGATGGGGTCTTTCCCTTCCGAATCTTGATCTTCTGAGTTTTGACCTTCAGGGTTGAATCCTTTTAGCTTAGCTTTTTAAAGGAAAAGAGTCATACAGACTCATGATTAAGTCGTCGGATTTGTGGCTATTTAAGGGATGGGGTCTTGACTGGGTCCTGACCTTCTGTGTTTTGACTTTCAGGGTTGATCTCTTTATTGTTAGTTTAAAAAGGAAAGGAGGCAGACAGGAATGGGGATAGACTGGCCTACTTCCTAGTAATTATAAGCCTTGCTTTCATTTTTAAATCTTAAAATCATTTCAATTTTTTCTCCTTTTAAGATGCCAACAGAGGAAGAAATAAGGGAGTCGATGCAAGACTGATTGTGTTAAGAATGAGAAGGATGTATTGAGGATTATAAATAGAGTTGTGATTTTTATGCAAATGCATATTTTTTTTGCAAACTTGGCATGATGTATAATGTACAAAAAACACTGTTTCCGCATGTTTTGAAAACTTTAGAGGGGGTTTCTATTTGCATATAATGCATATTTTTGCATATTTCAGACTTTGCTGCATAATGCATATTTTGCTGCATATTTTGAGGTTTTTGGGGAAAATATCGCAAAAATTGCCCAAAATCCTGCCAAAAAGTGAAAATTTTGAAAAAATTTGGGAAAAAATTTGTAAAATTTACAAATTTTGGAAAAAATTTTTTTTTTGTTTTTGAGCGAGACCCAAAAATGGCCCACACACATAATGTCCCACCCCAAAATGTCACACCGCCAAAAGGTCACACCGCCAAAAGGTCACACCGCCAAAACGCCGAACCTCAAATTGTCCAACAGAGTAAAAAATACTCAATTTGTCGACTATGCCTTTAAAATGGTAGTAATCTTAATAAAAAATTGTTGTTTGAATGTTTTTGACTAAAAAATGTAAAATTTCTAGGTAAAAATTGTATTTTTCTTGCATATTTGCATGCATATTTTGGTTTTGTTGCATATTTTTGTGCATATTTCGGTATTTTTTCGCGCATATTATAGTGCATATTTTGCATTTTTTAATGCATAAAATTCACAACTCTAATTATAAATATATAAATGATAAATCAGAATTTAGTCTTGTTATATAAATTTCTTCGAGAAAGTATCTGTAGCATTTTTTGAGATTTTCTTTACTCTTATAATATACTGTACCACTACATTTTCATATAAAATCTTTTGAGAAGACAAAATGACAGCCAGCATTTGTCTTGTGTCTTTAAATTTCTACCTAGTAAAGACGGTAATATTGAACCTGGCAGACCCTCTTTTTTCCTCCCCAAGTTTTCACCTATATTTTTACAGAATGGTCAGACTTTTTCCTTTCTCCCATACCAATTGCCTTTCTATATTTGCCAGAAATCAAACAAAAAGGATTATTTAATTTTATACAAGCGAAAGTATGTATATGCAAAAAAAGTAAGTGGAGTATTAATTTTGTTCTCAATTTATAAAAAAATGGAACAACTTTTGGCAATTGGGAAGGAATCAAGGAAAAACTGTTATGTTTTTGATTGATTGTAGGATTTGCAGAAAGGCAATTGGGGTGGGAGAAAGGAAAAAGTCTGACCATTCTGTAAAAATACAGGGGAAAACTTGGGGAGAAAAAAGGGGGTCTGTCAGGTTCAATATTACCGTAAAGACATAGCTTGGAGAACCAGAAGTTCCAGAAATGGCAATTACAGGCCTTAAATTTTAAAAAATTAAAAAATATCGAAAAGTAAAATAAATGATAAAGTTTTCTGAAAAATAAATAAAATATGAAGATTATAGAAAATAAATTATACATATTTATCCAAAAGAGTTATAAAACAAAAAAACTTTAAATTAGATAATTTTAACTTTTATTTGTATAAAAAACGACAAATTTTATTCTTCTTCTTCAGACATCATACGTCCCCTACAAGGCAAATTAGAAAATAAAATTGCCTTGCCCAATGAGAACAATTACGACCAATCAAGTTATAGTGTTGACACATCCTGTCGTACACCTTTTTCATCCTGTTGTAAGACAAATGCGGTTCAAGTTCTTGTGACTCTTTGCGAGTAATGTAGTATCTATAGTAGCCCCAACGCATTTTCTTTCCAGACGTTGAAAGCTCACAAGTAATATCCATTTTACGACCACAATTGCGGCAATGAACAATTAGCCAAACAGCCTCGTGTGTAAAGAACGCTCCCATATTATGAGTTTCCCAATAAATTCTACTAACTTCATAAAAATCGGCACTACAACTCTGTAAAATTAAATAAGAAAGTAAATAGAGTAATTTAATCTATCCAACATTTAATCGTTTTATCAAATAGAGAAAAGAAATAAGCCCAGATCTAATAATTCTATATCAGGGGTAGGCGCAAGGAAGAATTTTAAATAACGCAAAACGCAACACAACCCAAAATCAATGCAAGAACGTAAAAATTAGAGTTTCACCGGAAGTTCCGGTTCCGGTTCCGGAAAGTTCCGGTGTTTTTTTGGTTCCGGTTCCGGTTCCGGGAACCGGAACTCAAATTGGTTCCGGTTCCGGTTCCGGCTCCGGTTTACAAATCGGTTCCGGGCAAACCGGAACTTTTTTACACCCCTAAGGATTAGTTTTTTTAAGAAATATGGATTGGCCTTGCAATATTTTCCCCGATTGGCCTTCCAAAATTCTCAAAATTTTCGCCTGCGGCGCTTAAAAAGGAAGAATTTTGTATCCTTGGTTCACCTAAAATCCTAAAATTTTCGCCTGCGGTGCAATGAAGGGAAGTTGTATGGTAAATCGAAGGATTTGGATGGATGAAGGTGGATTTTGAGTTACATTATGTGAGTTCTAGGGGTTATAGGTAATATAGAGGGATTTGGGTGTGATGTCCATGGAATGAGCTGTGCAAGGTAGATATCAGGGATTGAATAGCTGGGGATTTGGTCTTCCAAAACTTGGATTTTTTTTCGTTTCGATTAACAGAAGAATTTGGCAGAATTTAATCGAAAAATTTGGCGAAACCGCACCCCTACTTAAAATAAAAATTTTTTAAAATGTGCTAGCAAAAAATTTTTTAAAAGTTCCGGTTCCGGTTCCGGTTCCGGGCCGGAACTTTGAAAAGTTCCGGTTCCGGTTCCGGGAACCGGAACTTAAATTGGATCCGGTTCCGGTTCCGGTCAAAATTTCGGTTCCGGTGAAACACTAGTAAAAATGTAAAAAAGAAAAATTTTCCGTTGTGACCCAATGTGATAGATTTTCAAGTCATAAAAAATCATTATTATTTGATTGAGAGTTCCCGTTTATTCAAATTAAATTGGGTAATGGGTACGCATAAAATAAATGTAAATTTTTAATTTTAAAACACCTACACAATAGCCAGTATATGTCCACTCTGAATGGTAGTCAGTTGAAGAATTAGACGACGATGAAGATGATGATGAAGATGCTCCCATTTTAAATTATTTTAAAGTATTTGCTCTAAAAATTCGAAACTTATTTTATTCAACCTAAAAATATTCCCTAAATATAAAAAATATAAAACAAAGATACTACTACTAAAAAATTACTTTCAAGAAACTAATTTTTTCCAAGAAAGTAATTTTTACGCTGCTAATTTTTGTGTTATTTTAGAATGTGAAAAAAATTGTGTTTTATTTAACAAAAAATCGCCCAAATTTATATTACTTGTTCTGACCTTTTAAAATTATACCGTCTCACAAAACAAGGGAGAGGAAATTTTTTTAATCCTTTTTAGTTGAAGAAAAGATTTTTAAATATACACATTTGAATTTTTTATCATCCATTTTTGAAAAATTTTTTTTGTTTAGACAACATTTTTTTTTATTTTTATTTAGGCAACAAAGCACTCCTCTAATACACAATTCAAAACATTCATTCTTTTGGCTTTTAAAAAATTTTGCCCTATTACATAAACTTTATTTTCTCTTCCAAAAATTAAATTGATCATTCTTCTAAAAAAGTAATTTTCTTAACTTAACGAATGTTGAAGGATACTTGATAGGATAATGCAAATTAAGGATAATTTTAACACAACATGACAATTTCTCTATTTTCTCTATTTTAATAAAAAAAATTTTTTAAATTTTCTAAACTTTCATTTCATTTAGTCAAATTTAAAAATAAATTAAAAATAAATTAAAAATAATTTTTAAAAAATTTATAAATTATGGGATTAGAAAAGTGAGATGTCTGTTAATCACAAAAAATAAATATATCCTTTCTTAATATCTCAACAATTTAAAAACTCGTTGTCAACAAATAAATTATAAAATTAAAGGCACAACAAGTAAGCAATTCCACCGCGTCAAAAACAAATTTTGGAGCAAAAACTTTGTAAAACATTAAATGTTTGTGATGAAGAAGAGAGGCTAGAACTGAGCCTAATACCTTTTTTTTAATTTAAAAAATTAATATTTTATTGGTACAGAATTTTTTTTATTAAATTTTGGATAGCCTTTTGGAATTTAAAAAAAAGTGGTCCTACACCTTTCGATTTTTATCAGCTATATGAGACATGAAAATATATCTCTATCGCTAAAATGTTCCCTTTACACTAAATACACCTTCACTCCAAGTCAAACACTACATGTTCAGTGTTCCCTTAGACATCGGAAAGATGCTAAAATCGGACTCGAAATTATTCGTTTCTCCAAACTAGTTTATTTCAATCTACTCCAATTCATAATACGAAATATGTAGTGTGAAGATTAAATGTTTGTAATGAAGAAGACATTCTGTAAAATCCATCTTTCATCCCATCTTCATTCACAACAATGTTACCTTCACCCTACATGTTTGTTCCCCTCGCCCCATAGGATGTCCTCTTCACACTACATATTCTGTGTTCCCTTCGCCCTACATAAATTTGGTACTTCAAAGAGAAACATTCATGAAATTTCTTCCCCCTCCAACGGAACTTTATTTTAATTTAAAAAAATCAAAAAACATGTTGCCTACTTTCATTGCCAAAAACAAAATTAAATAAAAAGGGGCCGTTTCCTCTTCTTTCATATGTGCCATTAAAGAAGCTAATAATTGTCCAAAAAACATTGCAGTCAAAATAAAAGAAGCAGGAACCCATTTAAAAGCAAAATTTCCAGGTAAAACAACAAAAGCTGCACGCCAAGGAATTGAATTTAAAGTTCTTTGATTTCCTGTTGCATAAAAACAATAAGCAGCCAATAAACTCATTAACCAACACCAATTTTTGATGTCTTTGAAAAATGAATTTTTAGAAAAAAAATTTTTTTGTTAGGATTAAAAATATTTAAAAAGCCAAATTTAAATTTAAAAAATAATCCCAAAACAATCCGCAACTGTGGACGGCCAAGGGCCAATTAACCCAGGGGTTATTATGGTGCAAGCCACCATAATAATGGTGCAAGCCAATTAGATATAAGTTCTAAGATGTAAGCTTGGTAATTTCCGTCACTTACAACAATTTTGTTCAAAATCTATCATTCCCCTCAATCATTTATCTTTTTTATTCATTAAATGCTATTGATGCTATTAAATGCTATTGCGTTTTTCTCCGCAAAAATAAAAATATTGTTCGCAAAAAGTCCATAGGGATAACGGAAATGTGCCGCTTTAAATTGGAGAGAAATTCCAAAATTATTAGTCGGGTTAAAAGATTATACTCGAAATCCCTTGTCCAATAAAATTTGTAAAAAATTATTTATTATTCGCTCTCTTAAAATTTAAGAACAAAATTTTTAATGGAAACCCTGTATATATTTTTCAATGTTTTTAAAAATAATTCCAATAATTCCTATTCACTCACCGTTTTGAAAGAAAAAGTCTGCCACCGGAAATAAAAATAAACAAAAAGCTGTTCTCCATCCATATTCAGCTCCAATCAACATAATTAAAGGTAAACTAATCATTTGATATATTGATTTTAACCAATTAATTTTATTTAAATTTTCATCTCCAAATAATTTTATGGCAAAAAAGTGAACTAGAGTAACAGAAAAAATTGATTTGGCTAATAATTGACTGAGATTCTCAAATAAATTAATTGTATTATGGACAGATTGAGAAGTTGAAGGCTATAAAGAATTTAATATTAAATTGATATTAGACATGTTTTTTAATTTGGAAAAAAAATTTTTTGGCCATTCCCTTCCGTTCCCATTAGTGTTTCGTTCACACTACATGTTCGTTTCAAATAAGATCCCTTTTCATATTCCTTACAAATCAAGGAGCATGCCGACATAAAAATTAAATTTTCGATTTTCGGGTAAAGGGACTGGGTAGTTCTCCAGTTTACGTGTCAAATTTTTTCTCTATACTATTATTTACCAGTAGCACGCTAGAATTCTTCGCCAGAATTCAGAATTCTGCTCGCACAAAAATACTCTGCCCCTTTCACACTAGAAAACAGAAAGACAAAGGAGAGCCGTACGAAAATCATGATCACAAAAAAATACCAATCTCGATAACCTAGATTTTTGATCGAGATCTTGTCTCAGTCGATCTCTACTTTACATTAATATATGATGTTAACCATTATCGATTTTCTATCTGCCCCCCTTCACCCCAAATATCCATTAAATTCTTTTACCTTTCCCTTCATTGTCATAACCATAGATTCAAAAATCCAATGTAAATAAAGAAGAATAAGTAATGGCCAAACAAAAAATCTAGTTATTTTTAATGCTTTCCATCTATCTTCCAATAAAAAGAATGTTGAAACAAAACTTGCTAAAATACTCCAAGGAAGTAATTGTTCTGATGTAAATATAAAAGTGTAGCATAAAACCTTGAAAAATTTTAATTTAGATAAAGATCAGAATTTTTCAGAATTTTCCAGAAAAAATCAGAATCTTATAATGAGAATTTTTCAGAATTATTAGAAAAAATCAGAATTTTCTGACGAGAATTTTTCAGAATTTTCAGCAAAAATCAGAATTTTCTGTCAGAATTTTCAGAAAACAGAATTCTTTTGATCAGAAAATTCTTCAGAAAAAATCAGAATCTTCTAATGAGAATTCTTAGAAAAATCAGAATTTTTTTCAGAATTCATAAAAACTAGATCAAAATTTCTAAGCAGAATTTCTGGAAATAATCAGAATTTTGTATATCAGAATTTTTCAAGAAACCCGGATTTTTTGTCGGAATATGTTCAGAAAAAATCAGAATTTTTCTGTTCAGAATTTAAAAAATAAATTTTTCTATTAAATTCCAACCTGCTCTTCTCTGCAACTTTCAAATTGTTTTAGAATCAACAACGATGGAAAAACAACAATTATATGAAAAATAAACATTTTGAAGTTGAATGAAAGTCTGTAGATTGAGAATTCTCTGAAAAATTAAAAAAGATAATTTAATTTTCAATTTTAGTAAAGTCCCAAATAAACACGGTAATAAATATCTCAATAAATTGATTTCTATGGAATCCATCTACTTAATATGACACCCAAATCAGAATTATTTTAATAAGAATTTTTTCTTAATTTTCCAAAGAATTTTAAGTAAAATTTTGGTCAGAAGGAATGAGACAATCATCCATACATCGGATCAGCCCAATCCCGGAGACGACGTACCAACGGGATCTCTCGGGGAATTAAAAAAATTTTGATAATGAAATCCTATATCGACTACAAAAAAAGGAAAAATTCTTACAAAAAATTCTAATTTTGTCAATATATCCTTAATTCGAAAAACTCGGAAACAAAAATATTTTCCCTTAAAATAGGAGTAAAGTTATTGACTTTCGCAGAAAAATGAGAATAAATTGTCAAGAATTTTTCCAATTTTCTCAATAAAATATTTTTCAAAAAATTCTTTAAATTAACCTGTGAATATTTAATTGTTTAATTAAAGCAATTAAAATTAAAGACTGAATAGAAAATCGTAAAACATCAGATTCATAAATAATAAAACTGTTTGAAAATGCAAGAAAACCCAAAATTAGTTGTCCAAAAAATTGAAAATTTGAAAATAAAAAAGAAATAAAATATTTAAATTTAATTTTGATTGAAGATCCAAATAAAAATACGAGTAGAAAATAACATAGAGACACAAATAAACTTGTAGTTGTATATATTAATTGGTCATTACCGGGTTTTTCTGCAAAAATTAGACTGAGCTGAAAAAGAAAATGTTGGAAAAAAAATTAGAATTAAAAATTTTTTAAAATCGAGTTAAAATTTAAAAAAAAAAAGTCATGAAATTTTTATACTACTATTCGCTATCTATCTCAAGTCAGGAGATTTTGATATAATAAAATTTTGTTTTATTCTAAATATTACTTTTAGATAGCCCTCATTTTAGACACGATTTCTAAAATTTATCGGAGGAAGGAGTCATCGGGGGAAGGAGGATAGAACTACCCAAAAGTTAATCTAAATTCTAAATGGCATCGCTTTTAAAACAAAGGGTATTTAAAAACGAAGCACCAGATGCTGAAACAACGAGGCACCAACCCTACCCACCCCCTGGCTAAAGGTCTGCTCGAGATCTTTTGTATTCCCCACAGAGCTGGGTCGAAAATAAGAAATTAAAAATCAGTCTACTTCTCACTTTGTAATTTAAAAAAAAAATAAAAGTAAAAAAATTCTCTTTAAAAACCTGTAATAAAAGCATTGCAGAACGAAAAATCCAAAGAAAAAAAGGCGTTGTATTTTTTGCATTGAAAATTAAAAAACAATTAAAGGCTAAAGAATCCACCAAAGAAAAAATCCCAACAAGGCACAATTCAAAATAAAATTGGTCTAATGAAGAACGAATTAAATTGCTCAAATTTTTTATTGTTTGAGTCAAGTCGTCTGTATTGGTTGTACTTTCATATAGACGAGAAATTTTTGATAGATCATCCTGAAAATTGTTTTTTGAAATTATTTTATTAAATGAGGAATAAGTGAAAGAGAATTTCGAGGAAAACTGAAGAAAAAAATTTTTGATTCCAGAAAATTAAAAAAATAAAATAATCCATGAACTTTAAATGTTTCACGTCTTTTAGGTAAGTATAGGCGTAGGGACGAAATTAAAATCATCGTTAAAGAAATTAAAAAATAAGAGAAATAAAGTGAAATAAATTTAGAACCCTTGATAATTTTGAGAGAATAAGGGGTTCCTGGCATTCAAGTGTAGACTAGTGACGTTCGGGTATTTTAATTCGACTAACAAATCGGGAAATTTTCCCGAAAATCAGGAAATTTTCCCAAGTTTTGGCTTCCCAATCTGAAAGTTATTTCCCGACCCGACTCCCGTTTCACGGATTTTTTCTTCACCCGAACATCATTAGTATACATTGTCCAAACTAAAAAAATGATATTAAGTATAGAAATTTTTAGAAAAAAGTTCATCTTGAAACATAAAAAAATTTTCCCAGATTTTGGATAATTTTCTTAAAGTTTTCTTAATTATAAAAAAATACCCTCAAATCAATTTGATGTTTGGCATATTCACGTGCATATCGAAACATTTGAAAAGCATTTAACTTCAGTTGTTGAAATAAATTAGAAGAATCATTCCCAAAAATAGGTTTAATTATTTGGCCAATATTTGGATATGGAATTGGTAAATCAAGAAGTAAGGACAATGTTGGGACTAAATCTACCTTTAAAAAAATATTTAAAAAATATTTAAAAATTTTTTTAAAAATATTTTCCAAATTAATTTTTAAAAATTTTTTATTGGAAACTAAAGCCTTTTCCCTCTAAAAGGAAAAAATAATTAAAATATTTTTTGGTGTAGTGGGAAAGCTTTCAGTTTATTACAGGAAATGGGGAAGGTTCGATACCAATCGAAGGAAAATAAAATTAAAATGCAAAATATTGATCAAATCTTAAAGAATGGGTAATTCCCTGCTTTGTAAAAATATAAATAATTTTTTTGGCTAATTTTAAATGTGATAAAATAATTTTTTAATAAAATCTAGTCGAAAATCAAAGCCTTGGAAAATTTTTTAAATTCAATTTTAGGCTGAAAATAATTCTAGAAAATTATTATAAAAAGAAATTGAATTTTTTTAGAATTTATAACCAACAGCCAAACCTTTTAAATAAATTTAAAATCAAAAATAAAAACCTGAGAAACCGAGTCAACTCCACACCAAAATTTGCCAGAACAGTCAAATTCAGCAGAGAACGGTTTAGCTGATTCATTTCCATTTGGACGAGTATATGCAAACAAAGCAGTACTTAATTCATTTAAACTATCCCCTCCGTGATCTCCAGTTGAAGTCATTCCGTGGTCACCAAATACAAATAAAATGGTTTCTTCGTCCATTTTTTGAGTCAATTCCTCTACCAATTTGTCCATTTGTAACAATTTTCTGCTCATTTCTGCATGTGCCTGTCCATAACGATGACCGGCGTGATCAACGCCTAGACAATGGGCAATTATTAAGGACCAATCAGAACGGTCAATTTCGTCGAAAATGCTGGCTAAAAAATTTTTAAAAATTTTTTTGAGAGAAATTTTAATAAAAATAAATTTTTAAAAGTCAAAAATGGGATCAGAAATAATTTGAAAAATTAAATTATGACGAAAGGAATCGAACCTTTAACAAAAAATAACCATATTCTAACCGTTTTCAATAAAAATTATTAAAAACGAGGCATCCTCGAATTTATAAAAATTTAATTAAATACCAATAACTGCATCGTCAACAGTATCCAAATCCATAATGTCGAAGCTTGGCTTTTCAAAATGTCTATGAAAACGGTCTGGTAAAAGCTGCAACCTTTAAAAATAAGAAAATAGATTAGAAGGATGAATTTTGAGTTTTAGGAAAAATTTTAAGTAACGAAAGTTTAACGACTTGTCAATGAGAGAAGGAACCAAGGATTAAGGATACAAATATAGATTTATGTTAGTCAATCATTTTAATTTTTTTGGGTTTGTGCACCTTTCGGTAATTAAAATGTCTTCTAAAATTTTTTCCTAAAATTAGACTTAAGGTTAAAAATCTGGGAAAAAAAATTTTTTGAACGTAACAAGAAAGTTTGAATTTATTTTCGAGAAAAGAAGCTCTTAAACTTTCGTTACAAAAAATTAAATAAATTTAAAATAAAAACCAAGTTTCATCCCCCAAAAGTGTAGCATTCTTCCCGCTAGCCAATAATTGATCCAAAATATTGTCTTCAGAAATTTTAGTTCCATCAAAATTGTCTCCAGCCTCAATAAATGCAGGCACACTTCCAGTAACCAAAGCCTTAATTCTTTGAAATGTTGTTGTTGGGGCGTCCGAAATAAAGGGAAACAAAAGAGCATTTCCAGGTTGTTCACGAAGAAGTCTGGCAATTTTTGGCTATATTAAGAAAAAATTTTAAAATTAAAAAATGACTAAAATATATGCATTTCCTAACCGAAAATAGATATATTAAAAAAAAATTTAAAATGTGAATTCTAAAAATTCCCTTAATTGACGTTAAAACAAAGCAAAAAGGAGGGGAAATTCATAAAATAATTTTTAGAAAAAAGTTCGATTGAAAATTAAAGTAAAATAATTTTTGATCTCACAATCAGTGGTATTTGAATCTGCGGATTCGCACTTGCGGACGAATAAAAGGGACCGCAAGTATTGGTCCCCAATCCACTAGAGATCGGAATTTTTGAAGAGACTGGACCTGTTTCTGCATTCCGGATTTGATTTATTGACCTGGGACGGATCCTGGGCCCCAGGAAAAATCCAGGAAGGTCAAAAAATGCCAAACCTGAACTCTGGGCACAGGAAAACCCCCGGCCCTGGTCCAGACCCAGGCCGATCTCTACAATCCACTTCAGCACATAAAACTATACTTTAAAAAAATATTTAAAAAGAAAACCATTTGTCCATGATAATATTTTTCATCTCCTTTTAATTGTTGTTTTCCCATACAATTTTCATAAGGAAAAATAAAATCAAATCGAAGAGCGTCAATAATTAAAAAAATACTTTTGTTATATTTTGGTTTAATCCAACAATTTTCTTCACTAACAATGTCTGAACAAGAACTTTTTAATGGAAGAACATGTCGTTTTACAAGAAGTCCTTTTTGAAAAATAAATAATGAAAGTGTGTAGCTTAATGAAAGGGCAATAAATCTTAACATTGTTGAACGAGAAGAAGCCCATGATGAAAATATGTTCATAAAGGTGCCTAAATTTCGAAAAAAATTAAAAAATGTTTTAATTAAAAAAATTACAAGAAAAATTTTTAAAAAACTTGCCTTTTGAGAAATTGCTAAAAAATTTCTTTGGCAAAACGTTTTTTTCATTCTGAATAGTTACAAAATGTCAACACGACAAAATGCTAGGAAGTGAAAAAGTAACTGAAATGCCTTGAACTTTATAGAGGAATTGATTTTTTGTTTTTAATTTTCTTGTTTATATTTTTTCAGAGAATTAATTTATTGTAAAACTTAAATGGCCGCCCAGTATGTTGAAGTCTGTGACCCAAATGGTGAACCTTTGCGAGTTAATCTTTCCAATGGAGCTTTGTTGATCTCCTCTATTGATGATGCTTTTCGTGGTGTTTTTGGTTTGAAGTATAAAGATAAGAGTACTGGCGCTAAGTACGCTGTTCAGTATGTTTATCCAATTCTATATATATATTTGCCACTTTATTTAGAACTGATCCAATCAATCAAGTTTTTTTGGCACCTCCAGGCGGATGGGGAAACAAAACTTTTGAACTTGTGCCTTTACCTAACCGTTCTGCTAGTGTCACTCCTGGTTAGTTTTTTTTAAATGTACTGAGGGTTTTCCGTCATTTTTGACAAATTTTTAGGATACTCCCTGCAATAATCCTTTTCTTGACTGTTTATTTTTCGGTTAAGCTAACTATAAACTGATTTTTGTGAATTGGGGGTCGCTATAGTATAGGTCCACCGAGATAGGAACTCATAGTATATACCATTCGATTCGTCTCACCGAGCTGAGTTCAAATATGCAAGAATTTTCTGCGGGACGCGAAAACCCGCAGAGATACAGGCGATTGAAAATCGAAAAACCATAGGGGGGAGTAAGCTCAATTTTGGGATAAAAAATTCGAATATGCAAATGATAGCTCATTCGAAAGAGCTCCTCGAGCTGAGTCGAATGACACCAAAATCACCGTGATTGAACAAGATTAGACAAAGTTATGACACAAAAAACAAAAAACTCTAAACCTATGGGTCGTCGGCGAGGCGCTTGTGCAAAACCCCGCGCTTCGCGCGGGGTTTTGCGGCACGCGCCTCGCGGGGAGTCTACGGGCGCTGGGTCTGGGCTCGTAACATAAACCTATTCCTATCTCCCTTGCTCTGGACGTATTTGGGGCCTCCGTAGCAGCAAAAATCTCCACAAATGCCATAGGTAAGGAGCTAAAATAAAAGATCATAACTTTTTCCACTCATGTCTGATTTCGTTGATTTTGGTGTCATTCGACTCAGCTCGAGGAGCTCTTTCGAATGAGCTATCATTTGCATATTCGAATTTTTCACCCCAAAAAAGTGCTTGGTCCCCCCTATGGTTTTTCAATTTTCGGGGGCCTGTATCTCAGCGAGTTTTCGTCTCCCGCAGAAAATTCTTGCATATTTGAACTCAGCTCGGCGAGACGAATCGAATGGTATATACTATGAGTTCCGATCTCGGTGGACCTATACTATAGTACAGCCGTGAATTGCAAAATTAGTTCCTTGGTTCTTTTTAAATATTTTTTGATTTTTCGTGCATATTTTGCTAGCTAGACTCTATTAATAACTTTTTTAAAATGGTTTAACCTTTTCGGCTTTTATAAATTATTAGTATTCTCGCATTTATATAAGTTTATTTTTTAGATCGACCTGCCTCTCCTTGGTTGCATGTTCAACGTATGTTTTTAGTTTATTTTCTTTTTTAATTTTTTTATCTTTTTTTAAATGATTTTTAAAATAATTAGGAGAGCTTCCTCTTATTGATTCAGTTAGCGAATTTTGCTTTTACCTGAAGAAAGAAGTTAGTTCCGATAAAGAAAATGAACCTAAAAAGGAAGTAAAAACTTGCGTCACACGCATCAACAAAAGATATTTTGCAACTTTTTACCATGACTTGCATAAAGATTTTGAAGAAGGGAATGTTGTTGAAATATTTTCCAATGATGACAAGGCTTTTAAAGCAACGTGCAAATTTAAAAATACTTTATGGGACTTTATATTATTTAAATCTAATGAAGATGTTAAAGGCGATGGCCCTCATATTTTTGATGTTTTTTATCCTGGGGAACGTATTATTTTATATGGTCGTGCAACAGATGATGGAAGACTAGCTCCACAAGAAGGAATTATAAATTCATTAGAAGGATATTGGGGTTTGAATTAGTTCTACATTAATTAAATTTATTTTTTAATTATTTAGACGGAAAAAAGCATGCAACTTTTTTGATGGGAACAATCAAAACTAATCGTGGTGATAGTGGAGGAGGAGTCTTCAATCACAGTGGATTGTTGGGCATAAGTGTTGGAAATACACCGTTTGAAGATTTTCCGTATAGCCAAGCTGCTAGGGAGGCTGCCGAATTTAATTCCAGAAACTATATTATTTCTGCAAAGGATTTGGCTGCGGCTGCTGAGGTAAAATTTTTAAGATTCTAATTTAAATTTGGGTTGATGGCAATCGGTCCTAAAAAGGATATTTTCCCGGTTTAGCTAAAATGGATTAATTCGTTGGTTAACCGAAACTTGGGGTATCTGTTAACTTGTCGCCGTAAAAATTTTTAAAAAATAGTTTAAAATTTTTTTCCAATAAATTTTCTTATTTTTCATCCATTAAAAATTTTTAGCAAGTTGAGGGAACAAGAAAGAAAGAAGTACATCAACCTAGACCCGGACCTCCTCCAATTGTTAGAGCATGTATGGGTCTACCAAAGAAGAGGGGAAGGCCTGATGACGATACTGAAGAATATTGATTTTTAAATTCTTGATTTATGATTTCAAAATATTTTTTCATCTAATGGAGAGCTTTTTTTATTGTCTATATCTTCGATTTTAAAATTGACTGCCTATTTTGAAAATTTATTGTTTATTAAAATATTTAGTTTATTATTTTTTATTTAGCTGATTGTTAGAGTTTTGATGCTCGATTTTATCTATAATTGGTTATTCTCATTTTTTCAGATTTTTTTTTGATCATATGCTTAATTAAGAAATGGTTCGCGTTATAATCAAAGGTGGTGTTTGGAAGAATACTGAGGTTATTTTGAAAATCTTTTTGAATTATCTATAAAAAATATTTTTAGGATGAAATTCTTAAAGCGGCTATTATGAAATATGGCAAAAATCAATGGAGCCGAATTGCCTCTTTGCTTCATCGAAAATCCGCAAAACAGTGCAAAGCTAGGTGGTATGAATGGCTTGATCCACGAATTAAAAAGACGGAATGGTCTAGAGAAGAGGACGAAAAACTTCTCCATTTGGCCAAAATTATGCCTACTCAATGGCGTACAATTGCTCCAATTGTTGGAAGAACTGCTGCACAGTGTTTAGAAAGGTTTCTTTTGTATTTAAGGTATTTTTATTTTTTTAAAGATATGAATATCTTCTTGACGAAGCCCAACGTCGTGCTGAAGGTATTGAAGAGGAGGATTCATTAAAAGAGGCCAAGAAGTTAAAGCCTGGTGATGTCGATCCTACACCAGAAACTAAGCCGGCTAGGCCTGATCCTATTGATATGGATGAAGATGGTAATGAATTTTGGTTTTATTTTGTTATTTTTCTAAATGTCTCCTTATCTAAATTTCCGGACATTTATTTGGATCTGATTTTAAGTTCTGATTTTCTAACTTGTGCCCCCTTTCCACAATACCTCAATACTTTTTGTTTATACCAGGAAATTCGTTTTTAAGGCAGGGTCTGCCCGCCGAAATTTTCTTCTTTTTTAACACCAACTTTCATTTAATTTTTCAGAATTGGAAATGTTATCAGAAGCACGAGCTCGTCTAGCCAACACACAAGGAAAGAAAGCAAAGCGCAAAGCTCGTGAAAAGCAATTAGGAGAGGCTCGAAGACTTGCTTCTCTGCAAAAACGAAGGGAACTTCGAGCCGCTGGAATAATTATTGGATCTGGTTGGGCTTATAAAATGAAGAAGCATCGTCTAATGGATTATAATAATGAAATACCCTTTGAAAAACAAGTCCCATCAGGGTTTCATGATCCAAGTGAAGATAAATTTGATAAGGCACAAAAAACGATGGTTGAAGAGAAGAGACGAGATTGGCAGGAAAGGGATGATAGGAAGGCGGACAAGGATAAGCTGAAGAAAAGAAAGTTTGTTATTTTATATTTAAATCTTAAAGATAATTAATGCAAAATTTTTGCTGACTTTTTTTTCAATTTTCCTTATGGGATAAAATGTCTCTTTAGTTTTGCTTTTACATCCGGTAAGGCAAAAGAAAATAGGGTTATTCGGTTTTAATATATTTTTTTAAAATTTTTAGCCTAAAGTTAATATTTTCCTTTTCTAGAAACGAAGACTTGCCCGAATCCATATTTGGTGAAAAACATGAAAAGAAGCGAAGCAAACTCATTTTACCAGAACCACAAATTTCTGATAAAGAATTGGAAGATATAATAAAAATTGGACATGTATCTGATTCTGTTAGAGAATTAGTTGATGATAATCCTTCTAGGTTTTTTTGAAAATTATTTTTTTTAATATTAAAAATTATTTTTAAAGTACTCTTCTGCATGATTATAACGAATCTGCAAGAATGAACGCATTTTCGGCTAGGACACAAAGAGCTGCTGTTGGTGATGTTGATACTGTTGCTAGGGTATTTTTTTTATTAAAAATATTTTTTTTGAAAAACGAATTCGAGAATTCGGAACTTTAGTAGCCTAATTTTTCATTTTCACCTATTTTCTCTTGGTTTCTGGCAATTAGATCAATCAAGAGGCTCGGGGTTGAAAAGCTTCAGGGAAACGGTCCTATACCATAAAGTTGGAGGCATATCAGTTATTCTAATAAGGCAACTACCCAAAATTAATCCTTGGTTGTTTGTTTGGCAATGGTAAAACAAGAGAAAATTTGCTATAAAGCCGCTGAAGTCCTCAAAATCTCTTTATAATTTCACTTTTTAGGCAGCAGATGATTTATTAGCTCTTATAAACGTAGAAACACCACTTAAAGGAGGTCTCAACACTCCTCTTCATAATCACGACTTTAGCGCTCCGGGAAGTCAACGTCAACCAATTTCTACACCAAACACTGTTCTTTCTGCAATGGCAGCAACTCCAAAGAATGTTGGGGTTGGACGTTAGTTTTTTTTAATTTTTAACTCGTACTTTTGATATCCCTCCTATTTTTAAGAAACTCCTGGTTCTCAACGAACATTAGCTGCTTCAACACCTGGCGGCGCTTCTACAACAACAATAGAAATGAATACACCATTTAGAGACCAATTAAATATAAACCCAATTTCTGATGAAACTAGACCTTCTAAAGAAGAATTACAACAACAATTCTATCAATTACCTAAACCTAAAAATGATTTTGAATTGACTGAAGTTGGGGATGAAGATGATGATTTTGGTGGAGAGGGTGGATTGAGAGAGGTTTTTTTAAAGTCTAATAAAGTTGGGAGAGTTAGCAATTCTATAGGTATTGAAGATTTATTAAAATCATGTTTTTGGTTCAACAAAAAATAAATTATGGTGAGGGAGACTTGCAATATTTTTTGTGGGTCTCATTTTCTGTGATCCTTAAAAATCTTGTTGATTTTTCCTTAATTTTTTTGAGGATATTTCTAAAATCGTTTTTAGACTTATTACAGTGGTGGCCATAAGTATTGCAACACCATTGTTTCATTCTTTTGTCGCAAGGTAACTTTTTTTAAAAACACTTATTTAAAGTAATTTTATCTTATTCTGATCTATTTTTTATGCGCTTTAATATAAAAAATAAATCAATCCAATATCATTTAAATTTTTTTAGATATTGGCCTTTTAACCAATATGCCTCTAATTTTTGGTGGACAAAAGTATTGCAACACTTTTTTGGAAAAAAATATAAAATCAATTCTTCGGTAAAAAATTTTATAAAAATTTTTATAAGCATTTCCATTGATACTAAGTAGAAAATTAAAAAGAACGAAGTCCGTAACTTATTTCTTCATCGAGATCTGAAATCTCAAAAATCAACGGAAAACCGGGGTACAGTACTTTAAAAAATATTTTAGATCCCCAGGGCTTAAATAAAATTTTTCTTTTAGGCTCATTTGAAAGCCCTTGAAATTTGCTACAAAATACCCCTTGGCCTCATATGTCTAAAAAAAATGGTTTAGGATCTATGGCGCGTCGAATTTCTAAAAAATTAAAAATGAGGATTTTATGGGGTATTTTGAGTGATTCTGACAACGTTGTGAACTTATTGCGCCATATATCCTAAACAAATTTTATTAGACATATGAGGCCAAGGGGTATTTTGTAGCAAATTTCAAGGGCTTTCAAATGAGCCTAAAAGAAAAATTTTATTTAAGCCCTGGGGATCTAAAATATTTTTTAAAGTACTGTACCCCGGTTTTCCGTTGATTTTTGAGATTTCAGATCTCGATGAAGAAATAAGTTACGGACTTCGTTCTTTTTAATTTTCTACTTAGTATCAATGGAAATGCTTATAAAAATTTTTATAAAATTTTTTACCGAAGAATTGATTTTATATTTTTTTCCAAAAAAGTGTTGCAATACTTTTGTCCACCAAAAATTAGAGGCATATTGGTTAAAAGGCCAATATCTAAAAAAATTTAAATGATATTGGATTGATTTATTTTTTATATTAAAGCGCATAAAAAATAGATCAGAATAAGATAAAATTACTTTAAATAAGTGTTTTTAAAAAAAGTTACCTTGCGACAAAAGAATGAAACAATGGTGTTGCAATACTTATGGCCACCACTGTAACAATGTTTTTCGATTCCAAAAAATCAAACGGTTCCGTGAATGTTGTGATTTTGGACAGTTTTTTGAGCCCTTAAAGACACTGCCTATTTATGTATCTTTTCGCTGATTTTATTTTTAAATAATTTTTCAATACCTATAGGATTGTTAATTTCTTAGAAATTTTTATAAGAAAAATTTTTTCCTTAGGAATGGATTGAAGATGCCGCTGAACTTGAAAAGCGTCGTCAAGCAATAGCCGAAAAGAAGAAAGCACTCGAATTGGAAAAACGAACAAAAGCCTTTCAACGACAATTACCTCTTCCATCAAAATTAAATATTGAATATAAGAAGCGTGGGGCAGGTGGAACAGATTTACATAAGGTTTAAAAAATATTATTTTTTAATAAAAATTATGGGGAGATTTTAGGGGGTTTATCTGGTTCTAATTAGTTTAATTATAAAAATTGGACTGATCAAATTCTCGATTAAGGGGTTTTCTATCGATTAAACTCGGTCGGTTTTCTTGGCCTGTCCTTAGTTTTCTAAACGTCTTTTTTTTATTTTTTAAATTAAAAATTTTTTTAATTAAATTAAATAAATTCTGGGTCAGTCTTAACATTTGACTATTCAAAAACAATGAAAATTAGATATGTAAATATTAGAGGTCGTGTCAAACTTTGATTATATGTAACACTAAATTTTCTTAAGGCGTTTTATCTGGTTAAATACCCCGGACTAGTCTAGTTATAATTTACCCAGTCAATTTTGTTTTAGTCTACTACTTTAATTTTTATTTTATATTTTTGGGTAAAATTAGAATCCAGTGGGTTGATCCGATAAGCGAGCTTAACTTTAATCAAATTTTCTATGTTATACCTTTTCAATATTTTTTCATTATGCTCTTTTTTTCATAATTTCTTCTTATCCCTTCTTTTTTTATTTATTTTTAACACTTGTAGATTTTTCCAAATCTTTTTTCTTTTTCTCTCTTTTTTTTCACCCATCAATCCATCATTTGTTGCGCACTTGGCA